CAGTCTTAATCTTAGAGGAGATGCTTGATGAATATTTGTTAACTGGATAATCATTCACTCAGGGCAGACCTATAAGGTAGCCCTTCTGGGGGACCTTAAATCACATCACAGAGGTGATCCCCTACCCAGTCTGAGTAGATCCAACCTCACTGGAAAGGGCAAAAAGCCACCCTTGATTCAGGCCTTTCCCTTCCCTTTCCTGGGGTTCGCAGCCCATCGATTTAGATCCCTTTGGCCATGTCCCCTGAGCTCAAGCTCCTTGAGGGCAGCTTTTGAATCCTGCCCCACCACCCATGCTATCAAATGAGGTACCATTTGTAAAGCACTTAGTCTGGCACATAGTAGGTGCTTAATAAGCACATATTCCTTTCCCTTATCCCCCATCCCCAGTGCTCTGTTGGTGCTCAACTGACACTGGGAATTGGAAGATGTGTGCCCTCCACTGAGTGGGATCACCCTGTCCAAACCAGATTCAGAGGCCTTTCTCCCATTTCTCAAGAGCTCAATATACCTTTACTTTGTTATTCTGACGAAAAAAGGTCCAATTTTTGCCATCTTGGCTGCTAGAGAGCAAGAACTCTTTCACATACATGCTGGTAAGGATGGACTTCACTCCTTGGGTTGTTACTCCAGTGACTTTCATCAGCTTCCAAAAGTCCACCTGCAGCCATTCCCTCTGCCCATTGTCCTGCGGAGGAATGGGATTGTGCTGTTGGCCACCACTCCCCTCTTCCCTGAAACTCAACTTAACAACTCAAAGGAATCAGGCAGCTGCCTCCATTCCTGGCCCTCATCTATACATTGAATTTCCAGGAGGCCACAAAACCATGGAACACAGTAAGGGAGGCTTTTGACCAGAGATGCTAGAACAGGGGCCACCATCTCCAGAGCTTCAGCCCTCACTGGGCTCAAACTCTGGGGGGAGTTTGTTGGACTCTTCTATACATGGGATGCTTCTGTGCCAACCTACATGGTATCAGTGCCTACACAATGCTGACCCTCTCCAGTACCTACTACCAACCCCCCACCCCTATTCTGGTATACAGGGAAACAGGCCTCTTGGCTGTTGCCCATGCCTAGAATGCTCTCCCTTCTCATCTCTGCCTCCTGGCTTCCTTAAAGTCCCAGGTAAGATCCCACCTTCTACAGGATACCTTCACCAATCCCTCTTAAATGTTAGTGCTCCCCTCCCCAATAGATTATCTCCAGTTTATCCTGTTTATAGCTGGTTGTTTGCACTGTGAGCTCCTTGAGAGCAAGGACTGTCTTCTGCCTTTCTCTGTGTCCCCAGTACTTAGCAAAGTGCTTGTAACTGGCTTACAGGGCTGGACCCAGGAAGATTTTCACCTGAGGCAAAAACAGGTGAATAGTATGAGGGATGGGGAGGGAGCACAGATCGTGTCTAGAGTCACACAATTAGTGAGGTAGGTCGGGAGGGCAGGCAAGCTCATGAGAGAAGCCCTGCAGGAAGAGAACCTGGGACATCTGTGCAGGATGGCTGAAGGACAGCTGTGCAGCATACTAATGCAAGCCAGTTGAAGACCCCAGCGTAAGGCACAGGGCAGAAGTCACCTTAAGAAGTCCCCACCCCCAACAATGGTGCCCTGCAGCAACTAGTTCATTTGCTCACTGTCAGCTAGTTAAGGGAGGCCTCCAACCACTGTTACTGTCTGTATGAGAATGCCCAGGTTTCCTGCATACTTTCTGGCAGTCTTAATCTTCCCTGGCCTTTCACCACTTAATACTCTCTCCTTAGGGAGGATGTTTCATATGCCATCATGAAGTGTCTTCATAGGCTACTTACCCGGGGCCTCCAGGCATTTGCTCGGCCCTCAAGGTTAAGTCGAGCTTGGGAAGGGGCCCAGTTGGCAAACACATTGGTCTTGTGGGATGAAGCTGTGACCTGGGCATCGGAGATGCTTCGATTTTCCATGCCTAATGGTAGGCTACAGCCTGTACAGAAGTGGGGAAGGGGTGGGGGGAATCACTGTCAGAACTGGCAGTCTTGGGTTCAGTGGCCATCCACCTCCTCTCCGTGGTTTCAGTCCCACTTCATTTCACCCCTTTCCCAAGCTCACAGATGGTGAGCTCATTCCCTAATTTGAGAACTCCCCCAATGGCTCTGGTGATGATGGAGCTCCTTCTAGTGCAGAGGTGGCTGAGACCTGGTGGACACCCCTGAGGCATGCCATCAAGGATCTCCAAAGCCCAGGTTACCCATTGTGGGTTCTCTGGAGTACTCACTGTCGAGCTCACAGCCAAGCAGCTCCATTCGAAGAGTGCTTCGCACGCTAAAGTGGGAGGGCTGGAGGCGAATGTACTGGGCAACGATGGGAGGGTCAAACACGTTTTCTTTGATCCCTGATGCATCCACGTTCCCAAAGAAGACCTGTAAGGCCGTGTACTTATGAGGGACCTCCAGGGCAGAGGCTGGGGGACCCAGGAGCAGAGGGGCCAGTGGGAAGGCTGAGCCACGTATTCCCACAATTCTCACAGTTGGCTAGCCAAGCTTCGAGTACAAACAGGACCATGGTTAGAAATTCCCCCCACCCCAAACTTGGGGAGCAGACTCAAAGCCTGTCCTGCTCTAATTCCCCGTACCCCTCCGACTCTAGTCTTGCACCCCCGCTCTGGGACCCAAGGCAATCATCCTCTCCCGTGCCTGAAACAATCGTTCTGCGGCGCTCGTGCCTGCTGAGTTCGGACCACAAACCTCATGCTCCTGCTTGCTCTCTCCTGCCCTCCCCATTCTAATCACTGAGGCCCTGGTGCCTGAAACGGTGGTCTCCATACCCCCCACTCCATACCCCACTCTCCTCCTTCAGGTACTCGTCCCCCTGGCGCTCAGTGGTTGCTGGGCTCGTGCCTGCTGAGCTCGTGCGCGCCCTCCCCACTCTCCTCCCCCTGGGGTTGGATGGCTGCTGAGCTCGTGCCCGCCCTCCCCACTCTAGTCCCTGTGGCTTTCACTGGTTGCTGAGCTCGTGCCTGCCCTCCCTACTCTCCTCCCCCTGGGGCTCGGTGCCTGCTGAGCTCGTGCCTGCTGAGCTCGCGCCTGCACGTCCCACTCTCCTGCCCCTGGCGCTCAGTGCTTCCTGAGCTCGTAGCTGCTGAGCTCGCGCCTGCACTCCACACTCTCCTAACCCTGGAGCTCGATGCCTGCTGAGCTCGCTCCTGCAGTCCCCACTCTCCTCCTCCTGGCGCTCGGTGCCTGCTCAGCTCGTGCCCGCCCTCCCCACTCTAGTCCCTGTGGCGCTCGGTGGTTGCTGAGCTCGTGCCTGCCCTCCCTACTCTTCTCCCCCGGGCGCTCAGTGCTTGCTGAGTTCGTGCCTGCTGAGCTCGTGCCTGCACTCCCGACTCTCCTCCCCCTGGCGCTAGGCGCCTGCTGGGCTCGCGCCTGCACTCCCCACTGTCCTCCCCCTGGCGTTGGGTGCCTGCTCAGCTCGTGCCCGCCCTCCCCACTCTAGTCCCCCTGGCGCTGTGCTTGCTGAGCTCGTGCCTGATGAGCTCGTGCGCGTCCTCGCCACTCTCTTCCCTCTGGAGCTCAGAGGATGCTGATCTCGTGGGCGCCCTCCCCACTCTCCTCCCCCTGGCGTTGGGTGCTTGCTGACCTCGTGCCTACCCTCCCTACCCTTGTCCCCGTGCCGGCTCTCCCCACTCTCCTCCCCCTGGCGTTCGGTGCCTGCTGAGCTCGTGCCTGCACTCCCCACTCTAGTCCCCCTGGCGCTCACTGCTTACTGAGCTCGTGCCTGCTGAGCTCGCCCCTCCACTCCACACTCTCCTCCCCCTGGCGCTAGGTGCCGGCTGAGCTCGCGCCTGCACTCCCCACTCTCCTCCCCCTGGCGTTCAGTGGTTGCTGAGCTCGTGCCTGCTGTTCTCGTGCCTACCCTCCCTACCCTCGTGCCAGTGCCCACTTTCCTCCCCCTGGCGCTCGGTGCCTGCTGAGCTCGCGCCTCCACTCACCACTCTCCTCCACCAGGCGCTAGGTGCCCGCTCAGCTCCTGCCCGCCCTCCCTACTCTAGTACCCCTTGCTTTGGTTGCTCAGCTGGTGCCTGCTAAAGTCGTGCGCGCCCTCCCCACTCTCCTCCCCATGATGCTCAGTCGTTGCTGAGCTCGTGCCTGCCCTCCCTACCCTTGTCCCCGTGCCCGCTCTTCCCACTCTCCTACCCCAGGCGTTGGGTGCCTGCTGCGCTCGTGCCCGCCATCCCCGCTCTAGTCTCCCTGGCTCTCAGTGCTTGCTGAGCTCGTGCTTGCTGGGCTCGTGCCCGCCCTCCCCACTCTCCTCCCCCTAGTGCTCAGTGCTTGCTGAGTTCGTGCCTGCTGAGCTCGCGCCTCCACTTGCCACTCTCCTCCACCTGTTGCTAGGTGCCTGCTCAGCTCGTGCCCGCCCTCCCCACTCTAGTCCCCGTGGCGCTCAGTGCTTGCTGAGCTCGTGCCTGCTGAGCTCGCGCCTGCACTCCCCACTCTCCTCCCCCTGGCGTTGGATGCCTGCTGAGCTCGTGCCCGCGCTCCCCACTCTAGTCTCCCTGTCGCTTGGCAATTGCCGAGCTCGCGCCTGGACTCCCCACTCTCCTCCCCCTGGCGCTCAGTGGTTGCTGAGTTCGTGCCTACCCTCGTGCCAGTGCCCACTGTCCTCCCCCTGGCGTTCTGTGCCTGAGATCGTGCCCACTCTCCCCACTCTCCTCCACCTGGCGCTCGGTGCCTGCTCAGCTCGTGCCCGCCCTCCCCACTCTCTTCCCCTGGCGCTAGGTGCCTGCTCTTCCCAATCTAGTCCCCCTGGAGCTCAGTGGTTGCTGATATCGTACGCGCCCTCCCCACTCTCCTCCCCCTGGAGTTGGGTGGCTGCTGAGCTCCTGGTCGCCCTCCCCACTCTAGTCCCCGTGCCGGCTCTCCCCACTCTCCTCCCCCTGGCGTTGGGTGGCTGCTGAGCTGGTGCCCGCCCTCCCCACTCTAGTCTCCGTGGCGCTCGGTGCTTGCTGAGCTCGCGCCTGCACCTCCTAGTCTCCTTCCTCTGGCGCTAGGTGCCTGCTGAGCTCGTGCCTGCTCTTCCCACTCTAGTCCCCCTGGCGCTCAGTGGCTGCTGAGCTCGTGCATGTCCCGCTTACCCTTGTCCCCGTGACCGCTCTCCCCGCTCTCCCACCCCTGGCGTTCCGTGCCTGCTGATCTCGTCCCCGCTCTCCCCACTCTAGTCTGCCTGGCGCTCGGTGCTTGCTGAGCTCGTGCCTGCTGGGCTGATGCCCGCCCACCCCGTTCTAGTGCCCCTGGCGCTTAGCGCTTGCAGAACTCGCGCCTGCACTCCCTACTCTCCTCCCCCTGGCGTTGGGTGGCTGCTGAGCTCGTGCCCGCCCTCCCCACTCTAGTCTCTGCGGCGCTCAGTGGTTGCTGAACTCGTGTCTGTCCTCCCTACCCTTGTCCTCGTGCCCGCTCTCCCCACTCTCCTCCCCCTGGCGCTCGGTGCCTGCTGAGCTTGTGCCTGCTGATCTCGTGCCCGCCCTCCCCGCTCTAGTCCCCCTGGCGCTCAGTGGTTGCTGAGCTCGTGCCTGCCCTCCCTACCCTTGCCCCCGTGCCCGCTCTCCCCACTCTCCTCCCCCTGGAGTTGGGTGGCTGCTGAGCTCGTGTCTGCTGAGCTCGCGCTGCACTCCCCACTCTCTTCCCTCTGGCGCTCAATGGTTGCTGCTGAGCTCGTCCCCATGGTTTTTGTTCCCGCTGGACTCGTGGCGCCACCCCCCTTCTTCTCTGCCCTGCCTCCTCTTGTCCCTGTGGCACTCGTGCCGCAACACTGCTGTGGGCGCCAACCTTCCCCACTCTCTTTTCAGCACTCTTCGTGCTCTCATCCCCTTGGAGGTGCTTGTGCCGGCTGGGCTCATCCTGCTCACCCTCCCTCTTTTCTTGCTCTTCTCCATTCTGCTCTCCTCCCGCCTTCCTTCCTACTCTTTTTCCTCTTCCCTCGCTGCTCTCCTACATTTGGCTCACATTCCCTGATCGCCAGGGTCCTCCCATCCCCACAGTTCTTGTTCCCATGACAATCTCTTGTAAGCCTCACAACAGAAAGTCAACGTGGAGTTGAGGTCCCAAGTTGTTTGCTCCCTCTCCTCTGTCCTCTGTCCTCTCCTTTCCTCTCCTCTCTCGTTTCTCCATCACCTTTCTATCTGACTCAACAGTGAGAGTACGAGGGCCAGGCAACCTCAGCATCTCTAAAACTCAATCTGGAGCATCTGTGTTCACTTTCAGCTCCATTCTTTGGGGTTTGACTTATATCTGGGTTCTATAATGCTGCAATAGAACCCCTACCCCCCACACACACACACAGGAGCTGCAGGCTGCTTCCCCTAAGGCAGGGGTGGGGAATCTGCAGCCTCAAGGCCACATGTGGCCCTCTAGGTCCTCAAGTGCAGCTCTCTGACTGAATCCAAACTTCACAGAACAAATCTCCTTAATAAAAGGAACTTGAACTCAGTCAAAAGGCTGCACCCAAAGACTTCTGCTCCTGCCTCTTGCCCTACCCACATGGAAGACACAATATATGGGCCAGGGACAGAAGAGTACCAGCAACATTTTCATGGGTTTCTTGCTAGATACTTTCATGGAACAGGTACAAGTTGCTGAGGGCATCCATCTTCAGTGCTCAATCCCTCCCTGGCTCTTTTCCCTTTCCCCTTTTGTTATTCAGTGCCCACAGGGTGATGGGATCATCTGGGTGGGGTGCTGCACCCACCTGTCATGCCTGTCATCTTGTCACAACCAGCTACAGACATGGTCATTTGCAGACATCCAGAAGGGTACTTTAGTCCATTCCTGGCCAACTAAAATGTCTCTGCCTCCAGAAAGAGCCAAAGTTACTGACAGCATTGAGGACACGTAGTAAGTCTGGGACCTGGTGACTACTTGGTGAGAACTTAGCTGAAGGCAGAGTTAATGGTTTCAAATTTCTTCCTAGACTCTCTTGTGTCTTAATTGGAGATCTCAGAGAGCACATCTAACCACGGATCTCCTTCCAAACACCCTCACAAGAGGTTGTCCAGTGTCCCCCTGTAGGCTGCTAGTAAATGGGATCCCATTACACTTGGGGATCACTCCAACTGTCAGGAAGTTTCTCACTCACCTCAATCCTCTATCTGCCTCTTTACAACTATTCACTTGCTGTCCCAAGTTCTACACTTTGGAGCCAGACAAGTAGCATGCCTAATCCCACTTCCACGTGAAAGAATCATAGAGTTGGGTCTTCAAAGCCATCTTGGCCAATGCTCACATTCTGCAGAGGCAGCAGAAACAGGCCCAAAGGGGCAGAGGGACTCACCAAATTCACATAGCTAGTGACAGTCAAAGTGGGTTCTCCAGCTCAGATGTCTGGCCTAGAAATGATGATAACATGCTCTGGGCCTGGAGTCAAAAAGTTTTTCAGTCATTTCAGTCTCTACAACCCCATTTTGGGGTTTTCTTGGCCAAGATACTAGAGTGGTTTGCCATCTCCTTCTCCAGCCCATCTTACCGAAGAGGAAACAAAGGCAAACAGGGTTAAATGACTTGCCCAGGATCACACAGCTAGTAAGCATCTGAGGCCACATTAGAATTCATGAAGATGAATCTTCCCAACTTCAGGCCCAGCACCCTATCCACTCTGCCATTTAGTTGGGAAGACCTGGGTTCTGCCTCAGATACTGTGTGACCCTGGGCAAGTCAGTGAACCGTTCTCTGCTTCAGTTTCTTCTTCTGCTTGGTCTTGATGGCTTCTAAAATTCCTTATAACTCTAAAATCCATAATCATATGACCCTAGTAGTGGCTAGGAGGGAAAAAATCCACAAAATAAAGGAGAGGTTTCAACCCAGCCACAAACATGCACTCAATTCTTTCATGATGGATAGTTGGGTAGCTGCTTTGGGAGGGAATGGAGAGAGTGCTGGGCCTGCAGTCACATAGGGAGGTCTGATCTAGCCTCAGAAACTTCCTGGTTGTCTGGCCTGGGCATGCCCCTGAGCCTCTGTCTGCCTTAGTTTCTTCATTTGTAAAATGAGGATAATTCCAGCCCCTCCATCCCAGGGTTACTGTGAGGATGAGATACGATGTGTAAAGCACTCTGAAATGCTAGCTATTGTTATTATTATTAGGAGAGAAATGAATATTTGTAACCAACGAATTGGGGAGATTCAGCTTTCACCGTTTTTCTTTTATCCTCATTTCAAAACTTCAGCCTCTGAAGGTTGAGCTGACCTTCTTCTCTATCCAGACCCCACCCAGATGTGGCAGCCATGGCACTCTGCTCAGGTTTGGGTGGGGAGATCACAAAGGCAGCTAAGGAAGGGAATACAGACAAGCTTCAAGATCAAATCTCCAGCAAAGTGATTTGGGGGGCGTGGGCGGGATCCAACAAGGCCTCTGACAGAGGCAACAAGAGCTGAGCCTTGAAGGGAGCTAGAGGTTCCTTAAGGTAGAGATGAGAAAGGAGGATATTCTCCAAGCATGGTGGAGGAGGGGAACAGATTGCACAAAGGAATAGAGAAGGAGATGAAAGGCTGTGAGTGATGGGGGAAATGAGTTACTTGGGCTAGAATGTTGAATGGATAAGGAGGAGGAGTGTGTAGTCAGCTTGGAAAGGTCAGGTTGGGAAAGGCTTTAGAGGCCAAACAGGAGCAGATATTTGATCATAGAAGCAAAGGAAGGTTGGTGGGGGTGGGGGAGGGGTGACATGGTTAGACCTACACTTTAGGGAGATCACTTTGGTGGCTGAATGGACAATGGACTGGAGTGGGGAGAGATTGAGGCAGGTAGACCTCTCCCCCCACCCAAGCAGGCTATTTCAGTAGTCCAGGTGTGAGGTGATGAGGGCCTGCACCAGGGGGGTTGTGGTGTGTCAGAGAGATGTTGAGGAAGTCTATTTTAAAAGGTTCAATAAGCAGTTGGCTAGTGGGGATGAGAGAGAAGAATTAAGGATAACACCAAGGTTTGAGCCTAGGTCACTGGCAGGATGATGGTATACTCAGTAATAAGAAAGTTAGGAAGATGGAGTAGTTTATGGGAAAGATAATAATGAGTTCAGCTTTGCATATGTTGAATGTGAGATGCCTACAGGAGATAGAGATGAAGATGCCCACTAGACAGCTAGAGATGTGGGACTGGAATTCAGGAGAGAGATGAGAGCTGGTTCCCATGAGATCCCTCTCAACAGTGGTTTCTTCTGCGATGTGTGCCTCCCCATTCCTACAGGAGTGGGGAAGTCTTTGGGATTTATGCCTAGAGGTTTTACGAGTTGTCCCATGCTTTGAGGCAGTTCTCTTTTTGTGAGGAGTGTCTACTCACCATCATGGTCCCAGTAGAGTTTCCTCTGTAATCTTTCCATGTTTGTCCATCAAGGCTGTGCCTGATGGTGAACTGAGAGATGTACAAGCTGGAGAATTTTTGTCGGGCTCCTTGGGTCTTGATACCATGGATAATCATTGGATCCAACAGGTCAACCTGCCAATTAAGCCAGAATCTTATTTTACTCTGTCCCTTGAACACTTGGAATCATTTTTGGGAAACTCAATTCAACAAGCATTTATTTATTAAGCTCATTCTATGTGCAAGGCCTCATGAGAGGGATGGCAGGTGGACAGCCAGAGTGTTCCACAGGTACCCTGAATATCAGGATAATGTGAGGAAGGCCACTAGCACATGAGGAAAAAGGCAGCCCCTCCATAGCTATCTCACTAAAGGTCATGGAGAAGAGTCACACAGAATGGGCTGGTGTAAATGGGTAGCGATTTCTAGCACCAGAGAGAACTCCAAAAGGGATGAGATCAGGGGCAGTTAGGTGGTGTAGTGGACTCCCCCAGCCTTGGAATCAGGAGGACCTGAGTTCAAATCTGGCCTCAGATACTTGACACTTACTATCTATGTGACCCTGGGCAAGTCACTTAACCCCTATTGCCTCACCAAAAAGTGAAAAAAAAAGAAAAAGAAAAAGAAAAAAGGGATGAGATCATATAGTGCCATTGTATCATTGAAGGATGTCCCAGGCCCTCTGACAGGCACTGGAAGACATAAAGACAAACATAAAAAATACTCCCTGAACTCAAGGCACTCACATTCTACTGAAGGAGTACAATATTTGCATAGCAATCAAAATGATCGACTTTAAAGAGCCAGAGAACACTAAGAACTAGGAAGACCAGAAATGTGAAGGGCAAGGAGCAGTACTGCACATCGATGCTCAAATGTGGGGGAAACACAGGGTGCCTCTCCCAAAGTCTGAGGCTCCTCCCCAAGGACTCCTTTGGACCATCACTTGCTCACATCACTGCTTACCATCTGAAGGTCATACCATCACCCCGCCCGCCCCCCACACACACATACTGCATCCTCCTCACTTTGGACACTAATCTCATCACTGTCTCAAGCTCTCCTACCCAGTAGTATCCCTCTAGGGTCTCTGTCAATGACACTCATCATTCTCCCAAGCAGCCAGGCTCCAATCAAGAAAGCAAGCACTAGGGATGTCTGAGACCTCTCTTCCCCTTCTCTTCCCAGAACCAATTATTCCCTCCAATATTTCCTGTATTAGTCTCTTCCTTTATCTTCTACCTCTAGCCACTCTAACTACCTTGAGGACCTCATCACTTTTTTCTATTCTATTCAATGTTCGTAGTGTGCAGACCCTTGGGCCAAACACTGAAGGAGACACAGAGCTGAGATAGGAGTGGGGATCAGCAGTGAACTCCAGGCACAGGTATCTGACCTGGCTTCACCATGAAGGGAGCTTTCATCTGCTTGTGTTATGGAGTGAGGCCTGGCAGGGCTTCTTTCAATCCTACTTTACATCATTCAACCAGGGCTATAGACAATCAGAGGCAGAAATGTCCCTCAAAATCATCTGATCCAACACCCTCAATTTAGAGATGAGGTAACTGAGGTCTAGCAAGGGGAAAAGACTTGGCCAAGGTCCAAGTATTCAAAAGATTGGTCCATCAACCAAAAAAGGTCTTGAGAAATCCTTGAATGCCAGGCAAAGGAGTTTGAACAGAACCCCATAGTCAATAGTGATGGAATATTGTCTCTGATGCTCTGGCTCTAAGCCTTGATGAACTTTGGGATGATAAGCTGGATGAAGAAGAGAGTGACTGGACGGCCCTGGACAGTTCCCCTCCTCCAGCCCCCACCCCCACCAATTTCCAGTGGATAACTCTTGCCTTACCAAGCCATGAAATAGGTGAGAGAGCCTTGACCTCAGAAATGAATAAGTTCCTCTCATTTGAGGCCACATTGGCCACTTGGTAACTGGCCAGGCAGCCTCCTGGAGGGCCAAGCAGAAGCAATTCTCAAACAACAGGAGCTTGGTGCCCCACCCCAGGCTACAAAGATATAGGGCTATGCCAGCTTTGCCCCCGGGGTAGTCAGTCGGTGCTTTACAGGCTAAGGTCTCACTCAAATAAGTTTATATTCATTTGCTCACCATTCAGAGACAGATGTCGACCAGCTCAGGCTGGACTTTGCCTGTGCTCCAGGTTACTAGGCTGCCTGCTGCCCCAGGCCCACTGTGTAGTGTTCTGTCACCATTGGTTCCTTCACTTTGGATGGTGCTTTCTGGGCAAACTAGAGTTTAACCCTCAATTTTGGTCTACGCTCATCCCCTAAGTTGCCATGGCAACAGTGAATGACCCCTTGGGGAGTTCCAAGAAGTTCAAGGTTCAAGCAACCCTGAGAGAAGCCATATGGTGAGCAGATAACTATAGAGCCCCAAGGAAACCCAGAATCACTGCATGGATCAGCTCTCAAAGAAAGGAGTAGTGTGGAGAATAAGCATTTCTATAGTGCCTACTATGTGCTAGGCCCTGCACTAAGTGCTTTACCAATATGATCTCATTTGAAAGAAGCTGGTGAACTGAGCCTAATTCTGAGCCCTGCCTCATCATCTAAAGGGTAAGCCCAACGTCCTACCAACCATTCGTAGCTCCTGGATGCTGATGTGGATTTACCTGGTGTTTTACTGTAAGAGTCAGCTGATTTGTCTTGATGGCCTCTCCAATTCAGCCTCCAACCGATATCCTAATATACAGATCTAACCATGTCACTTCTTTGCTCAAGGACTTTCAGGGGATCCCTACTACCCTTGGGATCAAATCCCAATTCCTCAGCCTAGCACTGAAGATCTTCCCTGACTACTCCCCTGCACACACTGAACATTTCCTGCCAAGTCTTACCCCTATGCCCCAAACCTAGAATGTGCTCCTTCCTTACCTATGTCTTAGAGAACCCCCTTAGCCTCAGCTTAGGAACCTCCTCCTTCTCCCTTTTCTCCCCCTCTTCTTCCTCTTCTTCCTCCTCCTTCCACTTCTTTCTTCTCCTTCCTCCTCTCTCCTTCTTTTCCTTCTCCGTCTCCTTCCTTCCTCCTTCTCCATCTCCCAGAACCCTTCCCTGACACTGTCCCCCTAAGCCCTCCCCCAGTTGAAGGTGTTCTCTTCCCATCTTCCTCAGACTCTCCCTTGATCTGGGTTTGCCCTTTGCCCTCATCACATCCTACCTCATATTAGCCTTACAGCATCTTCCCCAGCCACTAAAGGGCTGGGACAGTGTAGCCACAGCACAGTGCTTTGTATATCAGAGGTGCTTAATGAATGCTCATGTCCTGGAATGTGGTACAGTTCTGGGCTTCTCTCAGGATGATGCCATGTCAGTATAAGGCCTACCTCAATCCAAGGATTGGCATCCTGGGTGCTCCAGGCATTGACAGACCCGGCAGAATTAAGTCTGGCCAGCTTTGGGGCCCACTGGCCTGCATTAAACAAAAGGGAAAAAGATTTCAAGCATCCCATTATTTGTTCGCACCTTCCTTGTTCCTGGCAGTCCTGGTCAGCTCCAGGAAAGATATGAGAAAATGCTCCACCTTTCCCTTTTGGTTGGAGACTCTGGGGGTAGAATGTTGTACACACTGGTTTTGCTCAACTGTTTTGAGTTAGGGTTTGGGGGTAGCTTTGTGGCAGGGTTACAAGAGAAGGTTTACTGGAGGAGGATCTAAAAATGACTGTGATTTATAAACAAAAGGCATCAGTAAAACTCTTAAAAACTAAATCAAAGGAAAGGGACTAGAGGGGCTTAAAGGGTGCTCCCAGGCTCCCCTTTCTAAAAGTCTATGATATAAGGTATGGATGTCAGGTGATATAAGGGCCCTTCTCTTAAGCTGGATGGTCAGATCAAAGTGAGTCATATACCTCCAGGGAGTTGCATTTTTCAGGGACCTGTCACTATCACAGTTGGAGTTTACTTTCAAACAGGCCCAGAAAGAACAGCCCCCAGGCCATCAGGCCATTGCCAAGCTGGGTCCTTGATGGGGAGTTCTGATTTCTTTGTATAAAGCTTCCCTAGTGAGAAAGCAGCCATTCTCCCTAGTTACAGGGCTGGCTCCCCATCACCCTGGCACATAGCCACTTTGCCCCTTTGCAGAAGCCTCTCCCTTTTCCTTATTGGTCATTAGTACAGTCTGTTAGTGACTTAGGTCCAAGGTTTGGTGGGAAAACCAAAGAAAGACTTGGGAATCCTTGAGCCATTTCATTATTTCTCAAAAGTCTTAATGCAGTCTTAAACTTTAATAGCTTAAAATCGTGCCAAGACTTTTGGGACACTGTGTATTAGAAAGAGCCAAATGAAATTGTCCCACCTGTTGAGAATCAGAACCCAGGGTTTCTGGAAACGCTTAAGCACTGAGGAAACGTGCAGAGCAGTAGAGGTGAGCACTGGGAGGCAAGCACTGGGAGCTGTGTTCTTTGGTGCTTAGGGAGCGATGGCAGGACAGGGCAAGGCTCCAGTCCTGTACTATTAAGAGCACAGGCTAGTCGTCAATGGAACGGCATACAGCATGCATATGTAACCCACCAGTGGATGTCAGGATACTGGAACATGGCGAGAGAGGGGCTAAAGGGCAAACCGTGAGAGCCAACTGGCACAAAGGCATGAGAGAAACCACCCAAGCTCACTTACCATATTGTCCAGAAGCTGTGATCTGAGAATCAGCGATCTGGCCAGAGGCCATTCCCAGAGCATTCTGACACTCTACAAAAGAACAACAGAGAGAGGGAAGAGTGAATAGAGGGAGTCAGGCTTTGGAAAGGGCTTCAGCCAGCTACCCTACTGTTGCCTGAGTTCATTCTGCAAGAGTAAGCCCTAGACCACAAGCCCTTCTGGCAGCAAACTTGCTTGGAAAACCTTCTCCAAGTGAAGGTGATGGCCCCTTCTAGAGGATCAGGCCCAAAGCCATCTTCCCCATCCTTCAGCAAGTTTTGGAGATCATGGATAATAGGTCCCAATTCCATCCACAAGTTCTTTCAGGACCCTGGGATGTAGTTCCCCCAGCCTAGGGACTCGGACTCCCTGAGGGCAGGCAGGTACTCTCTTAGCTCATTTCTCTTGGGGCTTCCCTACCCATTAACCATTTTACTTTTGAAGCTTTTGTTTTGAGTCCAGACATAACAGTAAGACTTGAACAGCTCTGACTTTTCTAGGTCATCAATTACCATCATTGCATCCCCTGGCCCTTAGGGATTGAGCCCTTTTCCCGATCTTCCTGTCCCCAGCATTGCTGGAAAATTCCTGTTAGTCTTTCCCCATCTCTGGGCTTTGCCACTACTGACATTATTCAGACGGGTCCCCGTCACTCTTTTGGTCTCATCTTCAGTTATCTTTTTTTTTGCATGTCCTCATCCACAGCGTTCTCCATACCATGAAATTAGAGGCCGAGACCCTATGCCAATAAATGATGTGGCCACACAGTAAGTTGATTGCTCTGTTCAGTGACTGGGAGACAGGAGTTGGACAGAGACAGCAAATGGCAGATGCCCAGGGGAGGGGTTGCAGCTGAAGGGTTTCACATCACCTTCTAATCTAAAGGCAGAATCCAACCATCATGGTTTTTAACTTGCCCAGATTCTTAGATGCATTCAGCACATCGGGGTGGGAGATATGAGCGCAGGACTACCTAGGAGACAGCTCAAGATACTGGACTCCTACATGGGATAATTAACATAATGACATGACCTTTCTGTCAGATTAAGGAAGGCAGCCCACACAAGGTCAATTTGAGCTGCTTACCCTACAGCAGTGCCCCAACATGTCACATGGAGTGCCCACCAAGTTTATACGCAGCACACGGGTATCATAGCTCATAGCTCCCAACACACCAGGTAAAGATTGAGTCTTCCTAACTGTCACCTCCAGAAATCGCTCAGCAACATCTACTCCTTTGAAATTCCCTGCATCCATCCTCATCACCTAGTCCACACCCTTGTTGCTGTGTCCTCCCGGTCTCCTCTTCCTCCTTTGGCATAGGGTTCAGTACCTGTCACTCTGAACTCCATGCTAAAGCAGTAGACAAGAGAGCCCTCCCCTCCACCCTGTGCTCACTCTTGAGAACGTGGATATATAGATAGGTTGCTGTTGTGTTCCTTTGCATACTCTGGCCTCCCAGCATTCATCAACTTCTCGGGTGCCATGGCTTCCATCTCATCTCTCTCATAGCCACCCACCACCACCTCCATGATATGAACTTGGAAGTTTCCAGCTCTGATCACCATCTCCTATCCTTTCATCTTTCCCTCTACCTCACATCTCCAGAACCCATTCTCCATCCTGACTACAACCTCTACTCCTTCCATAATCCTTATTCTCTTATCACTCTTGCTTTGCCCAAATTGAGCTCATTTCAGTCTTGATCAGTCATGCAGTTCAACAAAGCACTGTCTTTCTCATCTGTGTGTCTCTTGCTTTTTTTTCCTTCCACTCTTTATGCTCTGCTTAGCCCCAAATCTGCCTTCTTTACTTATACTGAATAGAATTCTGCTGACTGCTGCTGACCACAGTCAGAAGTCACAAAACAGAATCAAGTAATTTCAGAGTTGGAAAGGACCTCAGCAGCCATCTATTCCAGTGTGATCATCCAAGGAACCTCAACCATGCTGACTGTTTTTACTACAAATTCATGTTAGCTAATATCAGCTGGGTTCTCATCACTTCCTAGAGATACTTTTATTTTCCCTTGACTCCTGATATTGTACTCCCCACAGCATCTGTTCCAAACCTCCTCTTTCCTCATCTTCTAACCACCTCTCTCCATTTTTCTTATCAGAAGACTTCACATCATATTACCAAGAAAAATAGAGACCATTTGTGGTGAACTCCATCCTTTCCCTTACTCCCCACTTCAAACACATCTACATTATCCTTTACTCTCTCTTCTTTCACTCAAGTCTCTGAAGAAGGGTGGCCCTTCTAGCCAAAGCCAATCTCACCACTAATGCTTTCGGTTCCATCTTCTCCCATCACTGGGAGTTTGCTCCCTTGATTGTTTTCTCTCTCTCTTTCATCTTTAATTTCCCTTTATCTACTGATTTCTTCCCTGCTACCTTCCAATATGCACAGATCTCATAACATTTGATCCTCCCATCCCTTCAAGCTACCATCTAATGCCCCTTCTCCCTTTCAGTTTGGCAACAAGCATTTATTAAATACTTACTAAGTACGATGCGCTAAGTGCACTCTGCTAAGTATTGAGAATACAAAGAAAGGCAAAAATACAGTCCCTGTCCTCAAGAAGCTCACATGCTAATAATCAAGAAATAACTAGAGACATACAAGATATATGCAGTATAAAGGGATGGTAATCTGAGGGCTGGGGCAGCCAGGAAAGACCTCTTGCAAAAGATAGAATTTAAGCTAAGACTTGAAGGGAAGCCAGGAGGTAGAGATGAAGAGAGAAGGCATTCCAGGCATGGGGGACAGCCAATGAAAATGTCTAGAGTCAAGAGATAGAGTGGCTGGTGAGAGGAACAGCCAGGAGACCAGTGTCACTGGATCACAGAGTACATGCTGGGTTATAAGGTATAAGAAGATTGGAAAGTGTGTGTATGTGGGGGGGGCAGGTTAAAGTCAAGGGTCCCAGATTATAAAAGGCTCTAAAAGCCAGAAGATTTTATATTTGATCGTGGAGGTAAAAGGGAGCTACTAAAGTTCTGACTCAGGGGGAGGGGTGATACGATCAGACCTGAGCTTTAGGAAGAGTAGAGTAGGGAGAGACTTAAGGCAAGGAGACTAACCAGCAGGCTACTGTAATAGTCCAGGCAGGAAGTGATGGTGGCAATCTCAGAGGAGAGAAGGGGGTATATATAAGAGATGGTGTGAAAGTAGTATCTGCAGGTCTTTCCTGCAGACTGAATATGGGGGCAGAGAGAGTGGGGAGATAAAGATGACAACCTCCTCCAGATTTTGCTCTTGAGTGACTAGGAGGATGGTAGTGCCCTCAACAGTACTAGGGAAAGCAGGAAGTAGGCAGGGTTTGGAGAGTGCAGCTGCTGAGTGCTTGGACTAGGGTAGAGGCCACTCATAGAAAAGAGGGTCATTTTTCTTTTTGTTGTTGTTGTTGTTGTTTTAAAAATTAACTTATTTTAATTTATTAACAATCACTTCTGGGGCAGCTAGGTAGCGCAGTAGATAGAGTACCAGCCCTGAAGTCAGGAGGACCTGAGCTCAAATCTGGCCTCAGACCAAACACTTGACACTTAACTAGCTGTGTGACCCTAGGCAAGTCACTTAATCCCAATTGCCTAAAAACAAAAAACAAAAAACAAACAAACAAAAAAACCTCAATCACTTCCATATGCTATTGAGTTCAACATTTTTCTCCCCCTTCCTCCCTACTACCCTCCCCAAGGCAGCAGACAATCTGATATAGGCTATACATATACATTCCCATTAAACATATTTTCACATGAGTGATGTTGTAAGTAAGAATTAGAACCAATAGGAGGAACCAGGAGAGTCATTTTTCATTGTTGCCTCCATTCCTCACAATCTTCAGTAGAGTATAAGCTCCTTGGGGGCAGGGAATACAGAGACTATCTTCAATGTGTGTATGTACATTGCCTGGCACATAGCAGCTGCTTAATACATGTGCATTAAATTGAACCGAATTCACACAGAGACACATATATACACATGCTTGCTTCTCACCCTTTGGGCCATGCATGGGAGAAGAGAGATGTCACAAGAGTTTTTCATTTCCTTTCTATTTGGCTCCAGTGTGATCATTTTCTGTAAGGAAACATCACCTAACAGCTCAGGTTTTCCTTATCGTATGGCTGATACTTCCAATTCTGAGTAGGTGTGAAAGAATTTCTGGCTCTGTTTTAGGATAACGTCTGCTAGTTGTAAATTCCAAACTAGTTCTTGTACCAGTTTACAACTGGACTTCTTGTGGTTTTTCTCCAGTTATCTTTGGACATGTAAACTTCCTACTTCTCCATTTCACAAACATACCTTTGAAATGTAAATCTTTACATTTTGGCAGCTGTAAATTCCTTTCTCTTTTGGTAGTTGTAAATTCCAGTTGTACCCTTTTTTCCTCTGATGTAACTGGAAACGATACAAGACTTATTAAAAAAAAAACCCCAAACTTCACCTGATGTTTAGTGGCCATTTGGAACATGAGTCTGTGCATATATAACAAAGATCAGTTCTTAAAAGGTCTCTGTGTGGGCAGCAGTACCTATCAATGAATCCTTGGATATTTCCATATCAAAGCCTTGAGTTCTAGTCTCAGCTCTGCTACTTAGATGTTGACAGTTTGACCTTAGCTAAGGCTCTTTCGCCTTTAGGGCCTAACTTTCCTCCTCTCCAAAGGCCCTTTCCAATGAAATGTTCTATGGTCCCAAGCTTAAGACAGCAAGCAATCTAAGGAGGCAGTATGAGCTACTTACGCTTGTTGTACACCAGTAAGATGGCGCTCATCCCAGCCTGTTGGTGCTCACCAATCATGCACTCAACCCGCCACAGTCCTACTTGAGATGGCTGCATTTCTACTGTCTCAAAAACACCTTTTTTAGAGAGAAACAGGGTGGGGGGAGGTACAGAGAGGGATGAGAGAGAGGTAACTCTTTCTGAGACAGATATTTCCTCACTATCTCATGCATATGAAGATTCTCATGTCACTGCCTTTTCTGATGGCAATCCTATGCCACCATGCCTCAAAAGTGAGCCATCCAAGATATGCAGTGAGATGAATACCTTCCACACTGGAGCACTAGATCCTTCTTCAGGCCCAATTCTGGACCTCATTTTCCACTAATGTCAGGGTTATTTTCCATTAATGTCAGGGTGTGCTGAGGTAGCAAGTGAAGCCTATGGTTCAGAGTTCTTTCCCTTATGATGGGAACCAGAAGCATGGGGGCTGCACTGTGAAGGCAGTTTGAATACTTTGAAAGAGGAGATTTGTGTCTGCCTTCCCAAATCACAGGGTACCATCTTTACAGGCCATGTGTGAGTCCCTCTGGCTTTATGATGCAGTGGCACTTGCTAGCCATCGAAGAAACCATAATAACTATATGCCTCCCACATGTAAGGGGCTTTGGAGAGGTGATATGAAAAAAGGTGATGTCATGCCTATACTTCAGAAAAAGCAAACTAGGGCAGCTAGGTGGCGCAGTGGATAGAGCACCAGCCCTGAAGTCAGGAGGACCTGTGTTCAAATCTGGCCTCAGACCAAATACTTGACACTTACTAACTGTGTGACCCTGGGCAAGTCACTTAACCCCAATTGCCAAAAAAAAAAAAAAGCAAACTCACTGGGAACACAGGAAACACACATACATTCAGCCACTCACAATATACATACATACATGCATGCAGAAAGACTTATAAACATATGCCAAACAACAGATCACTAAGGACAAGTTCCTACAGTACATACTAAAGCAATATACACCAAGAGAATGTAGAAGAGATGCATGATGCCAGTTGGGTGGTGTCAGTTGGCAAAGGGTTCCTGGGAGAAGTGAGTCCATCTCAAGTTGTTTTGGAATGAAGGAAGGATTGGGGAAGAGAAGGAAGGAGGGTATTCTAGTTAACAGAAGCACCATGGGTCAGCTCATACCAGGATAGAGATTGTAGACCGCCATTTTGTATTCTTTCTTTGTCCGCACAGTGAACACTTGGCCACTGAAGTGAATAGAGTAGATATTTTCATTGCTGCCCATGCTAAGCAGATACCACCGGATCCTTTGGTGCTGAGCCATCACCAATCCAGGCAATGTATCCTTCACATAACCATTGATTGCTAGAGAACACAAGGAAGACGAGTTTGACCTACTAGAGAAGTTGGAGAGTAAGAGGCTCAAATTATGCAGAAAGATATAGATGGAGGAATGCAAAGCAGACCAATGTTGACATTTCTAGTTGAAAAGATGCTACCTCTACACCAAACATATAGTACAAGTGCTTTTGTAGCTACAACTATCATGTAGGCTCAGCTCTACAAAGGGCATCACAAGGCTTCAGTGACTACAGCAGCAGTGAGGAGCAGACTCTGGGGCAGGAGGCAGGACTCCTTCCTTACCATGGAAGCGGTTGTTCCTTTGAAAACCAAAGTCATCCATCTGGACCTTGCATGGAGGCTTGCAGTTCCTCTCCATGTTCTCAGTGAAATACCAGCTCTTGGTCTCATCAAAGATGGTGAAGAACAGAGTAAATTCCTGGACGGTCAACTGTCTGCCATGAGACGGGTTCAGTTTGTTAGGGTGACAGATCAGTATTGGCCCAATCAACCCTGAGTGCAGGTCTTTTTCCTGGGAAAGAAAGAAGGAAAAAAATAAGTGAGGAACAAAGGGGTAACTGAACTAGGATCTGAAGCCAGGTCTTTTGACTCCAAATCCTATTCTCTTTCTACTATGTCTAGCATTCAACAAAATGGAGAAGCCTGCATTTTAACCTCAAATATTATCCTTCCCGTGGTTCTGCATTTCAACAGAGACTGAAGCCTGGAGTCAGAAGAATGACTGGTGCTATTTCAGGCAGTTAGCTGAATCGGGGCTATCCACCCCACCCCACCCCCATGCAGCCCTGATCTACAGCCTGCTGGCCATCCTCCTTGGAAGATTGTCAAGGTATTCAGTGTCCTTCCTAAAACTTAGTGCTCCAAACTGAACACAATATTCTATTTATATATCTTTTTTTTTTAATGGGGCAATGGGGTTAAGTGACTTGCCCAGGGTCACACAGCTAGTGAGTGTTATGTGTCTGAGGCCAGGTTTGAATTCAGGTCCTCCTGACTCCAAGGCTGGAGCTCTATCCACTGCACCACATAGCTGCCCCAGACATGGTCTATTCTAGACATTGTCTGAATGTAATAGAGTATAGTGGGACTATTACCTCCCTATTTGATACTCTTCGAATTCAGCTCAAGCTTCAGTTTTTAGTGGTGGACACAGCCCACTGTGAACTCATACTGAGGCCACTAAATCCCCTAGATCTTCTTCATACCAACTGCTATCTATCCAGACTTCCTCCATCTTGTACATGTGTGAAGTTGATTTTTTGAACCCAAACTTTACACTGATCCATATCAAGTTTTGATTCAGTTCAATCTTCTAGCCTGTCAAGATCTTTTTTGGATCCTGACTGTTATTGAATATATTATCTTCCCCTACTAAATTTTTATGCCATCTGCAAATTTGATGAGTAGGCCATTTATGGCTTTAGCTAAGTCCTTGATCAAAATGTGGACTAGCCAAGCTGGACAAATAGGCATGCCCACCACCAAACACTAACACTGAATTACAGAATTGTTGAAGTGCTGAAGTATCCAACCTCTTATCATCTCCATTAGACATGTGTTGGGCAGACCTTATGCACTGGCACACCAGACCATTCCAAATATCTTAGTTCTAGATGAGAAATTAGCTAGGAAAACAGCTCTTCACTTACCAGATCAATATCAGAGAAATAAGCCCAGGCCTTACAGTCAAACTCCTTGTCAGTAGGTGCCATATGGGGCTCCACCTTCCAAGAATATGTTTTAGTCTCTTCAGGTTTCACCTCTTTCTTTCTAAGGTCACTGTCTTGCCCCTGATGTTCCTCATAGGAAATGAGGCTAGAATAGAAGGAATAAGGCCGAGAAGCCTGGTTCTTGAAAGTGACCTGCAATAGAGAAAGAATGCAAACATCTCCACAGAAAGAAGTAAGATCCCTGGGCACATTTCTTATTAAATTAGCCTGCTCTCCCCATCTAGTCCCACTTTCATGGCTGTTTTCTCTGGGCTCTCTTACTCAATCCCAGACCTCTGAGGGTCCCTGGATCTGCTTACCTCTCCTCTCTACTTTGGATCACAGGTCAGTCAATAAATATTAATTAAGCACCTACTATGTCCCAGGTGCTGAACTAAGCATTGGGGAGGTAAAGAAAGGCAAAAGACAGTCCCTGACCTCAAAGGAGCCTATATTCTAATGAGAAAGACAACATGCAGACAACTCTGTCTGTAGGCAGGAGATAATGCAGATAATTGAGAGAAGGCACTGGAATAAAGAAAGAATGGGAAAGGCTTCCTGAAGAAAGTGGGATTTTAGCTGGGACTTGAAGGGATCTAGGGAAGCCAGTACACCGAGATGGAGAGGCTGAGCATTCCAGGCAGGGGGGGACAGCCCGAGAAAAGACCTGGAGTCAGCAGATGGAGGGACTTAAATGCCGAACAGAGCATTTTATATTTGATACTGGAGATGATGGGGAACCACTGGAATTTACTGAGTGTGTGTATATGGGGTGACTGTACTTTAGGAAAGTCACTTTGGTGGCTGAATGGAGGATGGCCTGGAATGGGGATAGACTTGAGGCAGGCAAAGCCCCCCCGCCAGCAGCTACTGCAGTAGTCTAGGCATGAGGTGATGAGGCTTCCATCAGGGGGATTGTCAGTGTTAGAGGACAGAAGGACTGTATTTGAGAGATGCTGCAAAGGTGAAATTGACAGGCCTTGGCAACAAATTGGATATAGGGGTGAGAGATAGTGAGGAGTCCAGGATAACTCCTAGGTTGTGAGCCTGGGGGACTGGGAGGATGGTGGTCACCTCAAAAGTAATAGGAACATTTGGAAGTGGGAATGGTTTGATAGATAAAGATAATGAGTTCTGTTTTGGATATGTTGAGTTTAAGATGTCTGAAAGGTGGTTGGAGATGGGAGACTGAAGGTCAGAGGAGACTTGAGAATCATCAGCAAAGAGATGATCATTGAATCCATGGGAGCTGATGAGATCACTGAGTAAAGTAGTATAGAGAGAAAAGGGAGGAGTTTCCAAGACAGAGCTGTAGGAGACACCTGCAGTTAGTGGGTGTGGGTCTAGATAAGGAATGGTCAGATAACTAGGAGGAGAACCAGGAGAGAATGGGGTCCTGAAAACCTGGAGAGGAAAGACAATCAAGGAGACAAAGGCAGCAGAGACATCAAGGAGAATGACAGTTGAGAAAAGGCAATGAAGATGTCATTAGTAACTTCTGAGAGAGTAGTTTTAGTGGAATGATAAAGTTAGAAGACGGAATGAAGGGGGTTAAGAAGAGAGTGAGAGGAGAGGAAGTGGAGAAACCTGTTGTAGATGGCCTTTTCAAAGAGGTTAGCCACAAAAGGCAGGAGAGATACAGGACAATAGTTAGGGAAGGTAGAAGGATCAAGTGAGGCTTTTTTGAGGATGGGGAAACAAGGGCATGCTTATAGGTAGCAGAGAATGAGCCAGTAGACAGGGAGAGATTGAAGATAAGTGAAAGAGTGGAGATGATAGAGAGGCCAATCTGTTGGAGGAGACAGGATGGAATGGGATTGCTTGTGCAGGTGGACACGTTAGCCTTGGTAAAGGGAAGGGTTACCTCTTTACATAAGTCAAGGGCGAAGCAGATAGTGGCAGAAGGCATCTGAATGATGAGATAAGGAAGAGAAGAGAAAAGAGAGTTCTCTGTGAATAGTCTCAATTCTTTCAGCAAAATCTGAGGCAAAGCTCTCAGATGAGAAGTTGTGGGGAGGAAGACCATGGGAGGTTTGAGGAGGGATGAAAAGGTTTGAAAGCAGAAGAGCCTCTGTGGAGAGTGGGAGTGAGTTGATAAGGGAGGTATAGAGGGACTGCTGAGCAGCAGTGAGGGCTCATTTGAGGTTATGTAACATAAATTTATAGTGGACCCAATCAGAATAGTAGTGTGATTTTCTCCAGATATGTTCAATAGCACATCAATAGGAGCAAACGCAGAGGATAGCAGGAGTGATCCGAGGCTGAAGCTTGGCAGGACAAGGTTGATGATCGAATAAAGGGACAAGAGACTCAAGAGAAAAGGACAGTGTAGAGTTGAACTGGTTCACCAAGGGGCAAGATGGAGAAAAGAGGTGAGTATAGTGAGTACAAAGGTGATGGTCTGGGAGAGAACTGAGGAGTCAAGGGATTGGAGGTCATGGTGTAAAAAAAGAACAAGGTTTGGGGCTGCAAGGCAGAAATGGAATGACAACAGATTTTGATCAGATAAGGAAACTTCAGAATTCATAAACATGGAAGTGGTACATTTGTGGGTGATTGGTAAGATCAGGGGTATGTCAATCTTTATTATAGCTAAAGTGGGGTGGAGGAGGAGCTCTTGGGAACTCAAAGCTTAGGATGTTAGAGAGTATTAATGTGGATGTTGACGTCTCCTAGAATGAGGACAGGAGTTTGGGAGAAGAGATTGTGAGCCAAGCACTGAATTCATTTAGGAAAGGAGATGAGTGTCAGCAGATAATAGCTATTATGAGAGAATATTTGTAAAGCCCTTTGCACAGTACCTGGAAAACAATAGGTGTTTAATAATGTTTGTTACCTTCCTTCTTTCATATGAAATGACAAGATCCTAGCTCTAGATCTGGAAGGGGCCTCAGAACCCCTGGAATCTAAGACCCTTATTATACAAAGCAGGAAACTGAGGCCCAAGGAGTTGAAGTGACATGCCAAGAACACATTGGGAGTAAGCGGCAGAGATAGGATTTGGGCTCAGGTCCTGTGCCTACAGGTCAAGGGCTCTTCATACCCCAGTCCTGCTAAGATGGACCCTCTTCCCAGTCACACAGATTTTAAGCATTACAAAAGCTGTTCCTAAGAAAGTTGGGTTAGCTCAATGGTCAAGATTCATTCTGGTTGTCAGTCAAGTTGAAACCAGACCATTTTTGAAAAAAAACTTTTGGTTCTTAAAACCCTTAAGGAACAAGTTCTTCACCTGGAATTTCAATGACTTTTCTAGGAAGATATATAAATAAAACTTTATTTTCTAATCAGTCTATAAGAGATCCACATGTTATATCAACTTTAAACAAAGTCAGCACATTAACTGTTACTACAAACTCCTAAATGAAAATGGAAAAATACAGGCAATTCTAAGAAGTGGCTTGGAGCCCAATGCCTTCTGGCTTCTTTGCTGGGCAGTGCCAATGGATCAAAGGAAGTGTCTGTTGTATTTGATGCTATTACAAGCATCTCTACCTGAGGGCACCCTGGCCTTCCTGCCAAAACAGAACCTTGGAAAGCTCAGAAGCTGATTCAGATATGTAGCTACAGCCTTGCATCATAGCTTACTCTGTGCCAATATACACTGAGGGGGATGGGGGGAAGAGGGGCTTAGCAATTGGGTCCCAGCCCTTCTTATCTCCATTGGTTGTTCAGTGGTTTAGTCCTGTCCAACTCTTCAGGACCCTGTGGACCATAGCATGCCGATACTGTCCATGGGGTTTTCTTGGCAAAGATACTGGAGTGGTTTGCCATTTCCTGTTCTTATCCCTATACCCAGTCTCTATTCCTGCTCTGCCACTAAAGTCACATACCCCTACTGTTTTGTCAATCCAAACTTTCCAACCACAATACTCACTCAAAGTTCCTTTCTAGAACACTGATCTATGGCAGCCTCTAGGGCTGGCCTCTCCACATGGCTCACTGTCTTTTGGGAAGGATCCTACTTTTAGCTGAGCCTACTATCACCTAAAGCCAGCTTCTGTCTTGGGTGAACTATGGAGAAACATGGCTTTTGTACATTCTTAGGCTGGTAGAATTTAGGGGAAATTGGATTCCCTCAGGGGCAGAAAAACACTGGTGGCAAGAAGGACCCCTCACCCCTCCCAGGAGAATAGCTGACGTTTCTTGGCAGATGCTTAGATCTGGGGTGGTATACTATGGGGTAGACTTTAGCCAGAGTAGCCCAGTGAGATCTGCTGCTACTCCCCATCCCCTCCATTATATAGACATGATCCATTTGAGTCCCACAACAATCTCAGGAGGTATGACATTGTGTGTAATGTCCCCCCTTTTCTTTAGCAGATGAAGAAACAATGAGGAATAGTGGCTTGCCCAAGGTCACATAGTTATTCAATGTCTATATCAGGATTAAAATTCAAGTCCCCAGAAGGGATCCAACCTGACCTGTGAGTGTAGGTACAAGTTGTGAAAGCAGTCCAGAGTGGGGGTCAGTCATTGTCATAGTCGTCGTTGTCATCATCATAAGGTAGATTTTTCCTTTGATGGATATTTTCCGAACTCACCACAATATAGTCTTCAACTTCTGCTCTGATATATGGCCCCAGGAGTCCCAGGTGTTCAGTCAGCTCCCCACGATCCAGAGGCTCCATAAAGGAACGATCAGCAAACTCCTGGAAAACCACTTTCTTATATTTCCAGGCACTGCCATTCTGCACCCTAAAAAAACATGGAAAGAGAGAAACCAGCCAGTTATCAGTGACCTTCTAATCAAGTTCAGCCCCCCAGTGTTGTTGCACTGTACCTGATCAGCAGGGGGTCCCTGCTGGGGGTCAACATTCAGGAAGAGGCCTCAGGGGAGTATTGCTCCTAGAAACAGTCATATCTGCTACTCAAGTAGTTGTTCTCCTGGACATTTTTTCTTTTCATTTACAAGGCATATGGAAGATAGAGGATAAAGACAAGATGGCAGGGTTTTAAGGCTAAGCCTTCCCTGTCTGTATAGCTTGGTCCCAAAGTGCTCAAGTCAAAGAGTGATTGAGTAGGTCCAAAGAATGTGGCGGTAAATCAGCAAAGCTTGAGGATCAGACAATGGGGCCATTACAGTGGGTTGTTCAGAGCTCGGGTATCCAGCTGGGCCACAGGAGGGTAATGGCCTTGGGGCAGCTTCCTCATTTGATACAAAGTGTGGGAAATCAACTTTGATAGTCACCTTCCTGGAAGCTTCTCTTTTATGACAGAAGGTCAGCTTACAGCCTCCATCCCTGCTTTTAGCCCTTGGATGGCACAGTCCCAAGCCTCTTTGGGAAGATTGCCCTTAGATCCACATCCACTTGTCACACTGTCAAAAGGAACAATCACAACTGAGAAGTTTCAGGGTTCTCCCTCACAGCCCCTTGGGAATTAATTTTTCCATCTCATTTTGACTGTTGGATACTACACAGGTAGTCTTAGCTGATCAAAATGCACCAGCAACCAACCAATAGTCCATTATTTATTAAGTGACTACTATGTGATAAGCTCTATGCTAGGTGTTAAGGATACAAATACAAAGAATGAAACAATCCCTGCCTTCAACAAGCTGACAGTCTACCAGGAGAGACATGTACCACAGAAAAGTGTTCTGAACAAATATATGAAAAATAAATATAATGGAGTTATATACAAGGTACGTAGGGAAGGGGTGGGGGAAAGGGTGGGTGATAGCAGTTGGGAAGGAGCAGGAAGAATGAGGGCAGGCCCCAAGCAGAAGGTGGTGCTTCAGCTGTTTCTTTAAGGAGGTAAGGGACTCCATGAAGCAGAGGTGAAAAGGGAGGGCATTCCAAGTGTGGGGCCAGACAGTACTGAGATAAGAGATGAATTGTTGTGGATGAGGAATCTAGAGAAGGCCAGTTTGGCTGGATTATAGGGCTAGGAAGGTTGGGTCCAGATTATAAAGGTCATAAAAGCCAACTAGTAGTTTCTATTTTATCCTGGAAGCAATAGAGTAGGGGAGTGGCATAGTCAAATCTGCATTTTAAGAAAATCACTTTGGCAACTGTGTGGAGGAGAGTGGGAAGAGACTTGAAGCCAAGAGACCCATTGCAGGCTATTGCAATTCTAGTGGGAGGAGATAAAGGCCTGAAGCAAGGTGGTGGCTCTGTATGTAGAGATAAGGGGACATATTACCGGGATGTTGTAGAGATAACAATGCAGGATTTGTCAATCAATCGAATGAGGAAGAGCGAGGAGTTGAAGATAAGGCTGAGGGTACAAACTTGAGAGACTAGAAGAACCACCTTCAACAGGAACAGGGAAATTTGAGAGGTAGGGATTTTGGGGTGAAAGAGAATAGGCCCCGGATATCAGTGTGTACATCCCTGGAAAGAATACTGCCAAGTTAAGTGAACTTATGCACAGTATTCAAAACTTCTTCATTTGCTATAACTAATGGTTCCACGTATGGATGGTGTGGTGCTGGCTGATGGAGTACCAGTGTTTTCTTGGTGTTAATTGCTAGGCGAAAATTAGCACAAGTGGTAGAGAATTGACCCATACTTTATTGCAACCTCACCTTCAGGCACTGTTTTAGGAAGATTCTGAAGATCACCTGGCAAGGTAAGATATTGGACACTGAGGTCCTTTCTCGAGCATTCAAACTCTACTACAGAGAGCATAACTCCCGATGGGCTGGCCACATTGTTTGAATGCCAAATATTCTAACTCCCCCAAATCACCTGACATCCTGTCCCTATTACTTAACCTCCCGAGTAAGGAAAATGTCTGAGTAGCCTCCCATGACAGTTTCCTTTTGCTGTATGTAGCATTGCCCTGCTGTTGCTGTTCAGTTGTTCAGTCATGTCCCATGCTTTGTGACCCTGTGGACCGTAGCATGCCAGTGCTGTCCATGGGGTTTTCTTGGCAAAGATACTGGAGTAGTTGGACATTTCCTTCTCCAGTGGATTAAGGCAAATAGAGCTGAAGTGATTTGCCCAGGGTCACACAGCAAGTAAGTATCTAAAGCTGGATTTGAAGTTAGGTCTTCCTGACTCCAGACCCAGTGCTCTAGCCACCTAGCTGCCTCCTAATATTGCCCTAAGGTTGTAAAAAAAACCTAAAAAAATTAAAACAACAAACCCTATCCATACATATGTGTATCTCCCTTTGTTCGGGTATTGTTATCCACCTGACAACTCACCTTCACCTGTTGGTAATTATACTTTTTGCTCTTCTAACACAGCTCCTTATTTATTGATCTCCAGTCAAAGGGTCAAAGGTAGAAAAAATTATTCTCTGGAGGGATCTTAGGACACCTGGGTTGAAGAATTGCCCAAAACTTTGGCACAGTCAACAGGATGACTAGAGCTCCCAGGTAGAATAGGAGGAGATTCTTCGATGTCAGGATGGCTGAGATACCTACTGGGTCACATTTCTTACCTACATCAGCCTCGTGGGACTCAACCATCTCTGATGTTCCATTGGGCAATGCGTCATTTTCCTCAAATTCTTTACATTGTGTGAGGCTGGCTAGACTATAACTTGAGGAGACCTCTTAAAAATTAGGCTGGTATTTAAGACAGTAGCTCCTGGCTCGCTTTTGGTAAAGACTGGGCCCTTTGGTGTATTTCTTATACAGCAGCCTTGCTGTCAGAGGCATTGGCAGGAATTTCATCTCTCTGGCTTACTTTCGCAGAACTCTTGCACCTATTGTGGTCTTAATTAGGAACTAAGTTAGTTGTCCAGAACTAGGGCTATTTGACTTGGGCAAGAGCAACTTATTTGCAGGCAAGTAGCTTGCTGTAACTCAGGAGAAACCCCCATGCTCCAATGGGAGAGCCTCCTTTCTTCTCTTTGTGGCCATCTGGGCTAGGACTATGAGAAATCTGAACCTTGTGTCCTGCTATTTTGGTATTTCCCAGGCTACTAAACAAGAGATCTATCTAGTTCTGAGATGCCTATCTGATTTCTGAGCTGGAAGATAGACTCTGCTATGTGAGAGGATAAAAATTTCCCCAGAGGCTCTAAGAAGCCCAATTCAGCCAGAGGATAGACTGAATCATACTCAACCTGGCTCAAGAGAAGACAGTTAAATTTTCAGTGTGAGCATTTATACCTCAGAAATCAGCAAATGCTATAAGCCAGGGCCTGATTTATTGTTGATTGTCTAGACTTATGAAAGTGATGGAGAAAATGTTAATAAGGCTGATTAAATTTAAAAGTGTGTTCGCTGTGTGTGTGTATATGTGTGTTTACACACACATGTTTTTTTTTCCCCTGGAGGGCCTGTTGTTAAACATTTACTAGCACACTTTTAAATAATATCCATTCTTCAAAACCATAGAACAAAAGACATAACAAAAATGGCATAGAAACACATGTGAATAGCCTCAAATCCTGCATTCTACTGACAGAACCAGCTAAGGATGGGGCTACAGGCTCAATCTGGTTTTCTCCAGCCAAGGCATTCTAAATATGCCTCGTTGTAGCAGAAGCCTATGTGATTTCTTGTCCTAAGTAATTTCCATACTACTGTCCCTTCTAGTAGGGAGAAATAGCCAAATGACTCTACTGCAAATCTACAAGAGATCTGGAGAGAGCATGGGCATGGTGCAGGTTAAAGCAATTCTTTATTCACTGCCTTCCATTGAGGATGCAACCATCTAGAAGCCTTCTCCTGGGCTGTTTCACATTTCCTGGGAATCAGCACATATCCTGGCTGTCCAGTTAGTATCTCTTATTTGGGGAACATAGCCAGTCCACCTTCTTTCCTGGTCATAAATGTGAAGACTTCCACCACCCTGATCACTCTCCTCTGGCTGCCGGCCAGTCTTTCCTAAACTGTCACAGCCATGACTTAACGGAACAGTCTAGGAGTGCCCTGACAAGTCAGAGGACAAGTGGGACCATCGTTTCCTTGTTTCGGACACCAGTCTCAATACTCACATGGATCTGTAATGTCATTCATGTGGCCACTCTCTCCAGAGTCCAGATAGCCAGCCATTTCACTCTCTCTCACCCCAGGCAATTCTCGGTCTTGTCGTGCACAGAGGTTCTCCATTGTACTGGAGGTCTGCGTCCCTCTGGGTCCTTGACTGTACCATGGGTGCTGGTGTAGTTCTCAGGTTGTCCAGCTGTTCCTCTTCACTACCTCCTTTTCTGGTCGTACATTTTAACTCAATTCAATTCCTTGACGTTTCTCAAATGTCTTTCCATGCAAGGACCTGGGTTAGGTGTTAGATGATAGCTTTCATGCCATTTTTTCAAATGCCTTGCTTAAAAACCAGGCATGCCACATCTCCAGCACTCACCTGATTGCCCAGGCTAGTAACCCAGTCACAAAAGGAAATGGAGGTGTAGCTAGACAGCACAGTGAATAGAGCATCAGCCTGGAGTCAAGAGGACCCGAGTTCAAATCCAGCCACAGACACTTACTAGCAAGTGACTAGCAAGTCACTTAACCCCTGTTGTCTCAAAAAAAAAAAAGGAAACGGACTAAATCTGACATGACCTGTTCTGGTCATGCTTTTTAGTGACCACGTCTTCTTTTTTCAAATGCTCATAATCTCTCTCTTACTAATACATTCTAGGATTTTGCCTGGAATTGAAGTCAAGGCCATAGGCCTATCACTTTTTTAAAAATTGGGACATTTGCCCAGCTCCAGCCCTTTGACACTTCTCCCTTACGCTGTATTCTGACTCTGAAATTCCTCTTCCTCCCTATTCTGTCTTTTGGGGCCCTGAAAAACAAAGTTAATCTCTTGGTCACATGACAGATCAGACAGTTGAAGGCAGCTATCATGTTCCCCTGAATCATCTCTTTTTCAGTGTAAATAATCCTAATTCCTTCAACCAATCCTCATACGGCATACACACAAAGATCATCGCCATCTTGGTTGCCTCCTCTGGACATTCTCATGTCCTCTCTAAAATGTGATGCCCAGAACTGAATGCAATCATCCAGATGTGAGCTGACAGGACAGAGGACACCTGTCTAGAATTGGACACCATGACTTTCTTGATGCAACCTAAAATCACATTAGCTTTCTTGGTGCCTATTACTACTGTTGGCTTGGCCACCTACAGCCCCTATGCCATTCTTATACAAAGTACTGTTAGTTCAGATCTCCACCTTCCCATAGCTGAGAGGTAGAATGAAATGAATCCACTTGCAGCCCTCTGCCTAATTACTCACTTCTACCCTCCCTTCTTTTTTTTTTATTGTTATTACTATCTTTTGTTTTTATATTGCCTAAATTTCCCCTCCTTTTCCCTCCCCAGTCCCAGAGAGCCATCCCTTATAACACATCTTTTAGAAACAAAAAGAAAGAAAAGAAAAAAAAGAGGATAAAGAAAAAATCAGCAAAATTGATCAATACATTGAAAAAAAAATCTGACATTTGCAATATGCAGTATTCCACACCTGCGAACCCCCACCCTTCTCAACCACAGCAGAGGAGTGGAAACAGATGCCTTCTCATGTCTCTTCTTTGGGGTCTGGCTTGTTCTTGGCATTTCCCAGCATTCACTGTTGATTGTTCTGTGGTGGTTCCTTCCATTTCCATTCTTGTCGTCATTGTCCATATTGTTTTCCTGGCTCTGCTTCCTTCACTTGGCGTCAGTTCATGCTTCTCTGTGTTCATCATATTTGTCATTTCTCACAGCCCAGTAATCTTCCAGTACCATTCCAGCACCATGGTTTGTTCAGCCCTTCCTCAGTCAATGGACAGCTACTCTGTTTCCAGTGCTTTGCTACCACAAAAAGTTGGTGGATAAAGAACCTTCTTTTTACTCCTTGGTTTCTAATAGTGGAATCTCTGGGTCAAAGGGTATGGACATTTTAGTCACTTTTGCATAATGCAAATTGCTTTGCAGAATGGTTGTACTGATTCACAGCATTAGTGTGCCTATTAACCCATAACTCCTCCAACATTGACTTATTGCCATCTTTTGTCCTCTTTGCCAATTTGCTGAATATAAGGTAAAACCTCAAGGTTGTTTTGATTTGCATTTCTCTTATTAGTGATTTGGGACATTCTTTCACATGGTTGCTAATAGTTTTCAATTCTTTTGAGAATTGTTTGTTCATATCCTTTGACCACTTATCTATTCGAGAATGGCTTTTGGTTTTATATATATATATATATATATATATATACACACACACACACACACACACACATACATACATATATATGTGTGTGTGTGTGCATGTTGTAGAGATATACATAATATATATGCTATAGATATTTATAGACATATATTACGTATATATGTGTGTGTGTATATTAATCGTATATCTTGGAGAAATTTGATACAAAGATTTTTTTTCCCATTTGACCACTTCCCTTCTTATTGCATTAATTTTGTTTGTATAGAAGCTTTTAAATTTTATACAGTCAAACCCACCCTCACTTGTTTCAACTCCCTGTCTTACAGCTCTGCACTTATTTCCCCTGGTGAGCACCAAAGTACCCAAACTCTTACTTTTGAGTCAGAAGAATCCTCAACCAATGGTCAGCCTGTCCAAAAGACCCACTAGCAGAACAAAGGGAAAACCAAATGGGTTTTATAATAACATTTGGGGAACCTTACCGGCCTCCTAGGAAATGGGGAGATTTGTTCAGCCCATAGTCCCAGATTTTTTCCTGGGCAGCGATAAAGTAGTGGCGAGTTCGTTTCTGGAAACTGCGAGGCCCCTGGCTCTCACTATCTTCATAGATATCAAAATCTTCCACTTGGATGTCCAGGCTGCTGTCATCATAGCTGTCTTTTTCTGTCTCTAACTGGACAGAAGTCGGGACTGTTTCCTCTGGAAGGAAATTCAGTGCAGATGGTTGTTGAGGGCTCTCAGAAGAACTGAGGCCCAAGGTGGGAGGGGGCTCAGCTTGTTCCTGACTTGTTCCTTCTGTTAGTTTCTCCTCTCTCTTGAGTAGGCTTAGGTGGGGAATAGTATCTGTTTTGGGAAAAGCTTGATCTTCTGGCTGATGATCTTGGGATTTCCATTCTTCTCCTGTGAACATCTGGTTGGCAATATGGCTAGCCCAGAAAAAAGGATGTATTTCCTTTGGGAAAGGCCTTGCTAAAGCTTTGGCTTCCCCTTTTATTAAGGCCACTTCCTCTGACCTCATCCCTTTACTAGATTCAGTAGCTGCCTGAGATCTAAGAGAAATGGCCTCTGCTAAGTGATGTGGGTGGTCAGTGATACTTGAATGAGGAGCCACCTGCATCTCTGACCTGATGTCTAAGTCAGGCAGGTCTTCTTGATGTGCAGGCTTACCAGGATGTCTTTGGAAAGAGGTCATCTCTCCCTGGGCACTACCCACCTCTTGACCTTCAGAAAGCTCTAGGCTGAGGGTGTTTAATGTAACATTACTTTCTTTGATTGCATACATAGCCCAATTGCCTTCTTGAGTTTCATGGCTTCTTTCCTTGAGGTTGTTAATATGGTCTGTTGACTGGAGTTGAGAAGAGTCAGTGTAAGAAGAGGACAGAACCAACTGGGTAGGGCTTGGGGACGGAAATAACTGAGCCTTTTGAGAAGATACTGTGGAATCATCTGGCCTAGAGGCCCCTTGGCTACTCCCAGGCCAGTAGGTCAAGAGAGGATGGGAAGTGGCAGCTTTCTGTACCTCTCTAGAGTCTGGCTTGAGCATGTTACCTTGGAGAATAAATTGCCTTATTTTTGACCACTGGATTGCCTTGGCATTGTCTTCAAACTCATTCCCTGTTTCAGGCTCTTCCAGCAGTAGGCCCTGGGAAGGGCTCTTCTGACTTGGACTTGGGTCTCTATCTGCTCTTTGCTCACTGTGATTGTCTAAAGTATGACTCTCTGAGTTTATTTCCTTCACATTCTTTTGAAGTATTATTCCTCCCCTGGCAAATAAATGAGTCTTCTGAAGCCCTGCATCACTTGTTGGACTAATTAACGTATTGGTCAATAGTTGGGAGTTTGGTAAGACTAGCTTGAGTGTGTTCTCACTTCCTCCTTCCAATGTATCGTTCTCCTTGATGCTTGACAAGAAAAGGGCCTTAAGAAGCTTCTTTCTGTGGGTCACCAAGTAGGGTGGAGGTGAGGCTATATTCTCTGAGTCAGGTGTTTCCATTCTTTCTATCACTTCTTGAAACTGTGATCTTTGTCTTGGGGTATAAGTCCCCTGTATAGTGACTAACTGAGTAGGCCACACATTCTTGCTGTTGTCCTTAAGTCTCATTCCTCTGAGGTCAGGATCATTTGTAAATGTCTTCTCTGCTGGTGCCACTGTACTCTTTTCTGAGAAGGGATTCTTCCTATCCCAAAGCTCAAGTGCTAAGACTGTTGTCATGGGATGCTCCAAGGCAATCTCTGTCTCAGGGGCCTGGGGGTCCTTTCTCTCCTTTGCCCTTTTACCACTCACTAAATCTGGTGGTGACACTTTCCTAAAGAAAGCCGAGTCTTCCTGGTGAAATGATACAGTCTTCATACTGTCTATAGCCAGTGGGACAGAGCGTATTTTTCTTGGGGGGTCCATGAGCTCTTTTCTCAGGGCCATCTCATCAGCTGGCAGATGATGGGGCATGGGAACAGTTACATTCCTATCTGGGAGAGTGCTGCTGTTACCCTGAGAAGGTGTTTCATGAGACTCTGCATCTTTTACTGACACAATATCTTTCCCAACCAACAACCCGTTTTCATACAGTACCACTGGCCCACCCATAGGGAGCCTGGGAGGGCTTACAGAGCCACCAGCTGCCATATTTGATCTGACCAAAGAAATATTCCCTTTGAAGGCCTTTCCTTCAGCTGCTCTGGCTTCTTGAGCACTCATTTCTTGGAATCCTCCATCCATTTTGCTTTCTAGGGAAACTACTTTGTCATTCTTTGAAGCCACTTCTAAAGCCTTGGAGTCAGCAGGGTTAGGGTCCCTCAGCTGTATGGGTGTAGCTTTCTCAGCGAGGGGAGGGCCCTTTGGGCCTCCAAGGGTTTCTGGATGTCTTGACATGGACCCTGTCTCTTTCCATTGAACAAAAGGGATCTGTGAAGTAGTCTCTCTTAGGGCTGCAGCCATCAGGTTAGAAGCTAAAAGGGCTGGAGAAAGAGTTATATTCTCTGAGGACCTGGGAAGCTCAGAATCCTCCTTCCTCATGGGTACTCTGATCAGTGCCTGCAAATGCCCCCATGTGGGCTTATTGCTTTTGGGATGGAGGCCAGGCCGTATAAGTGGAATTGGTGACCCAATCCCATAGTGCTGGAATGTTTGGTTTAAACTAGGGGATTCAGTTGGCTTCCTGAGCTTTTGCACCCTGCCTGGGCCCTGACTACTTTGCTCTCTTGGCCCAGGGAGATAGTTCATAGGAAGAGGTTCATAGGTTGTATCTTCCAGAGCTGGTTGGAATAGATTACCTGGGTCAGCCAGGCAGTGCTTAGAAAGCACTGGTGTATCACCAGGCATCAAGTTTTGTGATGTGGGCCCCTGGCTCTCCTCCTGGAGGTGGGAGTAAACTTCCACAGGGTCAGAGTTGGATGCTGTGGTGCTTGGGGAGGGCAGCTTGTTGGGGCATGGGTGCTGATGCTGAATGCTCCTTAAGCTTCTGGGCTCCAGGAAGCTATCTTTCCTCAACAAGTCAGCTGGTAGCTCATCATAGTATTCCTGAGAATCCTCAGTGTTCCTGGCACAAGTTGCAACCTTCAACAAGGCTGTCATGCCTCTGTTCCTAAATTCAGGGTTGTGGCAGCCTAGCATCCAGGTACCTAGAGACAAGGGAAGAAGAGCAACAGCTTATTAGGAAGCAAAGCCTAGCCTAGCCCAGTCCAGCCTGGCTCAGGATGCTGCTCTGATATGCCTGTGCTAGCATTTCCTCTTTTCTGAGGCCACATGTATCTTCCAACGTATCTTCTCCTAGCATTCTCAGGTACAGGCATAGAAGCAGGAGAGATAGAGTTGGCATGGTGCCAACTGCTTTAAAGTTGACAAAGCACTTTATAGAGACTCACTTGAGTTTTACAACACCTTGGACAAAAGCATTCCAGGAAGAATTAGCCCCATTTTACAGGTGAAGAAATTGAGGCCCTGAGAGGTGATCTGACTTGCCAAGGTCACACAGCTATGAAGTGTCTGAGGAGAGATGGTTCTTCCAGACCCTGAGTCTAGCATCTACACCCACACCTTACCATGTGTCCTCACTCTGTAACTGGTATTGTTTCTCCCCTTTCCCTTCTGCCTTTTTCCCACTTTCTCCCTTTTCCCCTCTTCCTTCCTTCCCCTTCCTCTCTTCTCTTCTCTTGTTAAACTGGCCATAATGTGGAATTCCATTGTATTTTAAGAATATTTGTTGTATTTAAGGGATTTCAAAGTATCCGTATGGATTAAGTCAGAGATGTCAAACAGCCCAGGGGCCACATGCCTCCCCCAACACTCCCCAATGGGACAGAACCAAATTAAAATAGAGTCGGGAAATATTTAACAGAATATAACATAATGCTTTAGAATGTCATTTTATATATAATTTCTAATATATAATATATGCTAGCTAATATTAAATAATAAAATAGAGATAATATTACATTTTCAAACTAAGTCACACTGCAGCTCTGCTACAGGGAACCTTCTCTATGGTTTCATGTCCCCTGTTTCTATTTGAGTTTGACATTGCTGGATTAGTGGATAGAGGGTTGGTTTTGGAACCAGAACAACTGGGGTTCAAGTCCTTCCTCTGACACATACAGGCAGCATGACCCTGGGCAAGTTCCTTCCTCTTTCATCACTCTAGACAGCTCTCCAGAGCTAGAAACTGCCAAAGAGGTGCTGACCTACATTGGTAAGGAGAGTTCTCTCTCCTGGGCTTTCTCTATCCCAGTTTCTATCTCTGTTAGACTGATTGAACACAGGTTTGGTTCTTGTTTGTCATTTTTAGATCATACGAGCTGAAACTTTTCTATTTCTATACCTCAAAAGTAAAAATGAAATCCCTCAAGACAATCAAGTTTTGTGTTTTAGTTACATGTAGCCCTCAATGGCCCCTTTTCCTTGGCCCTTCACAGAATGGATTTCCCTGGGGCTCAGTAAGGACTGTCCTCCTCACCACCTTCCACCCCCAACCAACTCAAGGTCCTAGATCAGAACCCCAAAGAAAAGTGGCACCTGATGTTATCACAGCCCTTTCGCCTCCTTTTTCTCCTTTAATCTTTATACCAACCCTGTGAAGTCACTGTCTCAGGGATGGCTATGTACATTTCCCAGATGGGTGGGAGGGAGTGACTCATACCAGATTGCACAGCTCCTCAGTAGTCAAGTGAATCCTTTGCCACCTTGTCTGTACCACCTCGTCTTCCCAGGGATTAGAGAGGAGAAATAGAAATCCCAATGCAAATCTAACTAGGCTTTCATTCAAGTCTGGAGTGGTTTGTATGGAACTCCAGACTGCTGGAGGGAGTGCTGAGCACTGAGTGCATGATTGGTGCCAGAGGTTCTTTGAGGAGAAACAGATGTGGTTCCAAATAAGAAACAAGTGGAGAGAGAAGCAGTAGCCATGTAGGGGAAGCTGTCCTCAACATGGCCCTGATTTTCAGCTTGCCTTCCTAGAGATTGCTAGAATGAACTAACTTCGTCGAGATAAAGGCCTCTCTTGGTTTGAGCTGAGATAAAATAAGAGAGCTGAACCTTTGGTGGCAGCAGAGGGGCACCAGCCCCCTGGAGCCTTGCTGGGAAAACACAGGGAACTAAGATGACTGGCTAACTGAGGTCTGATAGGACGTTCCTCATCTGAGGAGGTCTAGAAAAGGGAGGTAGGAATAGAGCTGGTTCCTTTATGTTCCTCAGGCCTCCCTCTTTGCCTTTTTCTTAGTCTTTCTTCCAGGGACAGCAAGCAGGGATTTCTGTGACTGGGTCACAGATGGCAGCCCTCCAGTCTGGCCTGGAGCTCACACTCAAGGCCTGCCAATTCAGCAGAACACACCAGTGCTTGGCCCTTCATTCAGAGAGACTTGAAGAGCCTAGGCTTAGCTGCCCACAAAGATAAGGTCTTTGTGGGGAACTGCCAGCTATCTTAGTAGGTCCCAAAGTAACAAAATCAAGTGATAGCTCCACTCCACTGATTCACTGGCATTGTTTGAAAAAGCTGAAATGGCCAAGTTATGGTTTAGGGTGAGTGTTGACAAGCCCCAGGGCATGAGACCTGGACTGACCTGGGGCCTGCCACTTGTCTTCATCTTTTTGGCCCCATCTGGACAGTGGAGGTGCTATCTCCACAACCACCCCCAACCTCTCTCTCAATCTTTCTCTCTCTCTCTCTCTCTCTCACATACACACACACACACACACACACTCACACACACACTCTCACACATCCCTCTATCACTCTTACTCCTGCCCTTTGAGGCCAAGTAGGACAAGCTTAGTGCCTTTGGTCTCTATGCACAAACTAAGGCTACTCTAGTTTCCGCATACTTCACCTTTCTAAGACTCAGCTTTCCCATTTGCAAAACGAGAGCTTTGGACTAATTGATCTCTCAGGGGGTTTCCAGTTCTGACATTCTGTGACTCTGAGCTTTGTTTTTTTCTCCCAGATGTGGAAACTCAATGCTTGATTTGGGTATGGTCATTAAGCACTACTTCCTACTTCTCCAAATCCATTGATTTGGGTTTTAGTATTGGCCCAAAGGTTTGCTACAGTGTAGACACTCCCAGGGATACAGTGATGTGGCCGGTGGTCACTATTCTGAGTAACTGACCCGGGTTATCCATGGTCATGTAGACAGTGTCTCCAGAAAATGGGAAGAGGGTAAGTGTGTCCTCAAAGACCATATTGTGCTTGAAGGTATAGCCAGAGAAAAAGACAGACAAGAAATCGGTCTGGGCTCCAACGCTGAGTATGTGCCAGTAAGCCACTTCGTGCAAGCAGGCAGCCAGGTGTAAGCTGTTGAACACATAGCCATTGATACCTGAAAGGCAATGAAGACCAAAAGATTTTCTCAGGGCTACAGTGTCCATACCACAGCTGATAAGGAGACTGTTAGAGATAAATATGTGGCAAGCAATCAATCAATAAACATTAATTAAGTGAACTGGGATTATGTGAATTGGGACTCTCAGATCACTCCTAGACAAATATAATTTTGCTATCACAGAAAAACATGTTATAAATCAGCCTCACACACAAAGTGAGGAGTCAAGCAGGCTCAGGGACCAAAAAGGAAGGCTCTAGATCTCAGGAATAGAAATCAGTCAGGAGAAAGCCCTAGAGCCAAGGGACTAATTCCCAGAGTTGAGACCCCACCCCTCAAGCTCCCAGTAGCTGACCAGAGATCAACAAGAATACTAATGGCCAACATTTTGGTAGGATTTGAAGGTTTCTACAGAGTTTTATGTACAACAATAACGAATCAATAAATAAGCATTTAGTAAACATCTAGTATGTGACAGGCACTGTTCTGGGTAGAAGGAGTTTAGAGACAAAAAGGATAGTTCCTGCTCTTTAGGAGCTGACATTCTATTAAGTGAGACAATGTGGACCTCTGTAAGGGTTTACAGGACATCTACAAAATTAATAAATACAAGGCATTTTTATGGGTAGCCCTAGCTGCTTGGGGGAGGGGAAGATGTGGAAGGCATGAGTACCTGAGCTGAGCTTGGAAGGAAACTCAAGTGTCTAGGTGGCCAAGGTGAAGAAAGAATACATTTCAGGGATACAAAGGCATGGAGATGGGAGATAGAAAAAAAGAAACTGGCTCACAGAGTGCCTAAAGGGGAATGATATATAATAAACCAGAACAAGATTGCAAAGGGCTTTAAATACCCACCAGAAGAATTCTTTTAATCTGAAAGGCAACCATTAGGAGCCACTAGAACTTTTTGAGCAGGGGACTGACATGGTGTGCAACAGAAAAATAACTGTGTGTAAAATTGTAATTGTGTATATGAATTGTAAAAGAGAGAGACTTGAGGCAAGGAAACCAATTAGCAGACAGTTGCCTCCAGATGAGGAGAGATGAGGGCACTGACTGTATCTGTGGTATGTGGGAGAGGGAAAAGTTGAGGATTACATTGAGGCTGAGAACCTGGTTGAATGGAAGGATGGTTGTTGTTTTTCAGTCACGTCTGACTCTTCATGACTCCATAGACCACAGCATGCCAGGCCCTTCTATCTTCCACTATCTCTCAAAGTCTGTCCAAGTTCATGTTAGTTGTTTCCATGACACTATCTATCCATCTCACCCTCTGCTGTCTCCTTTTCCTTTTGCCTTCAATCTTTACCAACATCAGGGTTTTTTCCAATGAGTTTTGTCTGCTCATTATGTGGCCAAAGTATTTAAGCTTCAGCTTCAGTATTTGACCTTCCAGTGAATAGCCTGAATTAATTTCTTTAAGTATTGACTGATTCTACCTTCTTGCTGTCCAAGGGACTCTCAAAAGTCTTCTCTAGCACCACAATTTAAAAGGGTTGATTCTGTGGTTCTCAGCTTTTATAGTCCAGCTCTCACAGCTATACATTGCTACTGGAAAAACCATAGCTTTAACTATAAAGACATTTGTCCACAAGGTGATATCTTTACTTTTTACTATGCTATCCAGATTTGCCATAGCTTTCCTTCATAGGAGCATCTTTTAATTTCATGGCTGTAGTCACCATCTGCAGTGATCTTTGAGTCCAAGAATTAATCTGACACTTCTTCCATGTCTTCTCCCTCTATTTGCCAGAAAATATGGGACCAGTTGTCAAGATATTAATTTTTTTTTACATTCAGCTTCAAGCCAGCTTTTACACTTTCCTCTTTCACCCTTATCAAGAGGCTTCTGCACTCTTCACTTTCTGCCATCAGAGTAGTATCATCTGCCTGTCCGAGATTGTTGATATTTCTCCCAGAAACCTTAATTCTGACTTTTGATTCTTCCACCTTGGCATTTCACATGATGTACTCTGCATATAGGTTAAATAAATAAGGTGACAATATACAGCCTTGTCGTACTTTTTCTCCAGTCTTAAACCAATCACTTAGTTGTTCCATGTTCAGTTCTAACTGTTGCTTCTTGGCCCACATACAAGTTCCTCAGGAGACAAGTAAGACAATCTGGTACCCCCATCTCTTTGAGGACTTGCCACATTTTGCTGTGATCCACACAGTCAAAGGCTTTAGTGTAGTCAATGAAGCAGAAGTAGATATTTTTCTGGAACTCTCTTGCTTTCTCCATAATCCAGCAAATGTTGGCAATTTGGTCTCTAGTTCCTCTGCCTCTTTGAAAACCAGCCTGCTCTTCTGGTAATTCTCGGTTCACACATTGCTGAAGCCTAGTTTGCAGAATCTTAAACATAACCTTGCTGGCATGTGAAATGAGCACAGTTGTTTGGTAACTTGGTTTTTTTTTTTGGGGGGGGGTGTTAGGCAATGGGGTTAAGTGACTTGCCCAGGGTCACACAGCTAGCAAGTGTTATGTATCTGAGGTCAAATTTGAACTCAGGTCCTTCTGAATTCAGGGCCGGTGCTCTATCTAATGCGCGACCTAGCTGCCCCTATGTGTTTGGTAATTTGAACATCGCTTGGCATTGTCCTTCTTTAGGATTGGGACATAAACTGATCTTTTCCAATCCAGTGGCCGTTGTTGTGTTTTCCAAATTTGCTGGCTTCTTGAGTGCAGCACTTTAATAGCATCATCTTTTAGGGTTTTAAATAGCTCAGCTAGAATTCCATCACCTCTACTAGTCTTATTGCTTACTATGCTTACTAAGGCCCACTTGACTTCATTCTCCAGGATGTCTGGCTCTAGATCAGTAACCACACCATCATGGTTATTGGTGATGTTAAGATCTTCCTTATACAGTTCTTTTGCATATTCTTGCCACCTCTTCTTAATCTCTTCTGCTTCTGTTAAATCTCTACCATTTTTGTTTTTTATCACGCCCATTTTTGGTATCAGCACCATATTTGTATCATAAAAAGAATTTGGTTAAGACTCCTTCTTCACCTATTTTCCCAAATAGTCTATATAGTATTGGAATTAATTGTTCTTTAAGTGTTTGATAGAATTCACATGTAAATCCATCTGGCCCTGGAGATTTTTTCCTAGGGCTTGTTATCATGCCCAACTTTGCATGAAACTTTCCCTTAATATCCCTAATTTTCTTGAAGAGATCTCTAGTCTTTCCCATTCTATTGTTTCCTTCTATTCCTTTGCATTATTCATTTAAGAAAACTTTCTTATCTCTCCTTGCTATTCTCTGAAATTCTGCATTCAGTTGGATATATCTTTCCCTCTCTCCTTGACATTTCTCTCTTCAGCTATTTGTAAAGCTTCATCAGACAGCCATTTAGCTTTCCTGCTCTTCTTTTTTCTTTGGAATATTTTTTTGTTGCTGCCTCCTGTACAATGTTACAAACCTCTGTCCGTAGTTCTTCAGGCGCTCTATCTACTAAATCTAATCCCTTAAATCTATTCATCACTTTCACTTCATATTCATAAGTGATATTTTAGGTCATACCTAATATGGTCTAATGGTTTTCCCTACTTTCTTCAACTTAAGTCTGAATTTTGAATAAGAAGCTCATGATCTGAGCCAGTCAGCTCTAGGTCTTGTTTTAACTGACTGTATAGAACTTCTCTACTTTTGTGGTTGCAAAGAATATAATCAATTTGATTGTCACATTGACCATCTGGTGATGTCCATGTATAGAGTTGCCTTTTATTGAAAAAGAGTGTTTGTCAGGAAAATGATAAATGTTGGAGAAGATGTGGGAAAACTGGAACACTAATGCATTGTTAGTGGAATTGTGAAATGATCCAACCATTTTGGAGAGCAATTTGGAACTATGCCCAAAGGGCTATAAAAATGTGCATACCCTTTGACCCAGCAATAGCACTTCTAGAGTTGTGTCCCAAAGAGATCATACAAATGGGAAAAGGACCCACATGTACAAAAATATTTATAGCAGATCTTTTTTGTGATGGCAAAGAATTGGAAATTGAGAGGATGCCCATCAACTGGGGAATGGCTGAACAAGTTGTAGTATATGAATGTAATGGAATACTATTGTGCTATAAGAAATGATGAGCAGGCTGACTTCAGAAAAACCTGGAAAGACTTATATGGTCTGATGCTGAGTGAAGTGAGCAGAACCAGGAAAACATTGTACACAGTAATAGCCATGTTGTGCGATGACTAACATTGATAGACTTAGCCTTCCTCAGCAATGCAAGGATCTAAGATATCTCCAGAGGTCTCGTGATGGAAAATGCTATCTACATCCAAAGAAAGAACTATGGAGTTTGAATGCAGATTGAAGCATACTATTTGCTACTTTTTTCTTATGTTTTGTTTTGTTTTCTCTTTTTTGTGGTTTCTCCTATTGGTTCTAATTCTTCCTTACAACATCATTAATGTGAAAATATGTTTAATAGAAATGTATATATATAGCCTATATCAGATTGTGTGCCATCTTGGGGAGGGACATAGGGAGGGAGGGGGAGAAAAATTTAAAACTGAAAAGCTTATGGAAGTGATTGTTGATAAATCGAAATAAATTTTTAAAAAAGGAAAAAAAAAGGAAAAGAGTGTTTGTAATGACCAGAGAGTTATCTTGACAAAACTCTATTAGTCTCTGCCTTGCTTCATTTTGTATTCCAAGGCCAAACTTGCCTGTTATTCCAACTATCTTTTGATTTCCTACTTTGGCATTCCAATCCCCTATGATGAATGTGACATCTTTGCATATGTATGTGTTATTTTTAGAAGATGTTGTAGAACTGACCAACTTTGGCCTCCTTGGCATCAATGGTTGGAGCACAGACTTGTATTACTGTGATGTTGAATGGTTTGCCTTGAATTCAAACAGATATCATTTGGTCATTTTTAAGATTATACCCCAGTACTGCTTTTCTCACCCTTTAATTAACTATGAGGGCTATTCAATTTCTTCTAAGGGATTCTTGCCCATAGTGGTATATGAAGTGATCATCTGAATTAAGTTTACCCATTCCCATCCATTTAAATTCGCTGACACCCAAGATGTTGATTTTTCATCTTTCCATCTCTTGTTTGACCACATCCAGCTTACCTTGGTTCATGGATCCTACATTCCAGGTTCCTTTGTAATACTGATCTTTAAAGCATCAGACTTCCATTTCATCAGCAGACATCCACAGCTGAGCTTCCTTTTGGCTTTGGCCCAGCCACTTCATTTGCACTGGAGCTACTTGCAGTTGTTCTCTACTCTTCCCCAGTAGCGTATTGGACACCTTCTGACCTGAGGGGATCATCTTCCAATGTCATCTCTTTCATCATTTTAATACAGTTCATGGGGTTTTCTTGGCAAAGATACTAGAGTGGCTTGCAATTTTCTTCTTCAGTGGATGGTAGTAAACTCAAATGAATTAGAAAAATTCAGAAGAAGGGTAAATTTTGGGGAAAAGATAATGAATTCCATTTTGGACATATTGAATTTGAGAAGTGTACTGGACATCTGGTTCAAACTGTCCACTGGACAGCCGTTGCTGCAGGCCGGGGCTCAGAAGAAAATCCAGGGCTAGAAACACAGATCTGGAAGTCAGCTGCATAGAGATGATAACTGAACCCATGGGAACCATAAGGCGATCAGCAGAGAGAATATAGAGAAAAGAGAAAGGGGCCCAAGATAGAGCCTTAGGATAGCCTTTCTGACCACAATATTTTGGCTTTCCACCTCTCCCTCTGCCTTCCCTTGCCAAATTCTACTCTTCATCCATACTGTGAACTCCAATCCCTCAACCCCTCAATTCTCTACCAAGTTATTTCCTCTGCACTAGCTACTTCCTCCTCTTTTCTTCTTCAAACCTAAGCCTAACCCTTGGTGAACCAGTTCAACTCTGGACCATTCTCCCATCCCGAGTCCCTTACCATTTTACCAATTTCACCCTGCCAAGCTTCCTTGGATCATTCTCACCATCTTCCATCTTCACTCCTACATACATGCTTCTGAACAAAGGTGGAGAGAAACATGAAACTGACTGGGTGCACTATAATTTTATGTTATATAACCTCAACTGGGCCCTCACTGATGCCACACAATCCTACTCTCCACAGAAGCTCTTCTAAACTTTTTTATTCTTCCTTGAATTTCCCATGGCTTCTCCTCCCCGCCCCCCTCAGCTGAGAACCTTGCCTCATATTTTACAAAAAAAAAAATTTGAGGTCATTTGCCATTAGCTCCCTCTTCTCTTCTCTATCCCATATCACTTGAATGTCTTCTGCTGCCATCTCTTCCTTCACATCTATCTCACACAAAGAGGTGGCCCTTCTCCTTGCAAAGGAAACTCGCATTCTATTCTCTCTCCTCCAACAGTTTGCCTCCTCTGTCTTCCTGACTCTATCGTTTATCTTCAATTTCTCCTTGTCTACTGGTTCCCTCCCTACTGACTACAAACATGCCCATGTCTACTCAAAAAATCTTCACTTCATCTTTCCATCTCTGATAACTATTATCCTATATCTCTTCTGCCTTTTGTGGGTAGACTGCTCAAAAAGGCCATCTACAATAGGTGCCTCTACTTCCTCTCCTGTCACTCTCTTCTTAACCCCTTACAATCTATCTTCTGACCTCATCATTCCACCATTCTTTCTCCAAAGTTACCAATGATCTCTTAATTGCCAAATCTAATGGTTTTTTCCCAGTCTTTATTTTCTTCAATCTCTCTGCAGCCTTTGACACTGTTGACCACTCTCTTCTCCTTGATACTCTCTTCTCTCTAGGTTTTCAGGACATCTCTCTCGCCTGACTCTCTTCCTACTTATCAGACCACTTCTTCTCAGTCTCCTTTGCTGAATCCTCCTTCAGATCACACCAGCTAACTGTGGGTGTCCCCCAGGGTTCTGGGACCTTCTTTTGTCCATTTATACTACTTCACTTGGTGATCCCATCAGCTCCCATGGATTTAATTATCATCTCTTTATTGGTAATTCGCTTATTATTTTTTTGGAGGTAATCGGGTTAAGTTACTTGCCCAGGGTCACACAGCTAGTAAGTGTCTGAGGCCAGATTTAAACTCAGGTCCTCCTGACATCAGGGCTGGTGCTCTATCTACTGCACCACCTAGCATTTATTAGTAATTCTCAAATCTACCTATCTTTCCCTAATCTCTCTGCTGACCTCCAATCTTGCATCTCTAACTACCTTTCAGATATCTTGAACTGGTTGTCTAGTAGACATTAAGACATCTAATCTTAAACTCAATATGTCTAAAACTAAACTGATTATTTCTTTCCCAAACTCCTCCCATAACTTCGCTAATACTGTTGAGGGCAACATCATCTTCCCATTCCTCAAGCTCACAACCTAGGTGTTATCTTCAACTTTTTACTATTTCTCACCCCCACATATCCAATCTGCTACTAAGGACTGTCTACCTCACCTTTAGGATATCTCTAGAATGTTTCCACTTCTCTCCTTTAATACTGCCCCAACCCTGGTGTTGGCCTTCATCACTTCATAATTAGACTATTACAATAGTCTACTGATGGGTCTGCCTGCCCCAAGTCTTTCCCCACTCCAGTCTATTCTTCATTTAGCTGCCAAGATGATTTTCCTAAGGTGGTGGTCTGACCATGTCACCCCACTTCTCAATCAACTCCAGTGGCTCCCTATCACCTCTAGGTAGGAAATACAAAATGCTCTGCATGTCATTCAAAGTCCTTCATAACCTAGCCACCTCCTACCTTTCGAGTCTTCTTACACCTCACTACTCAACATGTACTTATTCCTCCAACAAGATGCATCTTTTGGCTCCAGGCATTTTCACTGGCTGTGTCCCATACCTGGAAGGCTCTCCTTCTTCATCTCAGCTCAACAGCTTCCTTAGCTTCCTTTTAAGTCCCAACTAAAATCCCATCTTCTAAAGGAAGGCTTTCCCAATCCTTCTTAATTCTAGTGCCTCCCACCTTTTAATTGTTTCCTATTTATCCCATATATAGTTTGTACATAATTGTTTCCTTGTCATCTCTGTCATTAGACTGTGAACTCCCTTTGGGTAGGAATTGCCTTTTGCCTCTTTTTTTTTTTTCATCCCCAGTGCTTAACAGGGTGCCTGGCACATGGTAGATACTTAATAAATGTTTATGGACTGACCAACTGACTTTACCCATGGTTAGGGTAAATCATGGATGATGATTCAACAGAGATTGATAAGGAATACTAAGATGAACAGGAGGAGAACCAAATGAGAACAGTGTCATGAAAACCTAGTGTGAAGAGAGTACTGAGGAGGATAGAGTGGTCCACAGTGCCAAATGTTGCAGGGAGGTCAAGAAGGATGAGAATTGAGAAAGGTCATTGGACTCAGCAACTGATGAATCACTGGTAACTTTGGCCAGAGGAGTTTCAGTTGAGTGATGAGGTTGGAAGACAGAGTACAAGTGGGTTGAGAGATATTAAGAAGAGAGAGAGTATAGATGATGAATATATAATGCTTTTTAAAAAAGAACACTGGATGTGAAAAGGAAGAGAGATATAGCTTGAGAGAATGGTAGGGCCAAGTGAGAGCTTTTTAAGATTGAGAAAGACTGGTATAATTGTAGTCAGTAGATAGAGAAAGATAAAAGATGGTGGAGGCAATCTTTCAGAGAGTAGAGGAGATGGAATGAAGGGGTTGGCCTTGATGAGAAGAAAGGCCACCTTTTCCTTTGACACTAGAAGAAAGAAGGAGAGAGTAAGAGATGAGGAGGAGGAGCTTTGGTGCTGCCTCTCCACACTAAGATCCAAGGTGAGATCCTTTGCACGGAGACAACATTCCTTTCCCTTCACTGCCACCTCACAAGTTCCTGCTGGATGCCAATCTCAGTGATGCTTACTGTGCATGACGTTGGAGGCGTAGAACTCAGGATCCTGGGGGTGCACTTCAGCTGCATCCAAGATGAGCCGCTGCATGTTTTCTGGCAAGTACCAGCTGCGGTTCTCATCAAAGATGGAAAAGAGGAGCACATTTCTCTTGTCTGACATCATCTAAAGAAACCAAAACAAGAACATTTTTAAAAATTTCAACAATCTGATTCCCTGGGTGTGGGCCATTTTCCCACCAATGCATGTCCCTACTCCCCTGTGACTTAGTTGATGGTCTTTGAGATTATCCATGGCCAAAAATGTCATCACCCTTAGTCCAAGTTGGCAATAAGCCTCTCCAAACTGGAGCTGATCCTCACTTATAGTCAGCCCATCACCAGGCCCATACTATACTTTTCCAAATCACAGACTCTCAGGGTTGGAAAGCACTTCAGAAACCCTTTAGTCTGACATGTGACCAAAAAGGAGTCCCCTCGATCACAGACATGACAAGTGGTCTTCCAACCTCTTCTTGAAGAACTCTGATGAGCAGTATAACTTCTTTCATTTTTTGGACAGCTCTAATGGTGTGGTCCTTTTTCTTCACATTTAGTCTTTATTGACTTGATTCCATCTTCTACTTCCTATTCCTGTTCCTATCTTCTGGATCCAAGCAGAACAAGTCTCAATCTTCTTTCACATTTGTCCCTTGAAGTACTTGAACAGAGCTCTGATGTCCTCCCAAGTCTTCTCTTTGCCAGGTTTGACACCTCTAGCTCTTTTACCCAATCTTATTGAACCCTAATTTTGGGGCTTTTCATCAGCCCACTTGATTTTCTCTGCACAATCCCCAGCTTATCATTGTTCTTCTTAAAATGTAGTACTTAGAACTCAACCCCAATACACTGAACCCTGATACTCCAGAAGCGTCCTGAACAGGGTAGCAGACGAGTTCTCTCTAACTTCTCATTTTTGTTATTTTGTCTTTTAATATGGCCTAACATCATCCTAGGTTTTTTGGCAGCCTTATCACCCTGCTGACTCCTGTTGAGCTTGAAGTCTACTAAAACCCCCAGATCTTCTTCAGACCACCTGCTGCCTGGCTATGCCTCCCTCGTCTTGTACTTGTGAAGTTGATTCTTTGAACCCGTACATAAGGCTTTACATTTATCATTATTGACTTCCATCTTGTTTGTTTCATCTCAACATTCCATTTCCTGTCATTCAATGTGTTATAACAATCCTAGCCTTGGATCGATCATCTGCAAATTTGATGAATGAATGAAAAAGTATTCACTAAGCACTTACTGTGTGCCAACCATTGGGGAGATGGACACAAAAAACAAAGCCAGTTCCTGAACTCAAGAAGCTTACCTTCTAATGGGAGAGATAACATACACAGAGAGGAGTGGTGGCCAGGGAAAGGCATTTGGGTCCTTAAAGTTTGATGGCTAACGAGTACAAAACTAGTGCAGTAGATTGACACATCCTATCATGGAATAATATTGTGTTCCTGGTTTCATCTTTCCTGATGAGGGGATGGGGGGAAGAAAGGAAGGGTCCTCACACAAGAGGAACAAGTAGTAGTCTATGCCTCCTTCACCATACAGCCACCACACTGGTACAAGTCCTCATCACCTTTCTCCTAGATCATTACAGTAGCTTCCTCATTGGATTTCCTACCTCATGCCTCTCCCCATTCCAGTCCATACTATACTCAGATACCAAAATGATCATCCTAAAGCACAGATGTGAATATGCCAGGCTCTGTGCCCCCCCCCACCAGTTAGTAAACTCCAGTGGCTCCTTATTCCCTCCAGGATCCAATCTAAAGTCCTCTATTTTGGTATTTAAAGCCCTTCACAATGTGGGCCCTCCCTAGGTTTCCAGTCTCCTCACGCCATACTTTGTTCTGCTCCCCTGGGTCCACTCCCATTTCAGTGCCTTTGTACTAGCTCCCTCCTGTGGCTACAATGCTCTCCCTCCTTTTAGTTTCCCTAGATTCCTTCAATTCTCAGCTTGAATCAAATCTGCAGAAGGCAAGTGATTGTAAGGAATAAGCGAGGGTTTGAGTATAGCACAATATGGTCTTGGGGTGTAGTCTTTTAGAATTCTTTAACTCTTGCCAAGAACAGGTGCACATACAGGATCCAAACCTAAACAGACTGTTTGGCCAATGTTATTCATGCACCTAAGTCCTGATAAATTTATCAATGAAGGAACAATTAGATGACAGCTCTGAAAAAAATTCTGAGAAATAGTTGTATTTGATGTGAGTTATTTTTGTTGTTGTTGTTGTTCAGTAGTTTTCAGGTGTGTCTGACTCTTCGTGACCCCATTTGGGGTTTTCTTGGCAAAGTTATTAAACTGACTCGCCATTTCCTTCTCCGGCTCATTTTACAGATGAAAAAACTAAGGCAAACAGAGGTTAAGTACCCAGGGTCACATACTAGTAAATGTCTGAGGCCATATTAGAACTCAGGTCTTCCTGACTCCAGGCCCAGCACTGCACCACCTAGAAGCCCATTATTTTTAGATACCTCTGAAAGTTACTCCTGTTACCTGTATAAAAAAAGAGTGCTGTTACTGATCTCTCTCATAGTCTCTAGCAGACTGCCTATATGCATATACTTTAGATGTTGCTAATTTTCTTCTTTTCAATAAGCTCCCTATTATTTCAAAGATTGTCTCCACAAGGGCTCACTTCAACCTAACAATTTGGCATAGTCAGCAAAATTCTTGGGTGCTGGAGGAACAATGATTAAATGTCCTATGAGTATTTGTGGCTACTTTCTGGCAGATTAGAGACCCCAACTTTCTAAAAAAAATTTTTTAAGTCTCCCTACTAGGTCTCCACTCATTGACTCAGGAAGTAAAGATGTATGAGAGAATTGGAGATTAGGTATTGGAAACTGGAAAATGGTTCTCAAGAGATCCTGCATGTCTTCACTAGCTAAAATGGTAGAAAAATAAGGAAATATTGGGTATGTTACCAGCAGATATCTACCTCTCTCAGAGAATTATCTCTCTGTCATGTCTGGCTATAAAAGGCCAAATTTGCAGTGGCCAGAGGAGGGTTCATTTGAAGAAGACAGGCTAGTTTCTTTTTTTTTTTTTTTAAGAAACCCCATATCCATAGCAAATGGATTATTGGTATCTTTTGGATGAGTCTTGCCTCCAACAAACATAAGAATGATTTAGGGATCAGCCCTACACAACATACAGCCCTTCAGCCACCTATGGCCCACTAAAATAGTCAGCAGGCAGTATGTTGTGCAGGCCTGCCCTAAGGGAACTTTGCAAAGTCAGTTTTGCTGAGGAATTTGTATAAATCAGGCCTGCACAACATACTACCCATGGGCTGCTTTGGTGGGCCACAAGTGGCCTGCAAGGCCATATGTTATGCAGGCCTATAAAATTTAGTCAGAAAGGAAAAAAAAATGAAAGAAAACAGAAGAAGAGGTGACACCTTTAAAAGCTCACCCACTCTCTTGGTGTACTCAGATAGGACTTGTCATTGAAAATCGTGGTTTTGGAGCAGTTAGGTGATGCAGTGGATAGAGCACTGGCCCTGGATTCAGGAGGACCAGAGTTCAAATCCGGCCTCAGACACATAACACTTACTAGCTATGTGACCCTGGGCAAGTCACTTAACCCCATTGCCTAGCTCCACCCCCCCCCCCAAAAAGAAAAGAAAATCGTGGTTTTAGCTTTTGGTTTTTGCTTTTACCTAACTCACCTGTTAATCTGTTGGGGAAAAAAACTGACATGTAAATTATGGACCATCATATTCTGTATCCCAGAGATAGTGTTTTCAGAACTCTGGGAGAAGAGTCACATGATTTTTCATAGGTAGCTAGGTGGTACAGTGGACAGAGCACTGGGCCTGGAGTCAGGAAGACCTCTACTTCAAATCCAGTCTCAGAGACTTACTAACTGTGTAACCTTTGTTTGCCTTAGATTCCTCATCTGTAAAATGAAGTTAACAATAGCCCCTACCTCCCAGGGTTGTTGTGAGGATCAAGTGAGATTGAATGTACCTGGCACACAGTAAATACTACATAAATATTAGCTATTTGGTATTAATGGGCCTTCAGGTTTAGGAGGGAGATTGGGCAAACTAACAGTTTCATCTCATGATGGGAAACTACCCTGAGTTTAAAGAAATTGATCTGGTTAGGGGTCTACTCTAGTAATGGTACCATCTTGATGAGAGGAATTAAACCAATTATGATTAATTATTATGAGGATAAGCCTTGGCTGTGTGTTAAGCAATATCCTTTGTCTCAAGCTCAAATTGACAGACTACAACCAGTAATAGAGAAACAAGGAGTGATCAAAAAGGGGCAGATGCCATTTAATATATCTATCTTGGGGGCAGCTAGGTGGCACAGTAGATATAGCAATGGCCTTGGATTCAGGAGGACCTGAGTTCAAGTCCGGCCTCAGACACAACACTTACTCACTGTGTGACCCTGGGCAAGTCACTTAACCCCCATTGCCCAACCAAAAAACAAAAAACAAACCAAAAAACCTAACAAAACATAATATAACTATCTTGTTGGTAAGAAAAGGTAGAAAACGTGATGAAGGTTAGCCTTCACTTTGTACAAGATCTAAAAGTTGTAAATAAATTTGGTATTCCTGTGACTCCTGTTGTTCCCAATCCTGTTATTATGCTAACTTCTGTGGTTCTTTTCAGTAATTGATCTTTGAAGGAGGCCATTGTATCCACTCCAGTCTTAGGTCAACCCAATTTGAATGAACTTTTCCATTGATTTTGCCACAAGAAAGAAGAGGCAACAAGTGAAGTTCTCACTCAAAAATTAGGGCCAGATACCAACCCATAGCTTATTTCTCAGTTCACTTGGATCTTGTTGCCCTCAGGATGTCAAGATGTCCATTAGCAGTGGCAGCAGCTGCTATTACAGTGGAGAAAACACAGGCCTTAATCTTAGAACGTCTGACCTGTTTGCACATTTTCTATGCAATAACATTTCAAGTCCATAAGATTCAACACCTTATTATAAGATGTCAGACTACTCATGAACAAGGCAGGAAGAGTGGGAGCTGACTTCTTGTTACTCCATTTTTCATCCCTAGATCAGCAGAGTCATGCAGCCATGGAAAGAAGAGAGTAGGAGAGTACTCCAGTTCAATAGAGATGTCCTGCAGTAGCTGAAACACCTACAAATGGAAATGACAGAAGAAGCAGGGATCCCAGATCAGCAGAGATACCCAACAGTGACAGCAGAGATACCCAGCAGTGGAAAGAAGAGAGCAGGAGAGCATCCCAAATCAATAGGGATGCCCAGAAGCAGTGGAGATGCCCCACCTTGGAAAGAAAAGAACAAGAAAGGACACCAGCTCAACAGAGCTGGTTGTGAAGCAACATGGATAGTCACTTGTTGAAAAAATAGAACAGGAAAGGATCCCAGCTCAGCAGAGACACACAAATGCAGCAAAGATGGCTAGCCATGGAAAGATTAGGACAGAAGGGGAACCTAGTTTTGCAAAGATGCTCAAAAGCAGAAAGGGCATTGATGCAAGGAAAAAAGGGACTCCAGGAAAGCAGAGATGCCCATAGAGGTAGGTAAGCCCAGCAGCGGAAAGAAGAGGAGAGGACTCCAGGTCAGCAGTGATGCCCAACGGTATGCAAAGTCACCTGGCCATGGAAAGAACAGAAGAGGACCTCAGCACAGCAGAAAAGACACCCAGCAGTGGAATTAACACATCAAGAGAGAACCTCAGCTCCATGTCTAGAAGTGGTAGAGATGCCCAGTAGAGTGAACAGAAGTGGAGCCCACTTCAGCAAAGACAGTGGCTCACCTAATGACATCACCAGATGACATCAGTCACTCTAGAATTAGAAGTATGAGTTGTTCTAGATACACATACACACATATACATATATACATATATATGTATGTATGTGTATATATATGTATATATGTATATGTGTGTGTGTATGTGTATATATATATATATATATATATATACATACACACACATAATTTGCATGTGTTCCCTACATGTAGGCCTTATCACACACATTCTCTACATTTATATCTTGCTTTTCTATTGATATGGTAACCAGTGGGGTTGTATATTCATCTATATGGGCAAAATCTTTCTTGTCCTTTATTTAGCCATTTTCTTTAATTAAATGTCTTTTCTTTGAACTACTGTATTCTCCAGTAGACCAGTAAAAGAAACACACTGAAGGGGCTCCTGAGCGATGATATTTTCTTGGCTCCTAACCCTCCCTGCAATGCGTAGCTCCCATCGGAGCAGTCCCATGTGAGGAAAGGGAAAGACGCACCTGATTCCCTCTTTGATCCACAGTTTCTTTATGGCATATGAGGAGGGGCCCAATGAGGCCCGAAGCCAGGTCACGTTCTGCATTGACAGAGCTGGAGTAGTACCTAGTCAGGCATCTGGGATCTGCTTGAGTTGGCCCATCCTCCAAAGTTACTTCCCATTTATATTTGAATGTCTGGCCTGGCATGATTGGCACATCCTTGACATCTTTCACACCTACCCACAGCCAAGGCAAGAAACAGAAATAGGTTTAGGAGATTTTAACAACTACGCATGGAAATTCCAGTTTATGATCTAGAACAAGATGTGGCCAAGCAATTACTCAATATACACATAAAAACCTCCTCTCTCTCTCTCTCTCTCTCTCTCTCTCTCTCTCTCTCATACACACACATATATTCACAGAGTCCTCTAGTCAGAAAGATGAGTTGGGGGAAGTGGTACCAAAATGTAGGAACAGCAGCAAGCAGTACAGCTGAGCTCCCCTCCCCCACTAAAGAATTCCTCCAAATAGATTTAGAAAATGCATTAGTTTGAATCCTGATGGAGAAATCCAAGGAAAAATCACAGTGACTTATTCTTCCAGTCCAGGTTGGCAAATGCAGACAGAAACATCTGAGGACAATGGAGCCAGGGTCTGACCAAGAATGAGCAGTGTGCAATGCCTGTGACCAAGGGCAAGACCTGTCCCAAACTCATACTGTAACAGATTGTATGAACAGGTACCATCTGGCAGCTTTGTTGCCCACTACCCAGTTCCATGTCATAGATTCAGGGCACATTGAAGAGGGGAACTGTACTCCTAGCAAAATGAGCAAATTAAAAAAAAATCTCACCATAAAAATCTATTATGATAACAGGTACCCTCAAGACATAAACCCAGAAGAAAAGAATGACTCCCAAATAGTTACAACCAAAGCCTCAAAGAAAAACACAGTTTGGGCACAAATTCAACTAGAATTCCTAGAAGAGATGAAGTAAGCATTTTTAAAAGAGTTTTAAGATATATTTATCTATGAAATTAGAGTGCTTGAAGGGGTAAATGGAAAAGAAACGAGAGCTATGGAAGAAAGAGTTGGAAAGGGAATTAACGGTTTGGCACAAGAGGTGCAAAATCTTGCCCAAGAAACAAACTTCTTGAAACTTAGAATGGACAAAATAGAAGCCAATAACTCCATGAGACAACAAAAAATATTAAAACAAAGTCAAAAAGCTGAAAAAAAAATTGAAGAAAAGGTAAGGTAGATGATACCCCAAACAAAGTGACCTGGAAAATAGATTAAGGGAAAAAAAGAAAATAGATTAAGGCGATGGCAGAGTGAGAGGAAGCATTACTGTCTAGCTCTGCCCCCACACCTCTTCAACAAAGATCTAGAGAATATACTAGACTGAATTTTGATCAGGAAAACAAAAAAGTCACACTGAGTCATTTGTCTAGCCCAGGGCCACTTGGAGAGATGGATAGAGAGATCTGCATACACTGAGGTTGAGATCTGCCCAGGAATGTGCTGCAGCAACATCAGTGGTGGTGGCAATTGTGGGAATTGAGAGAGGGATGATCCCAGGGGATCCCTGAGCAAACTCTAGGTGCAGAAATGAGGACATCTGGCAGCTCTATCACCAACTATCCAGTGCTAAGTCACAAATCCAGGGTAAAGAGGAGTGATCTTGACCTTCAGCCCTAGAAACAAGTTCTGTGCAAACAGTAGCCGTGTGGCTCTAATCCCTGGAGCACAGCCCAGTTTCCAAGACCAAAGAGCAGCCAGAAGTTGTCACTTTTAACCTGCAAAACCTCCCAGAGGGCTGACAGTAGCTGAATCAAGCAGCAGTCTGCTGAAACTCCCAACCGGAAACTCACTGTTAGACCAAAACCTGAATCTGGAACTTGCAGAGCTCCAATCAACAGGGCAATGAACAGACATCCCCAAGGATCACACCACTAAAAGCTTGCAGGTCACAGGCTGGAGCTACGAAAGCAACTGAAGCATGTAAGAGGACAGAAGTTCAGGCCCCGGTCATCTTCCACCCCAAGAAGTGTGCAGAGCCCAGCACTAACATAAGTCCAAAATCAAGAAGTAGGCTGGAAGAATGAACAAACAAACAAAAAAGAATTCCACCATGAAGAGTTATTTTGATGACAAGGAAGCTCAAGACATACAACCAAAAGGCAAGAATTACTCAAAACTATCTATAATCAAAGCTTCAAAGAAAAATACAGCTTGGACACAAGTCCAACCAGAATTCCTGGAAGAGTTAAAGCAAGACTTTTTTTCAATGCTAAAAAAAATTATTTTAAAAAACAAATGAGAGTAGTAGAGGAAAAAATGGGAAAAGAAACAAGATCAAGGGAAGAAAAGAGAATCAGCAGCTTGGGACAAGAAGTACAAAACTTTACCAAAGAAAATAATTCTCTGAAAAGTAGAATAGGCCAAAAAGAAGCTCCATGAAAATCAAGAAATACTAGAACAAAGTCAAAAGACTTAGAAAATAGAAGAAAATGTGAAAGATAAGAAAAAAACTGAATTGGAAAATAGATCAAGGAAAGAATCAATAAAACATATATGCCATTAGCTAATGGCTTGATTATTGATTAAGAAAAAGAAGAAAACCAAACTACCAATATAAAAAATGAAGAAGGTAAATTCACAAACAACAAAGAAGAAATAAAAACAATTATTAGGAGCCATTTCACCTAACCATATACCAATAAAACTGACAATCTAAATGAAATGGATGAATATTTACAAAAATGTAAATTGCCCAGTTTCATAGAACAGGAAATAATATTTAAATAACCCTATTTTAGAAAAGAAATTGTACAAGTCATAAATTAACTCCAAAAGAAAAAACTCCAAGACCAAACAGATTTACAAGTGAATTCTACCAAATATTTAATGAATGATTAATTCAGTACTACATAAACTTGAATAGTAGGTAAAGAAGAGGTCCTACCAAATTCCTTCATTGACACAAATAAGATCCCTAAACCAGGAAGAGTCAAAACAGAGAAAGAAAACTATGCACCAACTTCTCTAATGAATATTGATGCAAAAATTTTAAATGAAATATTAACAAGGAGACTACAGCTATATATCACAAAGATCAAACACTATGACCAGGAAGGATTTATACCAGGATTGTAGGGCTGGTTCAATATTATGGAAACTATAAGCATATTTGGCTGTATTAATTTAAAAAAAACAATAAAATTCATGTGATTATTTCAATAGATACAGAAAAGGCTTTTGACAAAATACAATACCCATTCCCATTTAAATTTAAAAAAAGCTAGAAGCATAGGAATAAATGGAGCATTCTTTCAAATGATAAGAAGTAGCTATCTAAAACCAAGAGCAAGTATAATTTGCAATGAGGATAAGCTAAAAGCATTTAATAAGATCAGGGGCGAAGCAAGAATGTACATTATCACCACTACTATTCAATATCATATTAGAAAATGCTGGCTATGACAATAAGAAAAGAAAAATAAATTGAAGGAATAAGTATAGGCAATGAGGAAATAAAACTATCATTTTTTTTTTACAGATAACATGATGATTTACTTAGAGAATCCTAAAGAGTCAACTAGTTGAATATAAACTAGTTGATAAACTAGTTGAAGCAATTAACAACTTAAACAAAGTTTCAGGATATAAAATAAATCCACACAAACCATTAGCATTTCTGCATATTACCAACAAAATCTATCAAGAAGAGAGAAAAACAGAAATTCCATTTAAAATAACCATGAACAGTATAAAATATTTAGGACTCTACCTATCAAGACACACACAGAAACAATACAAACACAATTACAAGACAGTCTTCATAGAAAAACACGCAGATCTTATTTAGATTGGAGAAATAATAATTGCTCATGGGTAGGCCAAGTCAGTATCATAAAAATGATAATACTACCTAAATTAATTTACTTATTCAGTTCCATAACAAACTACCAAGTAATTATTTTATAGAGTTAGAAAAAATAACAATTCATATGGAAGAACAAAAGGTAAAGAATATCAAAGAAATCAATAAAAAAAAAAGGGGAAAGAAAAGAGCCTAGCAATACCATATCCCAAACTATATTACAAAGCTGTAATCATCAAAACAATTTGGTAATGGGTAAGAAATAGAAAGTAGATGAGGTGCAGAATATACAGAAGCAAATGAGCACAGTAATCCAATGTTCAATAAACCCAAAGATCCCAGCTATTGGGGCTAAGTAGCATAGTGGATAAAGCACCAGGTCTGGAGTTAGGAAGACCTGAGTTCACATCTGACTTCAGACGCTTACTAGCTGTGTGACCCTGGGCAAGTCACTTAATTTCTGTTTGCCTCCATTTCTTCAGCTGTAAAATGGTGATAATAATAGCCCTTATCTCCCAGGGTTGTTTTGAGGATCAAATGAGATAACAATTGTAAAGTGCTTCTTAAAATGTTAGCTATTATTATTATTTAAAAAAACAATTGATGGGAAAACTGAAAAGTAATCTGGCAGACACTAGGTATAGAGTAACATCTCATGCCATATACCAAGATAAGCTCAAAATAAGTACATGATTTAGACAGAAAGGGTAACGTCATAAGCAAATTACTAGAACATGAAAGAAATTACCTGTCGGGGGGCAGAGTCCACAGTTAAACAAGAGATACAGAAGTTCAGAGGAGGTAAAATGGATAATTTTTATTACATAAAATTAAAAAGGTTTTGCACAAACAAAATCAATGCAGCTAAAATTAGAAGAAAAGCAGAAAACTGTGGGGGGAATCTTTGGGGCAAGTTTTTCTGATAATGGTCCTGTTTCTAAGATATATATGGAACTGAGTCAGATTTAAGCAATAAGAGCCATTTCCCAATGTGAAAACAGGTGCACTAATGTATTGTTGGTTAAGCTGTGAATTAGTCCGGCCATTCTGGAAAGCAATTTGGAACTATGCTCAAAAAGCTATTAAACTTTACATACCTTTTGACCCAGTGATACTGCTACTGGGTCTCTACCCCTAAAGAGATCAAAGAAAGAGACCTTTCAAGGACAGGGACAGAAGGGCAACACCCAAGCTGTGGGTGGGAGGTGAATGACAAAGGGATGTAAAAGAGCTGCCTCCCTTCTCACTTCTGAAAAGCACATAGATCTAAAGTAAGGAAAGATGTCTAATGCCTCACCCCTCTCCTCCAACTCCCCAAAGGTGAGTGAAATCAGAGAGCCAAATAGAGTCAAATAAACCTATTTCCATGCCACAAACTTGCTGCACATACTATTTCATAATTCATCTAGCTTTTCAATGGAAGCCTCCACCAATACCATGGGGAGAGTCTCCAACACGAGTTGCTCAAGAATCTTTCCAACAACATCTGGAGAAGCTCATCATCCATTGGGCTGTAATCCACCTGGACCATGTCCTCAAGACTAGAAGAATCAGGCCATGAAGGAGGGGAAAGGGGTCAGTCCTAGTGGGGTCATTGTAGGGCATACAGGTATGCAATGGTTTGGAAGAGGAAACATCACAAATCCTGTCATTTCCTCATGAATTGTGGGTCCATAGAGTGGTTGAAGCTATCAAAGTAATCTTCCTAAAGAGCAGATATCACCCCCTACTCAATAAACTCCAGTGGGTCCCTATCACCTCCAGGATCAAATAGAAAGTGCTCTGTTTGGCTTTCAGAGCCCTTCATCCTTAGTGCCCTACCTTTCCAGTCTTCTATGCCCCACCATGGACTCTGTGATCCAGTGATGGTGGCCTCCTTGCTCTTCCTCTAACATCATATTCCATCTTTTGACTCCATGACTTTTCAATGACTGCCCCCCATGCCTGGAATGTTTTCCCTTCTCATCTTCACCTCCTGGCCTCCCTAGCTTCCATCAAGTTACACCTTCTATAGGAAGCCTTGCTTGACACCCCCTCCTTAATTCCAGTGCTTTCCTTCCATTAATTACCTTCAATTTATCCACTGTATAGTCTGTTTGCATGTCCCCCATTAGACTGTGAGTTCTTCAAGGGCAGAGACTGGTTTTTACCTTTTACCTTTACTAAGCCCCAGTACTTAGTACAATGTCTGACAAGTAGTAGGTGGTTAATAAATGTTTATTGGCTGACTGACTGACCCAGGCCATGCCTCTCCCCTGGCTGGCCTGGGCAGTAGGGTCCCTGCTCTCTCAGTACTTAGAAAAACACAATTTGACAATAACTTTGATTCTCTTGGGGTATTTTTAAAGAAGGGATTTCATAATTACTCTTAAGATACTGGAGAATATTGGGCAACTGATCACCTCCTGGTTTCTCACAGTTGCCTTCCACGTGCTGCCTCACCCTGCATTCAACTCAATTTAAGAAGGCAAGACCTCTAGGTTAATTTCTTCAATTGCAAGATTCAGGGGTTGTAACATTAGGGGTAGAAGGGCCTCTAAGCGGGGCAGCTAGGTGGCACAGTGGATAGAGCACTGGCCCTGAAGTCAGGAGGACTTGAGTTCAAATCCGGCCTCAGACCAAATGCTTGACACTTACTAGCTGTGTGACCCTGGGCAAGTCACTTAACCCCAAATGCTTAAAAATAAAAAAAAAAAAGAGAAGCCTCTGAGGCCCTGTAGCTATAGAGGCTATAGCCTCCCAAATTCCAACATGTGAACACATAGCCTCATCTTGAACAGTCCAACCATGCTCTTACCTTTAGGCAGTCTCCCTGAGTGCAAAGGACTGACACTGATGAGGCCGTGAGGGTATATGTTGTATGGTCTGCTTGCTAAGTTTTTGAATATGATCTGAAAGGATAAATGAAACATTAGTTTAAGTCCTAAGAGAAGGCAAAATTGGAGCCTATAAGAAGGAAGATCTGACGTCTAAAGTCAAAAGCTACCACTTAGGGACAGCAAGGTGTTGTAACATATAGAGCACTGGGCCTGGAGTCAGGAAGACTTGAGTTCAAATCCAGTCTCAATCACTTATTAGCTGTTTGAGTCTGGGTAAGTCATTTAAAACAAACAAAAAAACAAAACAAACAAACAAAAAAAACCCCTCTGTTTGTCTCAGTTTCCCCATCTGTAAAATGGGAATAATAATAATACCACCAACCTCCCAGGGTTGTTGTGAGGATCAAATGAGATAAAGCACTTAGCACAGTGCCTGGCACATAGTAAGCATTATATAAATGTTAAGAAAAAACATGTACTAACATTCTGAGAATATCTCCCTCTCCCACTCACAAGTAAGAAGGTTGGAGCAGAGAAGCCCAAGTGTATTTGTTCCTAATAAGGAGATCACATTTGCAGAGGACTTTACAGTTTACAGTATTCTTGGGTTTTTTTTACTTTCATTTTTCATTTTTATTCTGAGTTCCAAATTCTGTCTTTCCCTCCCACTCCTCCCCCATCCATTGAGTAGGCAAGAAATATAATACCCATTATACAGATGAAGTCATGCAAAACACATTTCTACATTAGCCATGTTGTGGTGTTGGAGCAGGGGGGAAGTTCACGGAAGGGAAGTAAGAGAAATAAATAAAGTAAAAAAATCTGCTTCAATCTACACTCTGAGTTCATCAGCTCTCTCTCTGGAGGTGGAGAGCATTTTTCACCATGAGTCCTTTGGAATTAATTGTTTTGACAGTCTTATGAAATAGGCAACATAAGCACTCCTATTTTACAAATGAGAAACTTCAGGCTCAAAGATAAAATGACTTATCCAAAGTCACACATATAGTAAATAGAGAATCAGGGACTTGAACCGAGATTTTCTTCTTCCAAATCAAGAACTCTTTCTGCTACACCCTCTGACCCAATGTAGTTTACCTCATGTTGGGGAATGCTCTGCCTGATGTTTTTACGATAAAAAATTGGTTTCTTTTCTTTTCTTTTTTTTTTTAATATAAATTTATTTATTTTTAGTTTTCAACATTTACTTCCACAAGATTTTGAGTTCCAACTTTTCACCCATCTTGCCCCTCCCCCCACCCCAAGATGGCATGCATTCTGAATATCCCTTCCCCTAGTCTGCCCTCTTTTCTATTTCTCCCTCACCTTCTCTTATCCCCTTCCCCTTCTATTTTCCTATAGGGCAGGACAGACTTCTGTACCCCATTTCCTGTATTTCTTATTTCCCAGTTGTATGTGAAAACATTTTTTTTAAACATAGGTTTTTAAAACTTTGGGTTCCAAATTTTCTCCCTTCCTCCCTCCCACCCACCCTCACTGAAAAGGAAAGCAGCTACACACACACACACACACACACACACACACATACACACAAAACATATAGGTTATATACGTGCAGTTATGCAAAACACTTCCATAGTAGACATGTTGTGAAAAACTAACTCTATTTCCCTTAATCCTATCCTGCCCTCCCATTTATTCTATTCTTTCTTTTGACCCTGTCCCTCCTCAGAAGTATTTGCTTCTGATTACTCCCTTTCCCAATCTGCCCTCCTCTCTATCATCCCCCTGCTCTCTTGAACCCTTCTCCCCCTATTTTCCTGTAGGGTAAGACAGATTTCCTTACCCAATTGAATGTGTATGTTATTCCCTCCATAAGCCAAATCCTATGAGAATAAGATTCACTCATTCCCTCTCACCCTTCCCTGTTTCCCCTCCACTGTAAGAGCCTTTTCTTTTCTGGTTGTTGTTGGGTTTTTTTTGTGTGTGTGTGAGGTAATTTACCCCATTCTACCTCTCCCTTTCTTCTTCTCCTATTATAATCCTCTCTCATCCCTTAATTTTATTCTCTAGATATCACCCCCTTCATCTTCAACTCACCCTGTGCCCTCTATCTATCTATCTATCTATATGTACATATAATTTTTTCCCTCCAACCACTCTAATACTGACAAAAGTCTCATGAGTTACAAATATCATCTTTCCATGCAGGAATGTAAACAGTTCACAATTGGTTTATTTTCGACCAGTTTAGTTAGGTCACATGCACTAGTAGTTGGTGCAACAGGAAGAGCCCTGGATTGAGAGTCAAAGGGCCTGGGTTCACATCTAGACCAATTGACTATGAGTAAATCATGGTCCTTCTTTGGGCCTCAGTTTCTTCATCTGTAAAATGAAAAGAGTTGGCCCCAATGATCTCTGAGATCCCTTCAACCCTAAATCTGGGATCCATCATTCACACATAGTCCCTCCCTTCCTGCCTACCAACACTGCTGGGTGGCTGACAGCCACCAGGTATCTCACTAGTGAACTTGCCCCAGGTCACCCTGCTCCCTCTTGAGGAAAGATTGAGAAAGCAGTTCACTTCTAAAACAAAATCTGACTCTCTTCTCTCCAATGATCCCTGGATACATTCCTCTCAGAAGTAGCTTAAGGTGTTGACTAGACAGGGTCATGGGCCCTAGATACAGTCATCTAATAGCTACATCCTCTTTCTCCAAGCCAGGAAGGGATTAGGGTAATGATCCACCCCAAAGAGGTAGCTAGGTGGTACAGTGGATGGAGCACTAGGGCCTGCTGGGCCTGGAGTCAGGAACAGCCAAGTTCAAATCTGGTCTCAGATGCTTACTTGCTGTGGGACCCTGGGCAAACTATCTCCAAGAGTGGCCTCTGGGGAGCCACAGGCATTCTCCCTACCCCAACCCCCATTGGACCTATGACCTTGGGTTGCTGAGGATCTCTTGCCCTGGCCCCAGAAGCTGGCTGTAGTGAGAAGAATAACTGTATGGACTTGTGAGCTCAGATGGGAGAGCCAGGCTATAGCCACACATCAGTCATCTACTGGCAAAACTCATCTTCTGCAAGATCACATCAAGTCTGAAACTCACATCTTCTTAGTACCCCTGCCCCTGGGGCCCATTCCTCAAACCCTCCCTCTGACTGGACAGGGTGAAGGTAGGCCTCAGAAAGCCTCACCCCTAGTCCCTCTATTCAAGGAAGGGGCCTAGGACAGCCACCTCATCATTTCCCTCCAGGCCAAATTATTTCATCAGTTCCCCTCTTTCCCTTCTCCCTTTCAGTTTTTTTTTTTTAATGTGTATGTATTTTCTTCCCCTGTTATTGCAGTAGCTGCTGCTGGGCCTGCCTGCCTCAAGGCTCTCCCCACTTCAATCCATTCTCCATTCGTGCACTAAAGTGATTTTCCTAAAGCACAGGTCCCATCATGTTATCTCGTCTACTTAATAAACTCTAGTGGCTCCCTATGGCCTCCAAGATCAAATATAAAATCCTCTGTTTGGCTTTTAAAGCCCTTCATAATCTGGCCCCTTCCTACTTTTCCAGTCTTCTTGCACCTTACTCAACCTCCCCCGCCCCAGCTCCACCCCATACTCGGCAATCCAAGACACTGGCCTCCTTGCAATTCCTACCACAATACACTCCATCTCCAGATGCCAAGTACATCAGCTGTCTCCAATGCCTGGACCTCTGCCTCTCCTCATCAACTCCTCCCGGCTTCTCAGGCTTCCTTCAAATCTCAACTAAAATCACGCCTTTGAAAGAAGCTTTTCTTGATCCCCCTTAACATGGGTGCCTTCCCTCTGAGATAATCTCCAGTTTATCCTGTATATATCATGTTTATACCTGGTTTCCTCCATGTTGTCTCTCCCAGGAGATTAGAATCTCCTATCTGTTGTTGTTATTTTAATTTTGTATCCCCAGAATTTAGCACTGTGAGTGGTGCTTCATGAATGCTTGTTTACTTGCTTTGATATGGCTTGTCTTTGTGCCAAGGTCTTCTCCAAATGCTTCAGAGGCCATTCCCAGATCGTGTTCATATCCAATTGCCAGCTCCTCCCTCCAGACCATTGCATGACCCCTTCCTGCCTGCTGTGACTCCAGCCTCTTGACTTCACAGAATACAACAGCATCAACTGAGACAAAGTTAGACATCGATGGAAAGTCTTGAACAGTCAACTGAGCTGCCTCTCTCAATCTACCACTCTCCAACCACTGACAATCTCTTTAGACCTATGCTTCAATAGTTAGCATACTCCCAATCCATGCTCCTCATCTCAGTAATTCTGAACCTCCCAGCTGTCATTGTATTAATCCTATTCTCTATGCCCCACTGCCTGCCTCCTGGCTCCCATTCCCTGCAATCACACCCGCCCAAATATCCCACCTCAGACCTACCCACCCCTTCTACTATGTTTTCTGGAAATCCTTCTTCATGGGTAACAAATTAGTTTTCATCTTAAACCTTTTTCCTTTCTTGCTCCCTCCATCTTCTTGCTCTCATTGAGACCCTGATGATATAGCTTCCCTGGGCACCTTTTCCAGCATAGGCTATACTTTCACTCATACCCACACAACTCACTGGTTGTGGTGGGGGAGTCAGAACACTCCTTGTTCTCCAGCACCACTTCCAGGCTCTCTCTCCATCCCTATCACTCAGAAACCTCTCCTTTTTTTTGTGGTTCATTCAATCCAAATTTATCACCCAATCAAGATTCTGGTACTGTTGTTGACTGATCTTCAGAACATTCTTCCTTTCTCTCTCAGAATCCTCCCACCTCCCTCACGATCCTTCTCTCCTCCTCAACTCTAGTCCTCATACTAGGAGATAAGCATATAGACATGTATGTATGTATATGTATACATATACACAAGAGAGTGAGAGCCTCCAACACCCAAACATCACAGTTCTTCAGTCTACTTCCTGCTCACTTCTACCCCATCTCAACTATGCACAGAGATAGTCATACCCTTGATCTTGGCATAAGTCACCCGTGTTCCACTTCCACGTTCATGAAGACTAAAATTCCTTTGGCTGATCATTCCACATATCTTGGAAATGCCAATCTTGTTTTGGGCCTCACTCAGCTCTTTCCTAGGTTATCACTCCTGCTCTGGCCACACTCTCCCCCCTTACCCTATCTCAACCCCTTAGGGAGGCAGCTCCACTCTACACTGTACTCTATACTCAAGGCCTTTGCTCTCTTTTCCTATCGCAGACCGTGCCCTGTCACGCCTTGGATTACTCCGATCATCTGCTGCTTTCACTCCTATTCACATGCTGCTGACTCAAGCTGGAGAAAATCACAAAATTATTCTGCCTAGGTCCGTTACAAATTTATGTTATGTAATCTCACCTGGACCCTCACCAATGCAAAGCCATCTTCTTACACCTCTCTAATTGATTCTTGTATCTTACTGACCACAGTGTTTGTTCCAGACATTTTCAAGCCTCCCTTGGCATCCCAAATCCCAGTCTTTTAGATAAGGACCTTGCATCATACCTTTCCAAAAAAAACAGAATGAAAGTCATTTGCCAAGAACTCCCTCTTTTCCCCTCCCCCTCCTCATCTTATATCACTCAGATGCCTTTCCTCACTATCTTCTCCTCCTTCCCCCCTATCTCACATAAAGAGGTGGCAAGGCAAACTCCTCTATATGAACCCTTGATCCATTCCATCTCATTTTTGTCTCACTGTGACCTCCAACCCCTCAGTTCTCAGTTCTCAGACAGCAGATTGCCCCCTCTATCATCTCTACTCTCTCACTAATCTTTAGGCTCTATCTCCTGGCTGTTCCTCTGTTTACTATTAACGTGGCAATGTCTCTCCCTTTCCTAAAAAATCCTCACTTGATCTGACCATCCCCACTAGGTATGGTCACATATCTATCCTCTTTCATGGCTGAACTCATCGAGAAAGCCATCTACAGTTGGTACTTCCATTTCTTCTACTCTTACTCTCTTCTAAACCCTCTCCAGGCTTGCTTCTGATCTCATCATTATACTGACACTACTCTCTCCATAGTTACCAATGCTCTTTTAATTGCCAAATTTAATGGCCTTTTCTCAATGCTCATTCTTCTTGACCTCTCTGAATTCCTTGATACGGTCAATCACCCTCATTGCCTAGATACTCTTTTCTCTCTAGGTTTTCATGACATTGATCTCTCCAGATTCTCCTTCTACCTAGATGACCCCTCTTTAGTCTCCTGTGCTAGATCTTCATCCAGGTCATATCCACTAGCTGTGGGGGCCCCCCAAAAGCTCTCTCCTAGGTCCTCTTCTCTTCTCCCTCCATACTGTTTCACTTGATGATCTCATCAAATCCCACAGATTAAATCATCACTTCTACAAATATGATTCTAAGATCTATTTATCCAGCCCTAACTTCTCTCCTGACTCCAGTCTCACATTATCAACTGACTATTGTACATATCGAACTCAATATCCTGCAGATGTCTCAAATTTAACAAGTCCAAAACGGAACTCACTATATTTTCTCCATACCCCTAACCCTAACCCTCTTCCTAACTTCCTTATTACTGTCAGGGGCACCACCATTCTTCTAGTCACACAGGCTTGCCATCTTGGTTGCATCCTCAACTCTTCCTCATTCATACTGACTCCCCATAATATTTGATCTTTCCCAGCCATTTCTGTCTTCACAATGTCTCACATACACATCCCCTTATCTCCACTCATACATGCTCTCATTGCCTCACTCCTAAACTATTGTAATAGTTTGCTGACTGGTCTTCCTGTCTCAGAAGACAGGTCTCCCCCTATTCCAGTCTGTTCAAGTATCATAATAATTTTTTTTTTGTTTTAGGCAATGGGGTTAAGTGACTTGCCCAGGGTCACACAGCTAGTAAGTGTTATGTGTCTGAGGCTGGATTTGAACTCAGATCCTCCTGAATCCAGGGCCAGTGCTCTATCCACTGTGCCACCCAGCTGCCCCAAGTATCACAATAATTTCTAAAAGGAAATGATAATGGAAACTTCCACAGTAGGATTATAGTTGCCAAAGTGATATTCTTTAAGCATAGGTCTAACCATGTAACCTTCTCATTCAGTGAATCCCAGTGTCTCCCTATAACCTCCAGGATCAAATATAAACTCTTCTGTTTGACTTTTAAAGTCCTTTTATAACCTGGCCCCTTCCTACTTTTCCAGTTTTCTTACACTTTACACCCTCCATGTACTCTGTGATCCGATCCAGTGATCACTCTGGCTCTTGTTGATTGGCCAACAATAGGTCCCAGCCTAAGTCCCACTTAGTGGTCACTGTTTGGGCCCTGGTTGGCTCAGAGTGAGTGTAAACAGCAATTGTTTCTGTTTTGGCCAGAAACCCTGAGGGTCTTCCCCTCCCAGAGAGATTTTTTTTTTTTACTATGTAATAGAAACCATTCTCTGTCTCATTTCTTACCTAGACTTAATCAGTGAATGGGTGTTGCCTCAGTCAAACTGAGACCTTAGCTTAAAAAGGCCAAGGTCTTCCACTGCATCCAGGGCCATCTCCTATCATCCTGATCTATATCTTGCCACTGACCCAGATGGCTCCAGAGGAGAAAGTGAGGCTGGTGACTTTGCACAGGTCTCCCTCACTTAAATCCTATTCACTTGCAAGTCATGGCATCACCTCCTTGATGTCATGGTCCTCTTCGAGAATGAAGGACAAACAACAACAATAACAATACCTAGCCTTAATCACTTGAATGGGTGTTGCCTCAGTCAAACTGAGACCTGGGAAAGGCCTTAACCTAAAAAGGCCAAGGTCTCCCACTGCATTGGAGACATCTCCAGTCATCCTGATCTATATCTTGACACTGAACCAATATGGCTCCAAAGGAGAAAGTGAGGCTGGTGACTTTGCACAGTCCTCCCTCACTTAAATCCAATTCACTTACAAGGCATGGCATCATCTTCCTCATGCTATGGTCCTCTTGGAGAATAAAGGACAAACAATGATCCAGTGATACCAGCTTCCTCACTGTTTCTCCTACAAGACCCTCTATCTCCCAACTTGGGGCCTTTTCCCTGGCTGTCCCATCCCCCTTCCCCGGAATGCTCTCCCTCATCTCTGCCTCCTGCTTTCCCAGGCTTCCTTCAAGTCCCAGCTAAAATCCCACCCTCTACAGGAAGCTTTTCCCAGTCTTCCTTCTACTGATTATTTCCAAATTGTCCTGTCTATATCTTGTTTGTACATAGCTGTTTGCATGCTGCCTCCCTGACTAGACTGTGAGCTCCTTGAGGGCAGGGACTGTCTTTTGCCTTTCTTTGTATTCCTAGAGCTTAGCATAGTGCCTGGCCACACAGCTATTAAGCACTGAAAGCTTATTAGCTTTCATTAATACCACACTGCTCTTAGTTATTAAGCACAACGAATTTAATAAATGTTTGTCTATGTTAATGTGGATGCTTCTCTGAGGGGGTAATCAGAATGGGAATGTGACCTATGACTCCACAGAGAATGTGAACTACCTTGAGTAAATGTAAACAGCAAAAGAAGTTCCAACTATCCCATGGGAACACTTGCATGCTACCCTGGGCCATCCCTAAAACTATGTCTTCTTTGTTCTGTTTCTATATACTACCTGACCTGATCTGGGGTTGGTGCAGGAATCCACAATTTTACTTCATCTTGCTGCCACCCAGGATGACTGACTTCTTGTAAGTGAAGTCCCCCAATTAACCTAATTAACCCTAATAAAACCTAGTAATAACCAAGGGCCTCTCTTTCTTTGGTACCTCAGTATTCTCTTGGAGGGCATAATCAGGGCAGAGGAAATCTGCCTTCTTACAATGCTGGTGCTGCTGCTATCTGACCACATGACCTGCTATTAGAAAAATGCCAATACCCCTGTGCCATGTTGCTCTGCTTCCATCTTCCAAAGTTCTGCTTTTTCACAAGCTCTTTCTAGCTTTCTGATTGCCTAATGGAGAAAGCCTACACTCCAGCTCATCTTAATGCCTGCTAATATTCCTGGCCAGAATGCTACAAGTATCACTGTCCTAAAGTCATAGATTTCAAGCTGGATGGACCCTCAGAGATTGCCTAGTACAACCTCCTTATTTTTATCAAGGAGAAACTGAGGCCCAAATAGGTCAGATGACCTGCCCTAGCTGGGATCTGGACCCAAGTTTTCTGCTTCAAAGCCCAATGTTCTTGCCACTCTGACACATCCCTTTAATCAGATAGTCTCTAACCTTTTTGCCCTTCTGGATGTTAGCCAGGAATTTGACAAAGCCTCATTTGGAATTCTCCTGTATAGGAATAGAGACTCGACCTATGATTGTATGGAACTGCCAATTGAGTAAACTCCCTCCACCAATTCAGGTCAGCACTTCTCTGCAATTTCCTGTCTTAAAGGATTGCCTAGAGCACTGAGGGGTTCAGTGACTTGCCCAGGGTAGATGTGACAGCCAATACGTGTCAGAGGCACAATTAGAACCCCCAGCCCTTACTTACACTAAGGCCAACTCTCTATCCACTACCCCACAGCTACCTCTATTCTCATGTATGAAATAGCAAAACGTGAGCTGGATGATCATCCAAATAAAGTGGGTTTGTGGTCAGTTGAATAAATCATACCCAAAGAACACTGATTAACTTTCTTTTTTTTTTTCACAGATTAACTTTCAATGTCAATACAAAGGTCTTCCAGGTGGAGTGCCACCAGGGGTCAGTTGTTGGCCTTTTCTTTAAATCAAAGGATGCTCAATTTAGAGCTGAAGGGGGCCTTAGGCATCAACTAATTCAAGGGGTGAAAAGAGCAAGGGAAATGACTTGTCCAAAGTCATGCAAGCAGCAACTGACAGATGTGGCTTGGAGACTCAAGTCTAGGCCTCATTTTTCTAGCTTTTTCTATTTTCAGCTCAGTGTCCCACATTCCCTTCCCCTCTTACCAAGAGTGTGTCCCCAACTTCTCCATAAAGCAAAGGTCCCAAAATGCCTGATTCTTGTTGACTAGACTGAGGAGTCTTGAAGGTTTCATCTGTGTAGGCTATGTATCGGGCTTTCTTATACTTCCTGCCAATCCACTGAGGATGACTGTTCAGATAATGACTTTTGGAACCTCTGCAAAGAAGGAAAAAAGATGACAGGGTGACATGAAGCTCTCATCATAAGTCCTAAGGGAAGGATAAGAGGCGGAAATCGGTTCAGAAGCTCTGAGCAAGGCAAGCTTGTGTGGCTGACACAGAATCATAGGAAGGAGGGCTGGCAAGGACCTTGAAGGAGGCAACAACACTAGCAGGTAGCCTGAAGGCAGCACTTGGCTGTATATCTCCTCACATTTGAGCACCTCCTCAGCCTTGTAACATAGTTACTGTACTGAACCCATTTTACAGAAGAGGAAACTGAGCGTGAGAGGGGTGAAGTGATTTGCCCAAGGTCACATTGGCCCTAAGTGGAAGGCCCCTGGAACCCTCATTCTCCACTCCGAACCCAGCAGCCTTTTCACTACTCAGTGCTGTTTGTCACACTGGAACAAAAAGGGGGAGGGGACAAAGCTGGATAATACCTATTCAGTCTCAGCTGTCCTGGAACTGGTCCATCTAGTTGAGAGATCCCCCAACCAGATGGAAACGATTCCTCAGCTGCAACAAGTTCCACTGAACCAAGGCGATGGGAAGTATCTTTGGAGCAGGGGACCGAGAGGGTGGGCAGAGAAGAAGGCCAGACTCACAATGGGAAGTAGATAGTGACCTCCCTCTGGCCTGCCTCAACTCACCTGGCTGAGGGGTCAACAAAGGATGCAGGTGCATAGTCCCAGTCTGCCTCTTGTACCGCAATGTAATGAAACCAGGCTTTGGGGTGCTTCTTGGCCACTGACCGTGCTTGGAGGAAGGGAGAATCGCTGGCATCATCCAACAAGAACACCTCAGTGTCCTGCTCATAGTCGTCATAGTAATCCTCTGAAGTGCTCTCCCTCCGGACCTGGGGCTCCTCAGGACAGGCTTCCACATGGACATAGGCTTCCATGCCATCTGGGGTATAACGAGACAAGTCTCTGTTAGCAGAAGCCCTGAGAGCCTGGACTCTGTGAGGACAGCACCTCCCAACAAAAACCACACTGTTTTCTGACCTCTCCTTTGATTCCTCTGCTGGCTAAGCAAATCCCAACTCCCCAGGTTTGCCTTCCCATGGCCTTTGCCTCCTTGACAGCTCCAATCTCAATGTTCCTCCATCTGGATTATTCCCTGAGGTTGAGTACATCTGCTGAAGTCTTGAGGCTTCCAGCCTCGCTAATCTGGCCTGAGTGGCTTCCCCATTCACAGAGCACCCTTCAGTCAGCAGGGGTTCTTAACATGGAATCTTAGCTAAGCCAGGAGAGGGCCTTGAGGTAGGGGTGTTGTACCTCCACACTACTGGAGAAATGCTATTTCCTTCCAGTCAAGCTCATAAAAAGAAACCTCATGCATGTCTAGTGAGGCAGGAAGAGGCCTTGATTCATTCTATCTCTCAGCAGCTTTTACCCCAAACCATCTGCTGTAATAATTTCTAGCCATCTCAGCACCGGCTCCTATGTTGCCATCACCTTTGCTTTTTTTTCCCCCAATCTCTGAACCCAAAGGGAGACAAGAGTCAAGTGACTTTGGCCTTTGCCCCCACCCTCAGTTTCTCCTTATTGTCTTTTCCTTGTAGGAATTTCTCCACCTTCCCACCACACACCATGGATAAAGGGAATAATATTTCCCTTGCTTGGGGATTCCCCAGCTCCACACTCAAAGCCCCACCATTTCCCCTTTTTTCTGGCTCAGAAGTACTACTGTGAAGTAGCTGATGGACCAGGCTGCAATATCACTTTGAGACCAGTAGGTGTTGCCATTGACCATCATCTTCCAGGAGTGGCTCCCAGAAGTGTTAGTACAACATATCTGTTGTTCATTCGTTTCAAGTCATTTCTGACTCTCTGTGACCTCATTAGGGGTTTTCTTGGCAAAGACAATGAAGTGGTTTACCATTTCCTTTTCCAGCTCATTTTATCGATGAGGACACCGGTTTGCCCAGGGTCACACAGCTCGTTAAGCGTCTGAGACCAGAATTAAACTCAGGAAGATACTCCAGGCCTGGTGCTCTATCCACTTCACTTCCTAGCTGCCCATAGTACATCTAGCACCTTTGAAATGTAGGTGTGGCATCAGACTCTTGATCATCATTCAGCTGTAACTAACTTAATATGTGTCTCATCATTTTCTTGTTTTGAGGAAAAAAATCAGAGACTACGAAAATAAGAGAGCAAAGACAAAAAGTAAAAATCTGAGACCAGGTAGAGCTACTGCTTGCCTGTCTCCTGCCTTTAAGGTGGACCCCTGCCCATTTGCAATTGTTCACAAATTAGCAGCTTTTGTTATTGGTGGTTTGGGATGACTATACTTGTTTGGGGCCCTGCTAATGGAAGAATAGAGGGTCATGGTTCAAAGCTGAGCTGAGGGGCAGTGAGGTGGCACCATGGATAGAGCACCGGCCCTGGATTCAGGAGGACCTGAGTTCAAATCTTACCTCAGACACATAGCACTTACCAGCTGAGTGACCCTGGGCAAGTTGCTTAACCCTAAGCCTAGCCTAAAAAAAATAAAATAAAATAAAGCTGAGCTGAGAGAAGGAAACAAGCTAATCTGGGAAGGTTCAGTTTACCACAGATGGGGATGACAAGTTGAAGGGGACCACAGAACTCCTCAACAGGAAGGTTTTGGGGATTCAGGGGATGGGCAAAAATAGGAAGAGTCTAATTCTGGGAGGCTCTGGGGCATTAGGGAATTCTATTCCCTATAGGTTAGTAGGCTCTTCTTCCCAAAGGCAACCTCTGAGTGTGTGAGAACTGCCCACTCACCAGCAGTCAACAGTGTGGAAAAGCTAGTGGTTGAAAAGCTAGCTGAATGAAATCTTGGACTGCATACAGAGAAGTCCAACTGCTAGGATTAGGAAGGAGACATTCTCACTGTCTTCTGCCCATGTCTGACCTCATTTGGAGGATTGTGTTCAGTTCTAGGTACCACACTTTAAGAGGGATATTGATAAGCTAGGGGGTCCAGAGGAAGGCAACCAAGATGGAGAAAAGTCTCGAGTCCATGCAATAGGAGGATTAGTTGAAGGAAATGGTCATATTTAGCCTGGGAGAAGAGAAGACTTGGGGATACATAGGAGCTACCTTCAAGCATCTGAAGGGCTGTCATGGAGAAGGGGGACCAGGCTTGTTATTTTTGGTGCCAGTGGACAGAACCGAGGGCAAGGAATGTAAGGTGTGAAGAGACAGCTTTAGGCTTGGCGAAAGGAAAGACATGTTCTAACACTCAGAGCTGCTCCAATGTGGAATGGGCTGCCTTGAGAACTGGGATATTCCTCATCGTTGGAGGTGGCAAGCAGAGGCTGCACAAGCACTGGGCAGGCTGTTGTAGTAGAGGTTTGGCTAGATTAGAAAGGGGCTAAGGCCCCCTTCCCACTGTGAGAATCTGTGACTCTACCCCTCCCCCCCACATACCTCTACCCCCATCCCCCACTACAAGGTATACACTATTGTACATAGAGCTAGGCACTAACAATTCTGTTTTCAGATCTCCTCAGGGCCCCCTAAGACATTACCATGTTGGTGAGATGAGATCTGGCAAAACATCAGGAAGCGGCCAGTGTCCATAGGCAATGTCTGGGCGGTGAGAAAGGTGGCTGGAGAGATCTCCAGAGAGGTCAGGCGGTGATTTCTAACAAGGAACGTATGGCTTTCCAGAAAAATTGAGTGGACTTCAGGAGCAGTGCCCATCCCAATCACATGCCAATGGACCAACTTCCTATGACACACTAGCAGATCTGCAAAGGATCATATAATCAATCAACAAGCATTTCAGAAGCCCATCTTCCGTGTAGGCAATGGCGCTCTAAAGCCAAAGGTGAAATGTCTTTAACCTCAAAGACCTTACATTCGAACAGGGGAGACAACATGCACATGTATCAGCATATTAGAAGACATATACAAAGTGGACTCCTACTAGCCCTTCCCTTCCTTTACCCCCTTCCTTCCTCCTCCTCCCCCTTCCCCCTCTTCTTCCCTTCCCCTCTCTTGCCCCTCCCCTCCCATTTCCTTTTCTTCCTTAGTCTCTTACCTTCTCCTGCCCCTACCCTTCCTCCTCCCTTCATTTCATCATCCATCCCATCCCAACTTGTCCCAGGCCAGGGCTCTTGTCCCAAATTTGCTTCTAAGCCAGACCTGCACAACTTGGCAGTAAGTAGGGGCCAAAATGAAAATAGGCTAAACTTCTTTGGCCACAGATAGGGTTTCTTTTTGGGGGGGGGTTGTTTGTTTTGTTTTGGGTTTTTTTGGTGAGGCAATCGGGGTTAAGTGACTTGCCCAGGGTCACACTAGTAACTGTTAAGTGTCTGTGGCCAGATTTGAACTCAGGTACTCCTGACTCCAGGGCTGGTGCTCTATCCACTGTGCCACTTAGCTGCCCCCACAGATAGGTTTTTAGTGGCTCACTATTCAAGTAAAGGTATAATTAATGATTAAACTATTTTGCAAATAAACCATATTTTTTTAAAAAAGGGAAATTTAGTTGCTTGCCTTTTCAATGAGGGTGGGTAGGGATGGAAGAAGGGAGAAAATTTGTAACCCAAAGTTTTAAAAACACATGTTAAAAAAATTGTTTTCACATGCAACTGGGAAATAAGAAATACAGGAAATGGGGTATTGATATATATCCTACCCTACAGGAAAATAGAAGGGGTAGGGGATAAGAGAAGAGGGGGAGAGATAGAAGGGAGGGCAGATTAGGGGAAACAGTATATAGAATGCATGCTATCTTGGGGTGGGGGGAGGGATGAGATGGGGAGAAAATTTGGAACTCAATCTTGAGGAAGTGAATGTTGAAAACTAAAAATAAATTTTAAAAAATAAAAAAGAGAAATTTCAATTAATATCAATTAGTTACACTTATTATTTGAGATTTTTATTTATCATGAAATAGCTCCTTTCAGACTAGAGACAGACTGATGATGGTTGGTTTCCACAGGTCATGTGAAAACAGGAGAGAGTATACAGTGGCAACCCACCTGCCAAGTTTCATGATGGGTACAATAATGACTAGTGGAAGGCAGGTTAAGCAGGGCACAGACAAAGCACTTGTTACATCTTTACTTTCTTTTACATCCTCTACATTTTTCACGGGCGGCCCAAAATCCTTTGGTGGGCCACAAGTAGCCTGCGGGCCATATGTTGTGCAAGCCTATTCTAAGCCAAGGTCAGATACCATCATAGTAGGAAGCTACATTGAATCTTTGTTGAGGATCCAAGCCTATGTGAGGGGCTCATAAAGAAGCCTAGACATGGTTCCCACCTTCAGAAACTCACCGTCTAGGGAGGTGTGTTCAAATTTTCTGATCCTCCTGACTTCCCCCCCCCACCTCCAGTAGTCAGTATAGTAAGTTTATATGCAGCCAGTATAAAGGGGGGCGATAACAGGAAGTAAGATTGCAAAGGGGAACATGGAGGTCATGTACAAACCATCCCAATGATCAAAGGAGCATAATTTATAAATTCCATCATATATTAACCAGAAATCACCTCCTGGTAGTATGTACTGAATCAGGGGCCACCATCTAAGTGCTGCTGTCAGGGCCTATGATATGTAAACCTCAGACAAATTTCAGACATCCAGAGGAAAAACAGCAGTCACCAAATGGTGCTGATCATTTTAAGATGATGTGAACATGTTCACTTTAAAGTTTTACTGGCAACTTTTAAATGATTTGGCTATATTAATCAACTAACCCCAAGGTGGCACAGGTAAGAGTTAGTCTGTTTCTAAAAAAAAACACCTAACCTATAAAAAGGAGATCTCGAGCTCCTGTCCTCCAATTCTCTTCCCCCTCCATTGGGTCCACATGGCCAAGCGCTCCCAACTCAAATCCATGGTTAGGTGACTGCTATTTTCTGCCTCTCTCCCTCCCCATTGTCTTCTCCATGAGGACTGCCTGCCTTCCCCATCCTATCCCGTGTCCTCATGCCCTCTGCCTCTGACTCCCCTTTCTGCCTCTGTGCCTGATTAAAGAGTGGTTGCCACCTATTTCCCTCTACCAGTTGTGGTCTTTTCCGGTGAGTATTCAAAGGTCCAGGCATGTCTGCCCCCATCCCAAAATTTCATAAATTATCAATTCAGGAGGTAAGGCATCCCCCCCTACAAAGAGAACCATGAAGTAGGGCCATAAAAGGTATGTGTCACAGAAGGTCACAGGAGGGCTCCATGATTGAGACTGGACCACATTCAGCTTTAGCATCTCCGTCCTTTCACTTTTCCTTGATTTACTTCCCTCCCTTCCTCTCTCATGACCTTCCTTCCTTCCTTTCCTCATTTCTCCCCTTCTTCCTCCTTCCTTCCTTCCCTCCTTCTTCCCTCCTTCCCTCCCTCCTTCCTTCATTCCTCCCCTTCTTCCTCCTTCCTTCCTTTCCTCCTTCCTTCCTCATTCCCTCCCTCCTTCCTTTCTTTCATTCCTCCCTCCCTCCTTCCTTCATTTCTCCCCTTCTTCCTCCTTCCCTTCCTCTTTCCTTCATTCCTTCCTTCCCTCATTCCTCTGTTCCTCCTTTCCTTCCTTCCTTCCTTCCTTCCTTCCTTCCTTCCTTCCTTCCTTCCTTCCTAACATGGATTAAGCATTTACTATAAATACTGACTGAGCTCTGTGCTAAGTAGAGAAGTCCAAGTTGCAGCAAATTTGGCCTCACACTCTCTTGGTTTCACTCTCCCAAGCCACAGAAAGGAAACCTCCCTTCCGTGCTCATCCCCACCTCCCAAAGTATTGTCCTTCGCCACCAAGGGACCAGTAGTTGAAGCTCCAGAGTTCCTGGCAATTTGGGGGAACACAGGGGATGAGTAAGAAAGTTGAGTGCCAATGTAAGCAGGTTCCAGGCAGACTCAGGACCTCAGTGGCAGGAGGAGAGCTCAGGCCAGCTGTGGTTTGGGCAGTAGCTCAGGGACATCCTCCAAGACCCCATGGAGCCAATATTAGGAGTGCACTGAGCCAGAAAGGTAGCAAGCACTTAAAGCCACAGGCTTAGCTTGCCACAGAGCAAGAGGGAGAGCTGGAAGGGGCCAGAGAACTCCCCTGCCAGGCTCCCACTCTCAGTAGAGAGGCTTTAGCATCCAAGAGCTGGGCATAGGCTGCTCCTGGCCCTGAGTAGGCCAGACTAGGGAGCTAGAATCATCACCACTCACATTTCTCTAGGGCCTTGAGGATTTGCAGAGTACCTTACCCAGGCTCACTTGAGCCTCACCACAACCTTGCAAAGCCAGGACTATTTTGGTTTGCTGTTGTTGTTGAGTTGTGTCTGACTCTTCATGATTCTGTGGGTCATATCACGCCAATATTGTCTATAGCATTTTCTTGGCAAAGATACTAGATTTGTTTGCCTTTTCCTTCTCCAGTGGATTAACGTAAATAGGGTCAAGTGACTTGCCCAGGGTCACATGGCTAGTAAGTGTCTGAGGCCGGATTTGAACTCAGGTCTTCCTGACTCCAAAGCTAGTGCTCTATCCATTGAGAAACCTAGCTGCCTCCTATATAATATACAATAATATAACAGCTAGGGTTATTACTGTCCCATTTTACAGACAAAGAAATTAAGGGTCAAAGAGTTTAAGTGACTTGGTCAAGTACATATCTGAGGTGAGCTTTGACTCAGAGTCTATCTAGGCCTCTCTCCACTGGGCAGTGGCTAAGTGTAGGGAAACTGGTTCCACTCTATGGGGTTGCCTTTTCCTGGAAAGGATGACAATGCCATTTGTGAGACACCTGCCAAGGCACAAAACACACTCACATGTGTTAGGGCCTTTGCTTCAAGGTTTGCCAGAAGATCCCCAATGTCTAAGTCTGGCAGCAGAGACTGAGAGAAGGGAAGGGCCTGCCCTGCCCAAGATCACCTAGTAAGTAAGTTAGCAGGAGAGAGCTTAGTATTTCCATGTAAAAGTTCAGGGAGCTTGCTGGACTTCCTGTGGTCAGTTAGTAGCAGAGCTGAGACTAAAACTCTGAGAAATCCAAGTGTTAAAGGTGAAGAAGTCATCTGGTATGACACTTTCATTGGCTGGAGACCATAACAGAGGCCCAGAGATGTCCAGAGACTTGCCTGGTGTCACCAAGCTGGGACTACCAGATCTGGGACGAGAAGGCAGACTTTCGGCCTCCTGGCCCAGGGCACTCTCTCTACACACAAAGTCTCTCCACCTAGGGAGCTTTCTACTGGGCAACCCTAAGTGCAAATCCCTGACTTGAGGATGCTGCCAAGGCTTCCCTCAGGCTTTCCTTGCTGCCTCTCAGCAGGGCTGCACTTCACCTGGTCTCTCTCCCCTTTGGCCTTCACCAAATCTCCCCTAGCCTTTCAAAAAACCCACTGCATTTGCCCCCATTCCATCCTCCAAGCTCTCCTCCTTTTCCCAGCCAACATCCCCCCAAAAAGCTGTCTCTGCTCACTTACTCCTCAACCCTTTACCACTCACCGGAAACTGAGCTTCAAGGTGACCACCAATTTCTTGGCCTTTTCTTAGTCCTCATCTTCCTTAATTCTCTGTAGCATTCTGAAGTCCTAGATACTCCCTCCTCCCTCAGATTCCCTGGTCCTCCTCACTCTCTAACTCAGTCTCCTTTCCTGCACCCAGCATCCATGTTCTTCTCCCTAACAAGGATATCTACCAAGACTCTGTCCTGAGCCCTCTTCTTTTTCTACACCTTGTCTCTTGGTGATTTCATTAGAAACATGGATTTAATTAGGTCAATGCCAATAATGCTCAGGACTCTCTCTCTCCTCCTCCTCTCCTGTTTTCTCTTCCTCTCTCCCTCCCTCTCTTCTTCTTCTTCTCTCCTCTTCTCTCTCCTTCCTTTTTTCTCTCTCCTCTCCTCTCCCCTTCCCTTCTCTCTCTCTCTCTCTCTCTCTCTCTCTCTCTCTCTCTCTCTCTCTCTCTCTCTCTCTCTCTCTCTCTCTCTCTCCTCCCTCTTCCTCAGTACATTTGCTAGTCTTTCTCCTGAGCTCAGTTAAGCCCCATGTCTCCAACAGCATGTCCCATAGACATTGTAAAATGGGAAATCTGGACTAGAAGACCTCTAAAGTCCCTTCTAGATCTAAATCCAGGATCTTCTTTTTTTATGCAATTGGGGTTAAATGACTTGCCCAGGGTCACACAGCTAATAAGTGTCAAGTGTTTGGTCTGAATCTCGATTTGAACTCAGGTCCTCCTGACTTCAGGGTGGATGCTCTATCCGCTGTGCCACCTAGTTACCCCTAAATCTAGGATCTTCTGATCTCAAACTCAACCTACCCTAAATGGCATTCATTCTCCTTCCCCCTAAACCTTGCAAATTCCTTCCCTATTTCTGTGGAGGGCAGCAGCATCCTCTCAGCCACTCGAGTTCCCAACCTCGGATGTCCTCCTAAACTCTTCTCTCTCCCTCCTCTCCTCCCCCATATCCAATTGGTTGCCAAGTGTGGTAGTTTCTACCTCCACTGCATTTCTCACATCCAACCCCTTCTCTCAGGTCCCAGAGCCACTGCCCTAGCCCGAGACCTCCTCACCTATTGCCTAGACCACTCCAATAGCCTCCTAATTGGTCTCTGCCTCCTGCCTCTCCCTTCTTTAAGGCAGCAGCCTCCATCCAGATCTCCCTGCAGCAGTGTCACTTCCCTGCTCAAGTGACTCAGCATTCACAAACTGGCTTTAGCCTGGCTCACCAGCCATCTCCCCCCTTACATGGTCTACATGCCAGTCAGGCTAGTCCCCAAACTCAGCAGCCTGTCTCCCATGTCTGTCCTTTGCACTGGCTAGTGCAAACATGCCTAGGACACACACTCTTACAGTCCTGAGCTCTTTTCAAGAATCCATTCCTATCTATCCAGCTCCAGAGAAATAACTGACGGACTCAGAATGCAGATGGAAGCAGACTTTTTTTAACTTTATGATTTGGGGGATTTAGATCTGTGTTTTATTTTACCACATGGCTAATACAGAAATGTTTTGCATGACTACACACGTAGAATCTATATCAAATTGCTTTGCTTCTCAAGGAGGGGCAAAGGAAGGAAGGGAGGAAGAGAATTTGGAACTCAAACCTTTAAAAAATGAATGTTAAAGATTTTTGTTTACATGTAATTGAGAAAAATAAAATTAAATAAAAATTAAATGTAAAGGGGGCAGCTAGGTGGTACAGTGGATAGAGTACTGGCCCTGAAGTCAGTAGGAACTGAGTTCAAATACGGCCTCAGCCCAAACCCTTGACATTTAGTAGCTGTGTGATCCTGGGCAAGTCACTTAACCCTAATTGCCTAAAAAAAAAATGTAAATGTAAAATAAAGAATCAATTCATGTGCCAGCTACCTCTTATAGAAAGCCTTCCTTGATTCCCCATGGCTACTAGTGTTCTCTTTCTCCTCTAACTATGTTTTTGTACTTCTCTGATTACATAGCACCCACCACCAGAATATAAGCTCCTGAAGGGCCAGCACTGATTTTGTTTTATCTTTGTCCCTCAAGTGCTGAGCATCAAATTACAACTTAGAACAAGTGTTCATTGGCTTGGACTGCAATGACCTCTGAGGGCTCATGGGAAGGTTCTTACCTACCTGGCAAAGACCCATTCACATAGCCATTGATCGTGTGAACTTTAGAGTACAATTTTTTGGACTGGTACACCTTAGCCTCTGTCTTGGGCCCATCTGGTTCTGAATGCCAACTTTTCCCTGGGGATAGAGAAGGTAAAAAAGAAGATGCTCAGTAGGTTTCCTTGGCCCCTTCTCCCAGAACTATCTTTCCTTCCAGTAATACCAAACCTTGGGGACACAATTCAAAAGCAATGCAGAAAAGGAAAACTTTTCATTCCCAATCAGAGGGAATAAACCCTAGTCCAACCCCCAGCACAGGGTGGAGTCTTTGTAGGACCTCTTGGGACATCAGTCAGCAGGAGTTAGAAGGGACCTCAAGGGGGAGGTCATCCAATAGTCAGCTGTCCCTGAACAAGAATCCTCTCTGTGACATACACGAAAGTGGATATCCAGTGCTGATTTAAAGTTCTCCAATGAGGGCAAACCTTCCACCTCCCAAAGCAGTCCAGTGGCTGAAGCTCCAAGGAGTCAGATTTCAGGTCACATTTTGAACAATCAGAGCTGAACTAAAGTGGGATGGACTGCCCTGCGAAGTAGTGAGCTTCCTGTCATTGGAAATATTCAAGCATAAGGTAGACAAGCACCTGTCAGGGATGTTGCAGAAGGCATCTGTATTCATATATGAGTGGACCAAATCCCCTCTGAGGACCTTTTCAGCTCTAAGTCTATGGTTCTCTAGAAAGTGATAGGGAGTCAGTAAGACACGAATAAAAGGATAGCAGAGCAAAAGGAAAAACACCCCTGGCTCACCAAAGCAATCCATCCGATGACCAGCAGCTCTGGGTGGATTCAAAGAGTCCCCTCTAAGTTTATTGGTTTGAAACCTACAGCGCATTGGACTATGGCCACAGGGATCCACGTGGAGGTGCTGTCTCCAGACTGGCCCAGCCACAGCCTAAAGAAGCCCAGATAACACACCCAACCTTCAATGGGTCTGAGTCATCATGGATGGACCAGGCTGTGCCGGCTATGCTTACACACCATTTCTTATATTATCTCTCTGAGAAAAACAAACCCATTTTGACCTCCATCAGGATATTTCCAGCATCATAAGCTCTGATCTGGCAACAGGAGCCTCTGGTGGGAGGGGTGGTATCAGGGGTTTGTGAGCACTCTACACCTGCATGAGCGAAGACAAGGGGTGGGACATGGAGGGGTAACGATGGAAAATAATATAGGGAAATGCAGGTGATGGAAAAACAAAAGGCAGCAGGATAAAATGAAATAAGGAGAACCTCCATAGGACAGGATCAGGAAGCCTACACCAGAGAAGGAAAGCAGTCTTTGGAGTGGGCCCATTCACCTTCTACAAAGCTTGAGCTTGAACTTGGACCTGGAGGCATGGGTATTGATGGTACTGAAGGTGGAAATAGCATGTTTGGTACCTGGATCGTTCTGCTGGAGGAGGAGGCTGGGATTTGTGACTCCATTGGAGTTGAGAACTCTCAGCAAGGAAACTCCCTCTATCAATGAGGATGGGCTGTTCCTCTCCACCCCTAAGCACCTTCTTAAGTCCCTCAGAACCACTTCTTGCCTTTTTAACAATTTAATGACCCCACCGGATTTGAATTGTGTGGGGTGTTTGTACTTTGGCCACAGTCCAAATTTGTTATCTGTAGGCTGCCCTCTCTTCTAAAAGAGGAGACCCAAGTGACTTAAAGAATGCCTCTCCATGCTCCAGGCTTTGGGGGACAATGAAGTATCCTAAAGTAAATGGAAGTGGGGCTTTAATGGGGATCTGAGTTGAGGAAGAGGAAACTTGATTCCTGTCAGGAGGTTGGAAGGCAGAAAAGTGTTTTCCAGAGGAGAAAGGGGAAAAACAAGAAGAGCTGGACACTTGGAACTCAAAAACAGATGGGAGGCTCTTGCTAAAGAAGAGGACGCTGCTGGTGCTCCAAGGCTAGGGTGAAGCCATTGGGTGAGAGCTCATTTAGAGGTGAGGAAGGAGCAAGGTGTAGTGGAGGGTGGTCAGGGGTCAGTGATTCCCAAGGAAACAAAAGGAGCTATTTATCAATCTGATAGGGATAACAAGAGAGGTTTGTTGTCTTCCTGGGACATGTTACTAAGAGCCAACAAGAAAAATCACATGTCTGCTCCACACTTGGGGTGATTCAAATGGGCACTGCCAAGAGAAGCCTAAGAGATACTCCCAAAGCCTTCCACTGAAGACCGTGGGGGTCACAAGTTATTCTTTCTACACCATCCAAGGCAAGGGCTACTGAAGAGAAAAGATTTATTTGAGAAGTGAACAGCTGGCTAAGAAGATGATGATGTCTGAGAAAGGGATTTGGACCTCTGGACCCCAGCCTAAAATATAGGGACAACAGATTCCCACCTGATTTGGCTTTTTCTTTTTAAAGTTTCCAGTTGTTCAAAAATCGAATGGGCTATTTTGAGAGAGAATCCCCAGCACAACACTGGGGCTTTCCCATAGATGGATGCCCACTGGTCAGGGATGTCGTAGAGAGGATTTTTGGTCAGGCCAGGGTTGGGTTTGATAGCTCTGAAGAGCCTGACAGCTCAGGGATTCTGGGATCTGGATCTCTTCTGGCTCAGAATGACTCTGAGTGATGAAGTCCAAGGCCTCCAGCCCTGGAGGCTTTCTTGATGCCACTCCCTACTGGATTCTCTGCCCCAGTAGGTACTCTGGAGTTTTCCAATGGCAAGTCTTGAACAATATCCTCAGGTAGAGCAAGCTCTCAACAGTTGCCTAAGGGCTGTCTGCTCACCTTCATCAAAAACAGCAAAGAGCAGCACAAACTCTTGCAAGTGCTGTGTCCCACCTCTGTCCAGACTTCCTAAAAAGAGAGGAGAAGGGAGCTTGAATGGGGCAAACAAAAGTGTCCTATCAAAGGACAGCGTAGCTAGGAAGCCTTCTGCTGCTTTCTAGTCTTATAGGGAAGCGGTGGGGGGGACTGAAGTACCTACATTGAAGACAATCATTCATTTCTTGCTACTTTCCACATAACCCAGGCATGACAATTTGGCTGAAAATAAAGGGTGCCATAGGCTGGCCAAGCCATGGACATTTCTGGCTCTTGGCAAGCACTGGGCCCAAGAAGACAGCCATAGCCCAAACATAGGCATGGAAGCATGGGTAGCACCGGCGGCGTACATTCTCCAATAAGCGATTTTTCTCCAGTTTGCAAAGGATGAGGAGGGAAAGGAAAGATGCCTCCTTCTATTGCTTGAGGTCTCAATCTGCTCCTGTTCATTCTCATAGGAACAAACCCAGGGAATAGGAATTCAGAGCATCTGAGGTCAGACTGTGGCTCTGCCATTGAGGCTCTGGGTATCCCTAGGCAAGTTGCTTAACCTCTCTGGGCTTCAGTGTCTGAACTAGATACCCCTTAAAGTCCCTTGAGATGTATGGTCCCTTCAGTAAATGTATCTTCTAGGATTTTCCTGGGCTACCTTTCCCTGCCCATTACCCCTCAGCACCATCTGCCCTATCCTCCTTCCTACTTACCTTCTTTACAGACCAGCAGAGCCCCAATCAGGCCTGTGTTCAGGTCCTTCACAGTGTCAACGTGGGAGAGATAGGAGTAGGTGAGACATGGTGGGTCATGGTCCATGGGGCTGTTCTCTTTCAGGACATGCCAGACATACGTGTAGCTGGCACCTGGGGCTACTTTATCATCTTGCTTCTCTATGTAATTGGTCTGGTCATTGTACCTGGCCCCTAAAGTCAGAAGAAGGGGAATGGTCAGATTCAGGCCAAGCAGAATCCAAATTCTCTGATCACTGCCAAGCACAGTGAGTAAATAGCAGTGAATGACATACTCGGTAATGTAGAGAAACTTTGCAAGCTGATGGTGATGAGTTAGAACCCAGCCCTGGTTGTAAAAACACCACTATGAGGGTTCAGACCAGACTAAGTGGGGATTCAGGTCTTGTGTTTGACTTACCATGTCTAACCTTCCTTTCCCGGCTATGGGTTAGTCTTTTTCTACCATCTACTGACGCCAGGGCAAACAAAGGTCTGCACCCCTGCAGATCAGCCCATTAGGCCTCCCACATCTGCATCCCATGCCCATCCCCAGGGGACTTCCTGATCTTGCATCACAGCTCCATCTCTCCTCTATCCCCTTCACCTCATCCCTTTCTCTCTCTCCTTTGCTGCACAGATCAATCCTTCTCTCCTCCCTCTGCTACACATCATCCCCTTCTCTTTTCCTTTTCTTAAACTGGAACCCTTTCTCAACTCCCTCTTTTGCATCTCATCCCCTTATGTCCTCAAGCTGCTGCTCATCACCCACTTCACTTGTCCATCTCCTGTGGTTCAAACCCTTCCCTCCTCTGTCATCTGCAGCTCTGGCTCTTGCCTTCTTCCTCTCCTGTAGATCAGCCCCTTCCCTCCTCCCTCTCCTGCACCTTGACCCTCCCCCCACACTATGTTTCAGCTTTGCCCTTTTCTAAACCCTGGCTAACCTCCTCTCTTTCCTGTCTTCAGGTCCATCCTTTCATGGTGTCCAACTCTTCTATTCCTCTCCTCCCTCTCCTACCACTTGGCCCTTTCTCTTCTCCTCACATACACCTGAGCCTTTTCTCCCTCTCCTTTCTCCCAGCCCTCCTTTAGCTCAAGCCCCTCGTCTCCTCCCTCTCCTATGGTTAATCCCCTTCTCTCCTCTCCCTCCTGCACGCAGCCCGTTCTCTTCACCTTCTGTTCCATCCTGGGCTGTCCTACGAACAAGCCCCTCCAACTCTCAGCTCCAGGCATTCTCTCTGGCTGTCTCCATAGCTAGAACGCTCTCCTTCCTCCACTCTGCCTGCCAGCCTCCTTGGTTTCCTTGAAGTCCAACTAATATCCCCCTTTTTTCACTGGAAACCTCTTCTACTCTGTCCTCCCTTTCCTGCAGCCTGGCCCCTTCTCTCCTCTCCTCATATCTTCTTTCTGGTACAATGCAGGGCCTAATGATCTTTGCCATCCTTCCTTTATTCTCACACTTCTAGACATATCTGATTCTTTTCATTCATTTATTTAACTGTGCCCAGTTTCCTTGATAGGAAAAACAATTACAGTTCTTCCCCTCAAGGACTTGGCATTATGCTTAGAGGGCATGGTGGGAGAATAGAACTTGATATCCACTGAGAAGTATAATTAAAAGGAGGGGATAATTGGAGCAAAGTCTTAAGACATTCTTTAAGTCAGGAAGATCTGAGTTCAAATCCTGCCTCAAGGCACTTAACCTCTGCTTGCTTCAGTTTCCTTCTCTGCAAAATGAGGATGATAATAATAGCACCTATGTGGTTGTTGTGTGGATCTTGTGTGGATCAAATTAGTTAATATATGTAAAGCATTTTGTAAACCTTCATACTGTATATCAACACTAGGTGATAAGCCAGCTAGCGGACAAATGGCTGTAGGAAATCTGAGTCAGGAGCGAGTCCTTTCACCCTCACTCTGCCACCTCCTTGCTCTGTGGCTTTGCAGAAGTCACTTTCCCTCCCAGGGCTCCAGTTTTCACATAGGTAAAGTAAGGAGTTGGCCCTCAGTGACTTCTCCAGTTCCTTCCAGCTGTAGAGCTATGATACAATGGTCAGGGAAGGCTTCATCAAGGAGGTAGTTGAACATTATAGAATAAAACCTTGCAGCAGTAGAGATGAGGAGTGAAGGGAGCCTCAGGCCTAGAGAAGAGAGGCAGAAGGTACAAGGAAGGGTAGGGAGGCTGGTTTGGAGAAATGCATAGGATGAAGAAATGAAAAGTCTAGCTAAGAGAACCGCTAGTTATCCAACTGGGCTGGAACATGGAGCACATGAGGAGAGCAATGTTAAATAAGTCTGAAATGCCAAGCTAAAAAGTCTGTCTTCAGAGGTAATAGGGAGCAGCCAAAGGTCCTTGAGCAGGGGGGGTCACATTATCAAACCTGAGCCTTAGATGATTTTGGCAGCTGTGTGGATTATAGATTAAAAAAGGGAAAGAATGGAAGGAAACTAATGCAATCTTCCAGGAGAGGCCTAAATTAAGATGAGGACCTAGGAATGGAGAGGATGAGGATAAATACCAGGAATATCATAAAGGCAGAGTCAACAAAACTAGAGCAACTGATTAGATATGTAAGGTGGTGAAGGAAGGAGAGTGAAGTGGTCAGGATGACTCTAAGATTATAAACTTGGGTGACTGGAAGAATGGGTTCGCCCTCATCAGAAATCAATAAGCTAATTAGTGAGAAGCAGGTTCAGGGCTGCGTGAGGACAATAATCTCTACTTTGGATGTCCTAATTTTGAGATACTTATGGAATATCCAAGTGGATATGTGGAGATGAAAGCACAACTTGAAGTTAGATTTTCAGAGGGGTCTAGATCTGGAGCTAGGAGAGACCTCTCAGAGGCCCTCTAGCCCAACACTTTCATCTCAAAGAGAAGGAAACGGAGGCCCAGATTGGGAAGTAACTTGCCCAAGGTCACCCAGGGAGTAAGCATCAGGAGTGTGATCTCTATCTGTATTCAGCAGTAACAGTTTCACATGAACTTCACAAATACATCTGAAGTAAACTCCACTGAAGACCCTACCTGTGGCACCCTTGGAAGCCCCTAACAGTCCTATAAGGCACACTTCTCAACCCACTTTGGGGATGCCATCTATTCTGGGACAGCCAACATCTCCAAGCACTACTTACATGGATGCCACCATAAGTATCAGGTATGGCAGAGGATAGAGACAAATGCTCCATTATCAATCAGTAGCCCCCTAATGTCTTTCCCACCCCACCTAGTCAGAGCCCACAGCTGCCAGCAGCAAGAAGCCTGCCTGCCTCACTTACCCTCTGAGGCCTTCCAGTAGGATATCCCGACAGCATGGAGGCTGACTGGATGGGAAGCCATGTTCTTCAGTGTAATAACCACCGTATCATAGACTTCTGCACGAATGGTGGGACCCAGGAGACCTGAAAGAGGGAGATATCAATTCCCACCCCACCCTTCATGGAGTTTTATAAAAAAGTGGGTAGCCCTGGGGCAGTGAGGGTTAAAAAAGGGATTCTAAAGACCAAGTGAAAAAGACATTTTCCAAAGAAAGCTCTGAAATGAAGGCCAAATGCACAGGAACCAGAGCTGCTAGGCCTCCATATGTTAGAAGACTAGCCTGGCATGTCAACTGGCTGTGCTATGAGCTTTGTCTCAGGCTTGGGATGGTGAATGAAATGGGAATTTTTGATTTTTGATTTTCTTTTATTCTTCCAGCAACTTTTGGTTAATATTAGCCTCACTTGACTAAAACCTGTCCCATGAGATGTGAAAATTTACTTAGAGCTTTAAATGTTCCTTAGCTAAGAAGCCCAGAGAAGAATCTCCACTGTCCTTGACTCCTTGGTGACATGTAAATCCTCCTCCTCAATTTGTTCAACTTTTGTGACATTGAAGGAAGTGTGGGATTATGGATCTATGTTCTCTTTAACTTTTGTGGCCTAAGAGGAATGTACAAAATTACAATATATAAAAGAATTATTTCTCTGTCCCTCTAACGTAATTTTGCTTCTAAGAAGACTTGTAAGAATCCTCGCGGGGTTCAGTTTTTCTCTGAAGTCTTGAACCTACACTTGAGTATAATAATAAAACCTGGGTTTTTACCTCTGTAATTTCCACACTGTGGCAAGTTACTCACCACCCGAGCTTAGAAAGAAGCTATTTCTGCCACAATATGGGCACCTGCCCAGGAAGGCTGCTGAACCTTTCCTGGGACTCCCTTCAGAACTAAAGGTGGGCCTTGATGCCAAAGCAGAGCTCAAACAAGAGCTGCTCAATCATTTGCTTTGTCTCCTTTGTATCATTTGTGTCATGATACAAAACAATTTCACCCAACCGGTTTTATTTGACCACTGGTTTTGTCCCCCCTGGAAGAGAGAAAAGTCTAAGAAGGAAAGCTCCCCAAGTGCAACCCACAGGGTTATATCTCCATGTGTCTCAGCCAGTGTCTCTGGTAGAAGACAAGCTAGCTATACATTCATGAATTAGGTTGGGTTCTCTCGTGGTTAAATATCTGTTGGCCCGTCCTCCTCAAGGCTACTGGCCTTGATCAAAGGTGTTAAACCATTCAGCCATACACATACCAGGGCATGAATGCAAAGTCTGCCCAACTACACCTTAGAGTTGTGGCCTGGCTGTCTATAGTATAAGACAGGCAAGGTTGAAATGTTTCCTTTTCCCCTGCTTCTCTACACACATATCATTTAGAGTTTTGGGAAACCATCACATAAAGGAGCAGGAAAAACCCCATGCATCCATTCCCAGCTAATTCCTTTAACCACTCCCAGAAGGGCACCTAGGAAGAAACAACATGGAACAAACACAACGTCATTCAGGCCAATTTCAGTCTCATTAGGGAGTCTAAGCACACTAAAAAAAAATGTACCTGGGATTCAACTCAAGTGAACAAATGTTTATTAAATTCCTACTGTGTGCAACACAGACCTTGTGCTCAAGGCCCTGGGGCTCCATAGGCAAAGCAGCTATTATAATCCCGGGCTGGCACTTACCCAGCACAAGGGAGATAAGATGGCAGATGCTCTTTACTTTGTACTGCTTTGACCACCTCTGGGATACCAGGTCCACTTCCGGATGCTGTCATTTCAATGGGACCACTGAAAAGATAGCATTCATCCAGAGGAGGGCCACCTGGCTGGTGAATGGTCTAAAAACTATATTATGCAAAAGACTGGTTGCAACATATGGAGCCTTTGGGAGGCAGCAATTTCTCATAGCCACTTCTAGGTTCAGGATGAATTCGAAGACCTTTAGGACCTTAGGAAGTTAAAGGAGACCACATTCTGGCTAGGACTAGAAATGGGCATAGAATTGGCTAGGAAGGACACCAAGAAAAGGTTGGCTTCCGGCCCTGCTGCTGACACACTGGCTCTTAGGATTCTAGGTGGTCATTTATTTCACTTGTCACTGTCTCAGCCAACTCTCTAAAACTTGAATTTGCAGAGAAGGTGCTAAGCCACCCTGATAGAGTTAGATCCCTCATCTGAGAGTTTATTCCCTTGACCAATAAAGTCACAGGTCAAGTTCCTGTCCTATTTCACCTGTTTCCCTCCAAGGCTTGCTCATGGCAAACTCTGGCAGGTCCTAGTGATTATGGGATATATTGGAAAGAGTTCTGGATTTGGTCAAAGACTTTGAACTCAGCTCTGCTACTTGCTCTCCATGGGTCCTTAAGCAAATCCTTTCCCTTCTCTGGGTCTGTTATCTCATCTGTAAAATAAGGGGCTAGACTAGCCACTATCTAAGTTTCCATGAAGCCTCTGGATAGGCTTGGCATCCTGGCCCAGCCAGAGAGTGTGTCTGCTTTCCAAGGACCAATCTAGCTAAGCTGAAAGGGGCTTATCAACTTAATCAAGGGATCAAGTTTTTAGCCACATTAGCTCATGATGGCTGTCTGTTAAGGCAGGGAAAGGGTTGAGCTCTATAGCACTGAAGAGATGAAGGGAGCAGCCACACAAGTGGAAGTCCCCGATCTTTGAAAGAACTGAAACACTAAAGTATTCTTATCAATACCCATCCACGGTGCTCTGGGCTTGGCTTGGAGAAAGCGGCTATCTGTGTATTCTGCAAACACAGCCTTTTTATACAGAGTGGAGCCATCAGATGCAAATGACTTGGGGACTCTTGGAGGAAATCTGTACAAAAAAATAAAAAGGTAGATTCAGTTTTGGAGGGCATTCCATTTGTACCCCCAAACCACTGAAATTTTACGAGCCCACCAACTTCCTGGAAGCATCTCATAGCACAAGAAAAATAACTCTACACAAGTATGCTTTCTTTCCCTGAGGGGAACTCATAGAGCAGCAGTTTAGCAGCAGCAGTTGGGGGTGGGGAAGAGGAAAGGAAGCAAATACATATTTACAAAGTGCCACGCATTGTGCTAAGAGCTTTATAAATATGATCTCATTTTATCTTTACAACAACCCTGTGGGGTAGGTGCTATTATTATCCTCATTATACAATTGAGGAAACTGAGGCAGACAAAGGTTCAGTGACTTGCCCAGGGTTATACAGCTAATGTCTAAAGCCAGATTTGAACTCAGGTCTTCTTGACCCCAGGCCCTATACTCTATCCACTGAACTACCTAGCTGCCTCTAAGTAAAAACATACTCAGAATCAAACCTGCCCATGAAGAAATGACTTCTCTATCAGCCTGTGAACCCTCTGATCTACAATCAGAGGTTCCCAAACTTATTTGGCCAACCACTCCCTTTTCAAAAAAAATTACTCAGCACCCCCCTGGGGTTAGATTAGGTTAACCCTTATTTTTATTCAACACCCCCCAATTGCACCCAAGGCTACTACCACCCCCCTTAATCATTCCCCCCAGGGAGGCAGTATCCCCCACTTTGGGAACCTACAGACTCTACATGATCCCCAAAGTGAAAAGTTTCCCTTCTCTATAGTAATGCTCCAGCTAATGCTCCATTCCATTGACAATAAGGAGCCAATGGCTAGGGCAGGGCTTCTTCCTCATGTTTTCTGGGTTGTAGAACCCCTCCCCTTTGGAAGTCCAGAGAAGGAAGCCTATGGATTTCTTTTCAGAATCATGATTTTAAAGGCATAAAATAAAATACAAAAGATTACAAAAGAAACCAATCTTATTGAAATCAAAATGTGATTCTTTTCCCATCCAAGTTCACGGACCTTTGAAATCTGTCCACAGATTCCAGATTAAGAACCCTCTGAGTCCATAGTCTTTAAAGGCAGCTCAGTCAAAAAGGGGAGCAGGCAGAGCTAGCTGTTCCACCCTAGAACCACCCAACTATGGCAATAATCCAAATAGAGGTGACAAGAACCTGACGAAAGTTGAGAAGAGGAGGAATGCAAGAGGTCTGATGGCTTGGCAACTTATTAAAGGGGTGAAGATGGAAGAAGAGGGAGGGGGAGGGAAGAGCTGAGAATGACTCAAAGTTCTTGAACATGCATGACTAGAAGAATGGTGGGACCCCCAACAGGAACAGCAATGGGTAAAAGAAATTAGGGTATAAGCAAGAAGACAATGAATACAGTTTTGAACATATGAAGATTGAGATGCCAATAAGACATTCAGGTGAACATGTCCAGCAAGAACTTGTTGAATGATCATCTGCAAAGGCAGTCAGTCATTAATGAGCTGGTGTCAGCTTGGAGGCAGGCACCTCAGGAGTCTAGCCTTCCTTAGTTCTATGTTGTTCAATATTTGTTATCAATGATTTATGTTATCAATGTTATGTTATCATGTTATCAATGAAAGTATCAATACAGGAATGCCAAGCAAGAAGGGATAGCTAACACATGACAGTGGGTGACAGAGTCAGGATCCACAAATATGCCAGCAGACTGTATTGATTTGCTGAATCTAATAAGATCAGCAGAAATAAATTCTTTAAAAAGTCTTGAGAAGCTGTGTGGTATAATAAGTAGGATATCTGTTGGGCATGGAATTGGGACAACCTGGCTTCAAAAAAACAAAGATCTTGGCAACTGGTTCCATCACTTCCTGGCAAACAGAGGGAGAAGAAATGGAAGCAGTGTCAGATTTTATATTCTTGGGCTCAAAGGTCAGTGCAGATGACGACTGCAGCCACGAAATTAAAAGATGCTTGCTCCTTGGAAAGAAAGCTATGGCAAATCTGGACAGCAGACTAAAAAGCAGAGATATCACCTTGCTGACAAAGGTCTGTAGAGTCAAAGCTATTGCTAGTAACAACGTATGGCTGTGAGAGCTGGACTATAAGGAAAGCTCAGTGCTGCAGAATTGACACTTTCAAATCATGGAGCTGGAGAAGATTTTTGAGAACCCTTTGGACAGCAAGGAGATCAAATCAGTCAATACTTAAAGAAATTAATTCAGGCTATTCACTGGAAGGTCAAATACTGAAGCTGAAGCTTAAATACTCTGGCCACATAATGAGAAGACAGGACTCATTGGAAAAGATCCTGATGTTGGGAAAGATTGAAGGCAAAAAGAAAAGGAGATGGCACAGATGGACAGATAGTGTCATGGAAGCAAGGAACATGAGCTTGGACAGACTTTGAGAGACAGCGAAGGATAGAAGAGCCTGCCATGCCATGGTCCATAGGGTCACAAAGAATCAGAGGCAACTGAAAGAATGAGCAACACTGGCTTCAAATCCCTCTTCTGACACTAGCTGTGTGATGGAGGGGTGAGTCATTTAAACCACTGGGAAGCTGAGGCACTTCTCCAATGACCTAGGAAGCTACAGACACAAGTTGTGAGCTTCATCCATCCCTAGAGGGTCTGCCACTTCTAATGCCATGGAGCCTTGATACATTGGCAGAAAAGGAAAATGGTCCACTTGACTTCAAGGAAGCAACCATCTACGTTCCACCTTTCACATTGCCAGAAGAATTCTCACTCCTCCACTTACAGATCTCCAGTGGCTCCCCAGTGCCTACTCAGTAAAGCTCCAACTTCTCTGTGGAGCATTTGGAGCTGAAGCCTGTCTTTTCAGCTTTATTGCATAGTACTGCCTTTTGTGCATTATCTCCTCCAGCCAATGTGGGCTCTTCTCTGACCCCTCTCTTTGCTTTGGCATTCTCATCTGTAAAACTCACCACCCCACCCCACCCCCTTCTCTCATTCAGGTGTCCAGAAGAAAGTATTTTGGAAACCTCAAAGTATTAACAGTAATGTGAGTCAGTCAAGTTCATGGAGAACTACCTCCAGTTGGGTCTGTGTCGGTTACAAGCATCCTAAGGTCAGCATCTCCTCTAGGCTGGTTCTTTTCCTTATCTCTCTTCTTATCTCTAGAATTTCCTTATCTCCAGGAAATTCTAGATGGACAATCTTGATACTGATCCTCAGCAAAATTCTATAATTAATGTTTGTACTGATCATTTGTAAGCCTGTAGGTACTGAAGCGGTGATCTCTAATGGCAAGTAACACTAAGTAGCCTCATTTCCTTTTTAGATAAAGTTAATTTGATAGAACAAGGGAATAACAAAGATAGGCACAGGATTTAGAACTGGAACTAGATGGACAACAGGAACCTAGATTGGGGAAGGGATTTAAGATCACAGACTGTCCAAGCTCGATTATCTCATCAAATCCCCACATTTTATAGAGAAGGAAATTGAAGATCGTAGGATCCTAACTCTAGAGCTAGAAGGGACCTTCAACACATTTAGGGTTAGGGTTAGGGTTAGGGTTAGGGTTAGGGGTAGGAGGAAACAAAGGCCCAGAGATGTCAGGTGACACAGGCATTAAGTGAACTTGAGATTTGAACCTGAACCTTCAGACTCCAAATCCAGCACTTTTGTCACTTTCCAACATCTCATTCATATGTTCTAGAATACTGAAAACACTCGATGTCAAGGCCAGGGTATGGCCTAATAGTGTGGTAAGGCTGTCTACCCAGCCCTGAACTAGGATCAAAGGATCACAGATTTTAAGCTGAGAGAAGCCTTGAGTACAAACCCATCATTTTACAGAGAAGGGAATTGCCTAAAAATGTAAAGGACTTGCTCAAGGTCACATAGACACATAGTGTTGCAGAGCCAGGATTTGAACCCAAGTCCTTTGACTCTAAATCCAATTCTCTTTGCACTGCACTACTCTCCCTCTTAATCAAGGAACAGCCTTTATCCCCCACACTCTTCCTTCTATATTGTTCTTCTGACCCTGCTCTAGATAGGCCTCCTTGGCTGTTGGCCCATTACTTCCAAACTGAGATCTTATTTTCCTACTTAACCCTCTGGACCTAGGATCTCAGAGATTTCTGACCTCAATTCTTGGACCATGTTTTCCTTGTTCAATCAACATTGTTCTTGGCCAATACTTAGCCAGCAGAGGCAGTGTGGTCAAGGGAAGAACCACTGGATTTGGAAGCAGCTGGAGCAAGTAGGTTCAAAGCCCAGCTCTGGTGCTAGGTGTATGATCTTGAACGCTTCCTGTTTCTTGGTCCCCTTTCCCCCCGTATTTGTTTAAGGTCACTTTAGACTCTATCCTGCAACTTTTCCTATGATCATAGACAGAGGATCCAGTGGATCTAACAGAGGGGTGAGGAACCTTTTCATGTTGGAAGGCCACATTAATATTTAGCTGAAATCAAATAAGGCTTCATTCAAGAAATTTCAATTAGATATACTTAAAAATGTATATTATTTTGTAAAAAATCTAACTATTATATACTTCATAATTTCAAAAATGAAAACTATTTGTTAATTTTAAAGTCAACTAACCCTTTAATGACTTTGTTGTGTGTGCTTTTTGTTGGAAAGCATTTGGTTGCAGCAGGGAGGTCCCTAGTTTCAGTTGATCCTCTAGATGGGCATCAGTCATTTGTGACCTTAAGGGCATCTTGATTTGGGTTAGGTAGGAGAATGCAGATTTGCAGCAATAAGCAATAACAAGAAAGCATTTTGGGGCATGTTGCTGAAGGCGTGGGTATTCTACTGCACTTTTTCTATATTTCAATTGGATCTTTCTTAGTATCAAACAATGACTTTAAAAAGTCATCTACTAAGAGCTCAATCAATTCCATCTGTAGTTCTTTAGGTGCCTTGGTGATATCAACTAGGTGAGGATGCAATGCTAATTTGAGTGTGATGTCATGATTCTCAAAGTTAGTGAAACTTTCATTGTATTCTCCAATTAATAGATCTATAACAGCTGTGTATTCTTCAAA